ATTCGCTTACAACACCAGCATTAATGACACCACAGGATATAGCCCCTATTTCGTCGCATACGGACGTCACCCAATCACATGGTGTGATATTCTTCATCAACTCCCATCTCGCATTTCCTACGCATCGGACAGCTTCGCTGATCAACTCACAACAGCCTTGCAAACTACAATCACAAATGTTGGAAATCAAATTGCAGACAAAACATCCCTATACAAGGCAGGTTATGATTTCCAGCATAACGTTTTTTCAAAGGAGATTTTCATTGGAGACCTCGTACTCTTACACGAAGAAAGAGTACGCCCCAAATTCACCATTCCATGGAAAGGTCCCTTTCTAGTGACAAAGATTAGTCGTCCCAATGTTACCATTCAAAACTTGATTGGCCCCCGATCCACCCAAACAGTACACATAAATAGACTTAAGATCTATTGTCCCCGCTCTTCATCGGCTAATGTTTCCGAAACAACCTTAACCACTCCATCACCTTCCATAACGGAAACATCAGAAGATGATGAGCGACCTCTTAAACGTCCAACAAGTTTAGAACTCCACAGCCAAAATATCGAAGACGACAGCACAGATTCTGAAGAACTGTAATAGTCAAGAGCATTACTCCTCTTGAACAAACTGGTATGTTTGCATTTCAATCTACGTTTCCGCGCATCGTCGCTTAAACAATTAAAACTTCTTCGAGCCGACGACTCTAAGAAGTTAAATTAATTTCTTTACTATTAAGCAGCTCTAACAAACAACCATCATCACCACTAACCATAACATCCAAAATTTCGTCCTAGTATTACAATAGTGAACTGTACTAATGTAAACTAGCCCCTTCATAACCAAATGTAGCATAACCTCGCTTGTATATAATGCTATACACAGCCTAATAACCATTTTTTTAAATTCATTGTTCTTTATTGTACTCAACAAACCTACCCGTTAGCTATTACATCGCTGTACTCAAACATCACAATCCTCACCCTAATTATAATGTTAACATATGATTTGCACAATAATTTCCAATGTCACCCCAACACTAAACTGCCACCTTTTCCCCCTACATCTACGCCATCCCATCCTCTCGAACTTACAACAACGACAGTCCTCACAATAACCATTGACATTCTTCAGACAACCATCATTCTTCCCGTTCGAGGACGAACCACCTAAGCCACCCGGAGGAGAGAATAGGTCGTAGCTGCGCCAACAGCTCACCTAATCCCGCCTCCACTATGTGCAAATCTCTAGCTGGAAAACAAGTCCAACGACAACCACCACCAGTATCTCAACCAATTTGTTAAGACTCTCGAGGACGAGCTTTCTGAAGGAGCGGAGATGTCATAAGATCATTGCATCAGATTGCATAAGATTGGATAATATTGAATAACGTCATTCTTATGCAATGTCTACCCCGCCCCAACCGCTGTTGTTGTTGTGAGCCGGACCTGCATATAAGAGAGGACTGGAGACCATCAGGGACACTCGTACACACCACCCCCTTTCCCCCACCTCTATTGTTTAGTTTTATATCCTAGTAATAAATATATATATAATCATCATGTTCAATACACCGTAACACCGCTACACCATCAGGCAAGGGTTTAGCTACCCCTTGATCCTGACAGTTTCCCCATAAGGGTTGAGATAGGACTTGGAACGGACTTTATTATCAGGCTATCCAATTGTTTACGAAAATGATTGCGCCCATAGAAGTATTTGCAATATTGCTCAAAAAAACATCTAAAAAATAATAGATATGTATACATTTGTTTTACAAATATCTTGTACATTTTCGATAATCAAGATTATCCATTGTAATGGTTGGTGGTTAAGTGGTTCTATCACTGGCATCCCGACATAATGTCGAAGGGTCAAGATCAGGGAGCCATCGTATAAAAAGTTCCCCCTCCCCCCTCCTCTTCCAGCCGTAGTGGAGAATCTTACTCACTGCGTGGGTCGAGGGGTGCGAAGTAGGTATGAGGTAGGTGAGAAAACTAGGTGCGAAGTCCTCGATCGTATGAAAGTCCCCCCCCCCCCAAAGATTGCCTGCTTTATTGAGATTTCAAACCTTTATCCAGCCCACACAGTTAATGGATAGGGATCAACACAGGTGCTGCTCCGTATGGGCTGGATAAAGGTTTAAGATATCATTATTGAAGCAGTCTTGGAACCGACTTGGTCCGGAGCATAGTTGTGATAGGGGGTGCAATGGATTAACCCCCCCCCCCCACGCTTGAGCCAGAACTCGGTTATACCTTCCTACCTTCCTTCCACTTAAGGCTGAATTGAGGGGATAATTTGTGATTGAATCATGATCAAAAAACTTTTGGAGATTTAGCACCTTGGTCATGAAACACAACAACTACATACTCTGTGAAGGGAAGTATTTCTACAAATTACAATAAGACTTGCAGCAGTTGCATTTTTTTTCGCATCGTTGCAAAGGTGTCTACATGTTAACGCATTTTGTTTTCATGGCTCACCTGCCCCCTTTACCCTACAAGGAGAGTTGCCGAGACCCTATTCACGTGGAGAGGACCCGACTTCCTCTACCGTACCCATAGGTGCGATGGTCTGAGATGGGCACCCTCCAAAGTGAAGGGGGTCTCGGCTGTTTTTGACCCTCAAAAGTGAAGGGTGCCCAAAAATTGCCGACGTCGAGGGGAAAATTGAAAAAATTAAATATTCAATCTTTTAACTTTAATTTTTTTCAATTTTGATTTTAACAATTTTCTATTTTTTTTATTTTAAATTTTCAAAATTTATTTGTATAAATTTTAACATAGTTAGTAAAATGTTTTCAAGCACTTCTTTCCGATAAATATCATTTCATTATCGTGTACCATAATGCGAGAAACGAAGCAAAAATCGGGACCGACCCCCCTCACTGGGACGAAGCAGGTGCTGAGGTGAGAAAAACTTAGTTTAAAGTTGACGCATCGTGTTTGAGAAATCCAATTGCAGAATTTCATGGGACGAGCAGTAATGAGTCGGCATCGAAGGGCGCATGGTCATGAAACGAATGGCTTGAGTGAAGCCTTTACGTGGGCGTATTGTACGAGACTTCGGAAAAAGACATTTTGGTTGTAATGTGGCTATAATTGTGTATAAGAATAAACAATAAATGGAAATGTTGTACACAAGCAAAGGTGTGGATAGTAACTGAGGTTTGGTTGAGGCAGGTTTGAGTTGCCAACTATACCCCCTTCGAACCAAAAAATTCGCATATCTCGGTGGAGGGGTCCTCTCATGATCTGATTTCTTTTTTATCTTGTAGAGGAGAATGTACTTGATATAGGATTTGCTTTAAGGAAGGAGAGCAACAGCACCAAGTTGAAGACACATGGATTTGTGTGTAAAATTCAAGCTCAAGAAGACTTCAGCAGTTCCTTTCGCGACAGCCCTAGTTATATCAAGTACATTCTCCTCTACAAGATAAAAAAGAAATCAGATCATGAGAGACCCCTCCACCGAGATATGGGAATTTTTTGGTTCGAAGGGGGGTATAGTTGGCAACCCAAAACTGCCTTAACCAAACCTCACTCACTATCTACACCTTTGATTGTGTACAACGTTTTCATTTATTTTTTATTCTTATACACACAATACAATGGCAAATTATTTGATTTATAGCCACATTACAGCCAAAATGTCTCTTTCCGAGTCTCGTACAACACGCCCACGTGGAGGCTCCACTCAAGCCATTCGTTTCATGACGATGCGCCCTTCCATGCCGACTCATTACTGCTCGTCCCATGAAATTCTAAAATTGGATCTCTCAAATACGATGCGTCAACTTTAAACTAAGTGTTTTCTCACCTCAGCACCTGCGTCGTCCCAGTGAGGGGAGGGGTGGGGGGTCCGATCCCGATTTTTGCTTCATTTCCCGCATTCTCGTTCCCTACACTCCCTAAATAGATTCTTTTACCTTGAATTCTACTCCACTTCATGCACACTATCATCACACTTCAAAAAAATTTTTCCCGTCCAAAGTGAAGGGGGGGGGTAGCCGGGCAGCAAAGTGAAGGGGGTTGGGATTCATCTCAGACTATAGCACCTATGACGGCACCTATGGTCCGGAGCCATTTCGAACCATGAAAGTAGAGTTCTTCCAAACTCAATTAGGTTTAGCGCTATAGTTATCTTACAACTTGAGAGGCCTTACGTAAAAGTTTGCCAAAAGTTGCAGCCCCAAGTGAAAGAAAAAGCTTTATTTGAGATCTTATATATAAAGCTGAATGTCTGTCTGTATGTCTGTCTGTATGTCTGTATGTCTGTACGTATGTGCGGAATAGAAATTTTTATTTCTGAACCGATTTGGACCAAACTTGGCACACATATACTTCGGGGCAGGGAGCGTGTCATAGGCTACTTTCCGTTATCGATCGATATCGATTTTATCGATTTTTTGCAAAATTTGAGCTACGGGGCTGGGAGTTGGCACAGGGGGGTAATCGAGCATGCTGATCACGAATATAATAATGACAGGGCCGGGCGGAGCCGGGTTTGCCAGCTAGTATTCCTATAATTGTGAACAGGCAGAAAAAGCGTTCGGCGCACAGTGTTGGCAAAATATGAGGTGTTTGAATAATTATGAATCGTTCTTCAATGCCTCTCGCAAAGAAGTGGTGTCTTAATCGAGCGCAACAGCGCTCAGTCTTTGCGTGTGATGAATTGCCTATACATCCCTACCTTTCAGTTATCTTGTTTGCCATTATGAAAATTCCTTCGGCTAATTTCAGGTTGCTTCTCGCTCTGCCTTCCCTTCGTTTTTCTTCGTCCTCCAAATCATCTACTGGGGTTGCTACCCAACGCCACAATCTCCGCTGCTCTAAACTTCTATGCACCTCATTCCAGCAGATTGCTCAACAACAAGATCTCTCCACCCACTTTTTGTCAAGAGTTTGTTCCGTTACATATCCATTTCAGAGGCTCCACGCATGCTGATTTTGTTGTCTTCAAATGCCTTCCATGAGAATTGTGTATATCTTCTTCTAATTCTCGCTGTCACAAATTGTGAAAGTTTTATCGATAATTAGAAACATAACAAGGCAAAACACCGTATGGAACACGACATCAAAGGGAAAGCACATGGTGCATACTCGAAAATGATCATCAACGATCAAAAATTGAGCTTTAACAGAAATTGTTTCGCAGTTCACGTCGATGTCTACGCATATAGTTCAAGGCTGTCTTCAAATCTGTCTTGACGGTGCAGCTGAAAGTTTTTAGTGTCACCTGTATTCTGGAAATTTTGTTGAAGACTTTTTCAAAATAGTTGAAAAATATATCAAAATAGTTAGAAAATAACCTGATTGCTAGTTCAAACTTAATTATCCCAGTATACTACTACTCCGATAAGCAGAAAATAAGAGCGGCTCATTAAAGGGTATAAAAATAGCACATTCTTGTAGTACGAAACGGAACTGTCCTGCACTTGATTCCGTCTCTAAATTTCGTCGGAGCATTATAAATGGAAAAGAAGAAGTATGGTGGGGCAACATGTTCGTTCCATCATGACCGCATGCTATCTTTGTTGGGCAATTCCGGGGACCAGTTCTCGCAAATTGATCAATAGTAGCATTAGCAGAGCCAGGAAGATGAATCAAAGCTGTTTAGCTTATCATTAGTTGCAAAAAAAAAATTTGTTTTGACCATTGAGAAGAAGAAGGATGAGCAGTAGTGAGTACATGTTTCATTAATGACTTAATCATCGGAGATTTGGGGACAGATTTCGCAAATGTTTCAAAGTTTATCAGAGCAATCAGATGAGAAATTAAGCTGATAGCTGCTTTGCTATCAAAGATATAATCCCAAAGCAAGTTTTCTGTTCAGCCATCTTACCTGCTAAAGCCCATATTATCGATAAATGGCTCTGGATACGCAAATTCCGGGCATTTTTTCCCTGCAAAGCTAATGTATCCTTTGACGAACGATATACAGATAATGATATCAAGCATGAAAGGCTTACTACTCACAGCATTTATTGAACAAGAAGTGACTTCCTTTTTCGCACATACACCTTGATCCTTTGTCGGTCTTCTCGCACATTGTGCTTTCACAAGCTCGTCTACATTGATCGTCCAACACGCAGCCGGTCTCGTTTGGTTTCAACGCTGAACTTAAATTATTGAGCAAGATGAAACTAAACTCACTCGTCAAAAAACAAAGAAATTTCTATGAAGTTTTAGACGGAGAAATTTACCCATCAGACAGCAGCCTTTGCTATTGGTTGTGGCGTGGAAGCAACTCAGACCGTTACTGCAGTCCATAGTTGTCGTGCATTCTAAAATACTGTGTCATAGGAGGATCACTGAAGGAAACTTCCACTTTGCAGCACTATATCACTATCGCGTCGCTCGATTATAAGAAGACTAGCTGGTATGCCCCATTTCGCCCGCACTCTGTTTTTAACTGGCTCGACAAAGAGCAAATTTAGTGCTCAACTCTGAAGGAGCTTATCAGCTTTCGGTTTTTTCTTACTCCTGTAACGCAGGACATATATCTTCTTAACCATATCGCTTTTACCGCCCTCCCTCATCGCGGAATGAAAATGAGTTTTACCGCTATTGTTTACACAAAACTGGAGGCGGTTTAATATCAGTTGATAAGACTTCATTCTGCTTCAAAATCGATAAATCAACAGAAGGAGTGGTAATTCCGTTGCGAAAAGTAGCCTACGGAATAGACCGTGTCGAAAACATACATGCAAATTTTGACGCCGATTGGCCCACACAGATTTTCTATAAGGAACACACTAATTAACAATTTGCCATCACTCAGCTTTATATATTTATAGATTTTAAATAATTTGGATAGAGGAAATGTTAGCCAGTTCTTCGCGGCTCCATTTTGGCAGCAACAGTGGGCGGTTCTATCCGGCGATGGTTACGGTATGTCAACATGCGCATTGGCGAAATCGCCTCCGGGCTTCCCCTTGCTCAGGGATTCGCGCCACGCGAGCGGTCCTCCTATAAGGGCTAGCGTACAAGCGGTCGACATAAGCCTAAAGCTTCCGTGCGTGCGACAAACAGCTGAAGCACCGTCCTAGCGGCAGGTAATGTACCGTGCAAACGGCCTGCGATTCAAGTGCTCGAGCGAGGGACCAGCAATGCGTCCGTCTTATCGGTCGGCAATACCTGCTGCCGTGCAAGCGGCCGACAGTGACCTCTATCGGGAGACGGCCCTTCTGAACCGATTACTGCTGCCTCTGATTGGTCGGCGCTACCGCAGGCGAGAACTACGCTGTCGTTAGAGCGTCTGAACTGGACTGCAAAGGCATTCTCATGGTAAAAAGAATCAAACAATATTTCGAGTTTCCCATGAGACTCGAAAATGTTATACGTGGACTTAAGTAAATTTTTCAGCTTACACGTGCAGCAGCTTTATGGTGTTTTGTAAACTGGGAAGGGCGGGGAAATCACGAAATGGCCTTAAAAAACATGCAACTTTTCCAATTTCGTCTTTGAATTCAAACATTGGCACTATCATTATGCGTGTGCCTCGCTTGCTTTGGAATGCTCAAAAATATTTGAAAGTCTGCCAGATTATAAAAAAGGCTGAGTAATTGGCGCCGCCCCGGGCAGAGTAATTAGCGCTAGGAGGGAGCGGTTCAGAAGGGCATACACCCACCTCTATCTTCTGCTCACTATTTTCACACATTGTGAGCTCAAACGGTACCTGCGTGAAATACGACGCAGCGTTTAAGCTGGCTAAGCGTTGACATATCTTGTTATCAACATTTTCCTTTCTCAGCAAGGCTGGAATGAACCTGTGTGAAGCCACAGTTATCAAGAGTGATGGTGTGGGCTTTACCATGGAAAGTTGGGCCACTGCTGCAGGCATCGTCCGATGTTCTCAGAGCGTAAAAGGGACTAACATATCCAAGAAAAATGGTCAGGATATCCCATATAGATCTACTCCAACAGCAAGCAAGCGGTCGACCTTCCCCGCGCAAGCGGCGAGCGTTAGGAACCGTGCGGGCGCCCCACGTTAACCGTGCCAACGGCCCTTGACGACCGTACAATCGCACACACCGACGAGCGATTGTAGGGTCATCGCTGGCCGCCCGCACGGCGCGAGTCCCTGAGTGCTTGGCGCTGGGTGTATCCCATTACTTGTGACTGTCAATTATGCAGGCGCCGATCGCGACAGGCTGGCAGTAGTCAGTTGGGGGAGAGCTCGGTTAGCCGACTCGCAAGGCATAATACACATCCTTTGTGAATGTTTTCATACTACCATATCAAAGTCTACTGTGTAATGGAAGTTTGACTTCAAATTTTGTAAGAAATAAGTAGATAGTGAACGGTTGGAAAATACCATTTATCTGATGACAGAATATGTACTTTTTGTTCACAGTACTGAAGTGACCCCTAAGCATTTCCTCTGAGACATTCTCTGTGGCCCTGCTGCATCTCTCCCGGGTTACTGTAACGTCGCGTCGCGGCAGTTTCTGATTGACACCCACAAGTAATGGGCGCCCACCCCCCCCCCTTGGCGCTTTGCCAGCCAGCCAGTAAAGCGGCATCACCTCATTTTGATCTGTCACTCGTTTTCGATCAGTAATCTTTGACGTTTTTTATTTCATTTCGGGCTCGCACCTTGATGATAAGTTCCTTCTCTGGGTTAACTCTTTTTTACCAAGCGTTCTGCAACTCCGATTAATTTGGATTGGATTTGAGTTGAACTTTACTCGAGCTCTTTCTGGAAGTCTTGTAGAAAACTAGTGAGATCTAGGAACTTGAGAGCGAAAAGGCTGTCGTGGTGCCCTAATTTTGGCGACATACCGGGGATCTTATAGATGAATCCTCGAGAGGGATAAAGCTTGTTAAGAGATAAGCAGACGGGGACCATAAATAGCATGGGATGGAGCAACGCATCCTGTGCAGAGGTGCGATAGGTGGAGCCGGGCCCCCCAAGAGTGAAGGTGGTCCCAGCTACCACTGGCCGGCCAAAAGTGAAGGTGGTAGTGTCGGACACTCACCTCCCAAAAACTTCGACGGGGGGGGGGGGGAGGAGGTGCGGGGGGAGGGGGTAGAACGGACGAACAGAGCTATCTTTCTGGGTCGAACTGTGACCCAACGGCCCTCTTTAGGGCCACAGATACGATGAATATTAAAAATATTTATAAATTTTATTTATAACAATTTGAAATATACGTGTTTAGTAAATGGTATATTTGGAAGTAAAAGCTTGTTGGACTGTACGAATTTTATCAAGTAAATTTTGTCATAACATACTGCGAAGGAAGTAGGTCGATCTAGGCAGTAACGGCCGAGAACCAGAATTTTGGATAATTAAATAGTGAAAAATTATGCGAAATCTCCACTGTTATAAATCTGTTGTTTGAAGATGTCAGCAGTTGCGACTTCATAGGTTTTGGAGAGTAAATAGTGCTCTACCAGATAGTGAAGGAGTCGAATGGACTTGAAAGATAGTCGTTGAAAACCAGAGTTTTAAAAATTTAGGCCATTTTTGCGTGTTTTTTGACAATTGACAGTTAAACTCCTACAAATCTGGAATGTGAAGGTTTGCAATGTTGCGACTTCATAGGTTTTGTAGAGCAAGAATTTCTCTATCGGAGTATATCTTAGCCGTACCGATCCATTGAGATACCGCCGAGATCCAGGGTCTTGAAAAAGCAGGTAAAAATCCGCTTTTTGAAATTCAACAGCTCATAACTTCTTCAGAATTGCACGAATCATGTTGCGACTTCATAGGTTAGATTCTTCTCATCAAGAGCTTTCAGATGATATATAATATGTGGGGGTTTCGCGCCTTTCACGGCATATGCCCGGGGGTGGAGACTTTTCACCCCAAAGTCTCCACTGGCGGTCTCCGGCCAATACATTAACATGGGCGAGGTGGAGACTTTGGGGTGAAAAGTCTCTACCCTGAGTTAGAGCCGCAAAAATCTTTGAACCCCCCACATATTATATACCATCTGAAAGCTCTTGATGAGAAGAATCTAACCTATGAAGTCGCAACATGATTCGTGCAATTCTGAAGAAGTTATGAGCTGTTGAAATTCAAAAAGCGGATTTTTACCTGCTTTTTCAAGACCCTGGATCTCGGCGGTATCTCAATGGATCGGTACGGCTAAGATATAAGAGAAATTCTTGCTCTACAAAACCTATGAAGTCGCAACATTGCAAACCTTCACATTCCAGATTTGTAGGAGTTTAAACGTCAGCTGTCACTAAGCAACCTAAAATCGCTTAATTTTTCAAAATTCTCGTTCTCGGCGGCCACTGCTCAAATCGACTCGATTCTTTCACTATCTGGTAGAACAACACTTGGTCTTCAAAACCTATGAAGTCGCAATTGCTGACATCTTCAACTACCAGATATATGACAGTGGAAATTTCGCATGATTTTTTGCTATTTTATCATTTGAAATTCTGGTTCTCGGCTGCCTACTGCCTAAATCGACCTACTACATAGATATATGCTCTCAATACTTTCTTTTACTTTCCTTTTGCTTATTTTCCTTCTTTTAAGCTTCAGCAAAAAAATTTTTTTCAAACCCAAAAGTGAAGGTGGTCACCCGGTATCAGCTCAAAAGTGAAGGTAGGCGGAGACTCGGCTCCGACTATCGCACCTCTGATCCTGTGTTTATATAACCTATGATTTGTATTCGGTATATTCTGTAATAATAGCCTCATTGCTTTTCCTTTACTTTCTTATGTCATTATCATAGACTGTTAGCAATCACGCAGGTAAGCACTGACTTCTCGTCAGATCTATTCGGACAATTCACCAGAAATTCCGCAGGACAAGCAAAATTTGCAGTGGTTCTGCAGAATTTTGTTTGCTATCACATATAGAAACGTTGGAAATAGGTACTTTGGCAGGATGTTTACGTCAGACCGGTTGAAGACGGGAACTTCCGCAGGACTTGCTACAAAATGCTGCGAATATTCCGAAAAATGCCAGCAATCCCGCAGCACTTGATCTGCCAGTACCTAAGCAGGTTTTTGAATGTGTTGTTTCTTACGATGTTTCCTCGCCAAGAACTAGAGTGCATTGTTCAACATGCATTGTAGTGCTCGAGGATAAGTGATCCCGCAATCGTTAGAACAAGGTTCGAATCTCGTTTAGGGACCCGTCATATTTCGCCGAAAAAAGCCCAAAGAAAAAAGCCCAAAAAAGCTCGAAAAAGCCCAAAAAAGCCCAAAAAGCCAAGCCCGAAAAAGCCCAAAAAAGCCCAAAAAGCCCGAAAAACCCCAAAAAAGCCCAAAAGCGCCAGAAAGAGCCGGAACACTTCTCGCACGTTTTGGCGCTAAGACATGTGTGTTGACTTCGCAATCGAGCCTTTTTGTCATTTTCTGTCGTCCGCATGATAAGATAATGCCAGAATTCTACCAAAAATTCGTTCCTAGATTCCGGCTCTTTCTGGCGCTTTCGGGCTTTTTTGGGTTTTTTTTGGGCTTTTTCGGGCTTCTTTGGGCGCTTTTGGGCTTTTTGGGCTTTTTCGGGCTTTTTTGGGCGCTTTTGGGCTTTTTTCGGCGAAGTGTGAGGGTCCCTTATTGTTAGTGTTTTGTTTTGCTGCTGGCTTTGTTCGGGATTTCTGCAGCACCTCGGCACGTTTACGGAACTTCGGCAGAGACCCGGCACAGCTTTCCCAAACGTTCCGCGGAAGTTCGCCAGTTGTCTGAGTAGGTGCTCCGGGCCTCAGCGAGGCACCACAACGCAAAAAAATGAGATTTTTTATTGTAAAGAAATGAGTGTTGATCGTGAAGAGAGTAAGTCCAAGGATTATACAGATGATCTCTAATGACCGTTCATCCCTATTTTTCGCAGTTTTCAAGTAATGATCGTATGATTGGCAGATGTTTTTCTATATTTCTAAAAATTTAGCTGTTGGCAACTTACAATCTTGAGGACGATAAAGGCTCTCAGTGAGATAAAGTCGTAAAGAACCATCACACTTACCATAAACTTATCTTTAGCTGCTGGAGACAGATATATCCCACCCAGCTCTCCCCTTCAATGCTCAGTTTTGTCAGGGCCGCGCGAACGCAGCCCCACACGCAAAAATTTAGCTGTTGGCGAATCTCAATTCGAGACTGCCACACGGGTCAGCCCGAGCTAAAGTGCAATGCTCAGGCCTCACCATGGAGGTCCTGCCTTGTTGATCGCAAGACCCTCCCAGCCAGGTAAGTTTACGAGCTGTCACCACCCCTCGGCACCTGCTCAGGTGCGTCGTATCCACCATTGCTTGCGCTGCGCACGTTCGCATAGATAGGTAACGACGCAGGTAATGCGACAAAAAATCTATAGGGTAAGAGTAAATTACTATTCAACAACACTACCCACTTTATTGAATGATTATCATCAAATAAGAAAATTCAAAATTTTCACGATTTCATGCCATCAAATGTTGCATTTGACTATGCTCATATTGGTATTGCATAATTGAAAATAAATGTAAAATCAGGAAAAGAGATTTCAAGCCAATAAGTCTAAATAGGTTTTACTTTAGAAATTATTTTATTATCTTATTACAGTTATCCAAATCATTTTATTTTTGACTGGTTGTAGTAACTATAGTTACTAATGTATTAGGCTGCTCCATCACTTGTGAAGCTGACTTATCATTTCTTGGCATTTGAGTAATCGCAGGAACATAAGAGGTTTTTTGCTTCTACGGAGATTATCCCTCGACAGCGTCCCGAATGGGTGCTAAATTTGAATTTTTGAATTCTAGAATTCAAATTTAAATTTTCGAATTTTTCAAATCCGGAATTTTTTTCGAATGTGAAGTTGAGAATACTCACGGCACGACGAAAGAAGAAAAAGAAGCTCTATGAAAGACTTATTCACTAGTAGCTTGCGGACGGAGCGCTTTCGATACCGTGCGGCCCGCGCGCGTTCACCGTTCGGCCCCGGCGCACGGAGCGTTTGGCCCCCTCACACTACAAGGCGCCGCACGGAGAGCACGTGCGCGCCGCACGGACCGAATGTCAGAGTAACCTTATATATAAAGCTGAATGTCTGTTTGTCTGTATGTATGTCTGTCTGTCTGTATGTACTATGTCTGTCTGTCTGTACGTATGTTCCGAATAGAAAATTCCATTTCTGAACCGATCCGGACCAAACTTGGCACACATACACTTCGGGCCCCGGCGCGTGTCATAGGCTACTTTTCGTCATCGATCGATATCGATTTTATCGATTTTTTGCAAAATTTGAGCTACGGGGCTGGGAGTTGGCACAGGGGGGTAAGTGAGCATGGGGATTCCGAATACTTTGAGCTACGGGGCTGGGAGTTGGCACAGGGGGGTAAGTGAGCATGGGGATTCCGAATACAATATTAGTTTTTAAAATCGTGCATTACTTTTATCGATTTTATCGATTTTTTTGCAAAGTTTGAGCTACGGGGCTGGGATTTGGCACAGGGGGGTAATCGAGCATGCTGATCACCCCCGTGGGGCTGATCAGCATGCTCGATTACACCCCCTGCCAAATTTCAGCCCCCTAGCTCAAATTTTGCAAAAAAATCGATAAAATCGATAAAAGTAATGCACGGTTTCGAAAACTAATATTGTATTCGTAATCAGCATGCTCGATTACCCCCCTGTGCCAAATCCCAGCCCCCTAGCTCAAATTTTGCAAAAAATCGATAAAATCGACATCAATCGATAACGAAAAGTGGACTGTGACATCCGCCGGGGCCCAAAGTGTATGTGTGCCAAGTTTGGTTCGGATCGGTTGAGAAATGGAATTTTCTATTCGGAACATACGGCGGAGCCGGGTAAGCCAGCTAGTCGTTATATAATTTTATGATTTTCTACTAGATACCTAGCGCCTGATTACACTTATTACGGAAAATTATATTTGACTTTATTCGTGATTTTTCGAATAGTTTCAATGTTGTGTTGTTGTAGTTATGGTGGTGTAGTTTTGATGTAAGATACTAGATATTGTATTGAGTGATGGAGAACTTATCGTTTGATTTTTTGATTTTATTCTGAGAAACATAGTGTATTTACTGATCTAATGATCAAAGCCGTCCACAGTACGAGAGGTTTTCTCAGCTCAGCTCAGTCTGTCTATATCTAATATCATAACATCGAATTATATTCGAGAAGTGTATGGTGGAGTTAAGTAAATCAATAGACTTTATTTTGATATAATAGCAAACTTGCACATTCATGGAAGGTGTATATTTTCCTTTTATGTATTTTTATATTTTTTTCTATATCTCTAAATTTTTTAACTAGCCTCCATCTCGCTGTACCAACAAATTTTGAATGCAAAAACCATGATACCTTGTTCGCACACATGAGGTTCCGTGCCACCTCTGATGGCAATCAATTCTTGACGATTTTCCAGTGGAAAATACCATAAATCCGTCTTAGCAGAACATGGATATGGTAAGAAGTACAGAATTGTGATCGTTAATATATACATCTGCAAATATGATCACATGCAGTTTGTCAGTCGATACTAACAATAGCGCCTGGACAGCAACAATGGAAAGATTAGACTAGACCATTCAGATTCTTATTGAGGAAATTCTTAAGAGAAGTTAGTCCTGCAATGTTCTTCAAAAAAATCTCAAACAACCCCATTTGCCATTTTCGAAAGACCCTTTGCGATACTCCCCAGTAAATTAAGTAGTGTAAGTTCAATCTCAGTGGAGATTTTGTGTGCTGCGAAGGGAAAACCTTCAAATGAGCACATCCCAGGAATTACGAGACTAGGAACTTCACTAGTTGACTTAACTAATGTAAGATCTTACTTGAGATTGAGTGAGAATATTCTTGCAAGAGGTTAAAAGTGTGCAACAGTGAATTTGAATATAAGAGGAAGTCCTCTTCAAAAGCTACAAGATGCTGCAAGGCATAGAAGAGGAAAATCTATGTCTGAGTTCTACTTAAGAGCTGAAATAAGATGACCAACGGGAACAAAGAGCGAGCACTTGACTACCAAACAGCAGCAACAATGACCACCACCAAGCTTAGCAACGAGCTTGCGATTTTGAGAGAGCTGATTCCTCGCGAAAAAAAGCAGACCGCGTACCAAGCTGCTCTCGAAGGACAAAAACAAACTCGCAGAAAGCAAACAGCGAGCGTCTAGAGGAGTTAGCCACTGGGCTACGTCATCACACAGTAGCGCTAACAGCAACTTTTTAACTTTATCATGCACCAAGCAATATCAAATGACAATATGTACAAAGTAGAGACACAATCTGTGAACGCAGTACTAATACAGCATAAAAAAAAACAAATTGCCACTAAAGTGAGCTCTACTATATACCACCAGCTCAACAATGCTCACTCAGGTAAGAGATCACATGGCACCAGTCTTAAGGATAAATCAAGGTAGATGAAGTAGTGCAGAGGACAGCAAATCAGAACAGCAAACACGGAAACCGAAAAGGAGAAGAAGAGACTCGACCTCATAGATAAACAAAACGCGCAGCAAAAACAACGGTAAAAGGAAGTCACCGAAATCACCTTAACATAATGGTAAGTAAGTTCTAATAACACTAGTGTCTACTTCTAAAATCACGATAAAAACCCGCACTGTTCATGTGTTAGAGCCAGGATTAGCAATGGAGCCTGGATTGTGGCCGATTCCTACCGAACCGACAGGTCCCACAGATACCGGGCCTCCAACAGAACCTGGCATGTAGCCCACTGACGCTGGCATTCCAGCAACATTGGCTGATGACACCCTGAGACATGAGATCCGAGTGCAAATAAACTCTAAACTCAGACTTACTTATCCAGACACTGTCGAATCGCAGGCCACAACGGACACTCGCCAGTTCTTGCAGCTTCTTGTGAGCAAGCCATCATCACTGACGACATCGATTCATCTTCGGTGCCGTGCTGTTTGACAGTGTTGCTGCAAAAAACAAAGTCAACGTCAAAATCAAAACGAGAAATGGCTAAGGTGTGCACGGTAGATCTATGAAGATGATTAGATTATGGCAACAATTTAGCCTTTGAAAGAACTGAAATGAGATGGTACAAAAAAGTAACCTTTACCTAAAAAAAACATCTTTTCAAAAAACGATATATAAAAAGTCACTGAAAATGACACGGTAGTGTCACCTATAGAAAATGGAAGCAAATATTCCACTACGATCGCTAAAAAAAATTATAAACTAACGTCTGCATATTGTATATGATTCGTAAGAGATGTTTTTCGTTACTTTTCGGCGCCGTTACACGACTTGGTCGGAAACAAATCTGAAATGATCATGTACTAGAAACTCTCCATAGATGTAAACTAGTGTGATTCCCTACCAGAACCAAAACATTAATAGTGTTTGCATCATACACCGTTCCAATCTGATATCGCCTTGCACTAGCGTTGCTCTGATCCCTCGCCAAACAAACCAGTTGAATTGATACGTTCCAATATGTCGACGGTGACGGATCCTATATTGTGAATAATGAAAATACGTCGAACAATACAAGTTCGCACTGACCATTTGTGCATTCATGAGCTGTGCTACGCTCGACACAGCCCCATTTGCTACCATTCGACACAAGTTGATGAAAGAGAAAACGGCCAGTTCGTTGTTCAGACGACTGACAACGTATTCAAAGTATCGTTCCAGAATTACCAAATCACTTGGAGGTGGAGAGTTTTTGCCTGGAACAAATCACTGGAAGCATCAGTTAGTTCTGGCAAGAGTGAAAAGAACAGAGACAAAGCTGCGTACATGCAAAGACTGATCACTAGGTTGACAATAAAGATTATAGATGCAAGAAGTTTCCACTCACTGTACTCCACATTCAGTTTCAAACACAACGTGTGTGGTTCCAAGTAAAAATTGAAAGACACCAGTCCACCAAGTTGCTGTGGTGTCTGAGGTGCTGAAGTTTCACTTCGCTGTGGTGGTGGCACAGCTGCAGGCACAGTGACACGCACCTAAATAATGTAATCCTCTATTCTCTTCAACAATAAATCCGTACTTACATAATCCAATCCAGATCTGATGTCGCTGAACGGCACACGTCCAGCAGATTGATGTCGCATATGCGCTTCGAACGCCAAGGTCAACTTTCGAATGAAACATAGCGAGTTCAGATAGTCATCCAATGGAGCATGCAGAAGGTTGGAACCGGCTAAATAAACGACATGAGATGGAAGAGAAATGCAGAATGCCGGACTTACGGAATTTGGTGAAATGGAACGCTCGCCGAAGTGTATCATGATCTATGACGACCGGAGCCGAAGAAGTTTCCAGTTCTGCTGGAACGCCGAATGTAGCTGGGGAAACCACCGAAGCATCTGATGTTGGTGGAACTGACAGAGATGCAGACGATAATAAGCCAGCGGGCGAAGCCTCAACTATCTGAAACCAAGTAATCGTGTAAATATCAAGAAAATTCATAGGACGTATTTCAAAAGTACAAATGAAGAACAGCAACTGTCATATACATCGTATCGCTACTTCAAGGCCGATAAGAATTATGCACTCACGTTCGGTGGCAGAGATGCTGGCTGAGCAGGAGAACTAGTGGAAGCGAAACGCTGTTCATTTTCCTTGCATGATCTGGCAGTCCCACTGAGAAAACCAACATTTAGTATCAAAGAAAATCACTCGTAGAGGGCGCTCACTTCGATAACAAATGGAAAAATTTGTGCAGTCCTGCACAGCGAGGTTTGTCACGAGAACTATCCCGAATAGCCACCTGATCTCCGGATAGCATGATAAACTCCAGATGGATATGCCCATATGTCAAACGCAGAGTAACCTCATTGATTGGCATGAGGTGGAACTGTAACAGAAAATAAGATGTAAAACGCACCCTCAATCCTAAAACAACGGTAGAACGTACCTTCAAAATTAACGGATATGGAATCTCGACGTTGAACAACTGAGCCAACACTTTACAAGATTGGAATCGTATTCTACTGAAGAATGCCAGTGAGTGCAAAGGTTCGCTTGTAGTCACCAAGTAATGCACGAGCTCGGTCAAGTCGGACTTCGCATTGAACCTGAAACAGTTGGCAACTGCGAAACAAATCGCATTGGTCAGATACTCACTTCTCCTTCAAGATAGTTGCCATCATACAGTGAGCGTTCCACCGCGTTGTTTCTTGCAAATTCACCTCGGGAGAGTCATAAATCGAGATAGGAAGAGTCTAAGGATACTTATCATTTCAGAAACACACATAGAGTGGATAATTTAACAGACCTGCCCAAAGTTTAAGTTAAAACGATCATTTGTGGTGTTGCGAGGCCGAAAAGACACAATCAGTTGTTGGTCACGCTCTCGACCGTATGCAATCACTAGTTTGTGGAAGGTGTATGCTTGCACCTGAGAAAACAGGCATTAATCATTTATCAACATTTATCGAATGACTCAGTAATGCGAACTCACGCTGCAGAACTTATTGTAGTGAGCATCGTAAGCCTTGGCGAATCTATTTACAGTGTCGTAGATATTTGAATATCTAGTGAGCCGCTCGATGATAGACGTGGCGATGGTATCGACAGGCCCACCCACAGAGATACCCGTTTGTTCGTGAACCCAAACTCCCGTCTGAGAAACAGCATAGACAAGAAAAGAGAAGAGGAATTACAATGAAGAAAACTCTTTTTGAAACTAACATTTTAGGTGAGCCGTTTTCATAATGACATGTTAACTTGGTACGTTATTGGAGGCATTTATCTTTAAGACGTATAAAGTAAGCAAGTAGAAACAGGCGAAGTAAAGTTATAAAGTACTGAGCAAGATTTGCAACAATGAAAGAAAAAAGCGAAAAAACGTTCACCTTCCTTCCCTTTTTGTAGGGACTGAGGTCTCGTACGAGCGGAATGTTTACCATGCAGCACTCCAGTGGCCAGATCACTCTTGCTCGGCTATCCAAACGCAGACAACAACGTGCCATATTCCGCAGAAAGGCGGCACAACGCACATCCACCACATTAGAAACACTGACAGTGGAAGCGTCAGTAATGATATTATATTCAAGAAATAAATAACCGACTTACTCAGTGATGTGAAGAATCAAACCACCAACATGCGGCTCTTCTTCAACGCTGCGATAACCTATCCTCTTCTTATCAAGCTCCTCACACACTCGCATGAACGATATTCGATCATCAACAGCAGCCACCGCAGTGGTAAGCTGTCTTACCATCGACGGTTCCAAACGACTACTCTGCAAATTGGCGTCGGTCTTATAAATTCCGTACTTGTTACGTGAAATAGTGGTAAAAAATACTCAACCCAGTAAGAGAATAACAAATGACAAGGCATAAGCGCAAGAAACGCAAGGTACAAAATGAAAATTACTTTTATGCTTTGTGTCCATACATCATCTTGCTCAGAACGGCCAAATGTTCTAGCTTCAATGTCCACGATACCATCGATGGGGGCAGATATTAGTCGCTTTTCCTGGAAATGAAAATTAAATGGGATTCCATATCAATCGTAATTATAAGAGAAACCACCTTATTTAGCTCCATCATCTGTACTTTCTCATCGAGCGTGCATAATAGATATAGGGACATTTTCACCGTCAGATTTTCGTTTGAAACGAAAGTCACGACCTAAACCATGAACTGACTAAATTTGAAACAACATGACATCTCTAACGCACCAAATAAAAATGCTCTTCCTTGATAAACTGCAGGCATATACGATCAGCTGGGAGAGAATGGACCTGGAGAAAAAGTCAAATGGACTTATGAAACTATCGCGCATCCAAGACTGCTTCTCCCAACTTACCTTTTTGAAAAATGGCGCCATCTGATTTTCATTAATGATGCGCACTTGAAGTGTGGCAACTGACCGTCGATATCGTTCAATCATCAAAAGGACCCTAAGTATGATAGTAGAAAAAAGTTCAGAAGTCTCAAAAAATTATGCTCACTTCAACCGATCTATCCGTTTTCGCAATAAATCAATGGACTGTCCATCATAGAGAGAAGCCTCGAACTCCTTCAGCTCAGAGGCGGAACCAGGGAGAAACTCTGAAGAGGAAATCTTTTGCTCCATCATCATTGAGAACAGAAAAGAACTTGCAAAAAATGCAAACAAAAGCTTGTTTGAAAACGAAGTAAATTTTAAGTAGAATTGGCCAATTTGAAAGCATGATTCCAGAATTGACTACCTATTGCATCCAAACTGCACAGCACGCGTCCTGTAAACATGTTCACAGATATGACTACGCATTCTTCGCGAGAATCAACACTGTCTCGAAGAAGAGGCAGCCAAAGGCATGGAGCAGCGGAACCTGCAACGTGGTCTTATATCTGACCTGGGTCGTTAAGAAAAAAAAATTCACCAGCGTAAAGAACTATCGACAGAGGCTTTGCTGCTTTCAATCGTTTTCGTATTCGCAACAACCTTTCACGACAGCGTACGACTAATGTTTCCGACAAAAGACGATCAATCGAAAGGCGCCTAAAAAACGACTAAAACTTCAAAAGAAAGAACTTATGAATCTCCTTACCCTGTCCTATCGTCTAACTGTCCAAGATCCGGTGCAATCGGATAATGTCGCACCTTTAGGACTGCGTCTTCACTCCCATCGCTGAATATAGTAACACGATACTGGGGCACATATCTATAATAGGTTTACGATTGTCATTTCCCAAATGTATGAATATCGCCTACCGAACGTGATTTCCCAGCCCTGGTTTCTTAAGACTTCCGATCCGCTGTACCCAATAGCCAATCGACAAGATACGTTCTTTTGGGTCGTATTTTTCAATAACAATTTTATTTCTAAGAATGAACGCTAAATGCTTTGATAAAAGAAATACTGCTTATGAAAACAACCTTAACCGTCCTGCAGCTAGCTGTGAAGCTTGACAGAAGAGAACATCTAACTGCAATGACTGCGCAAATGCGTGCAAGAAATTGTATACTTCATTGATTGCCTGAAAAAACACGATCAAAGGACAAAATCATGGGGCAGGAAAGCTATAAAGGCAACACCAACATTCTTCGCAATGTCCATTCTAGACTGCAGCACGTTGTGTAGCATATTCAGCTGCAGAGGATGCACGAGTTGTGCTCCATAACCGATTTCATAGTCTTCGACAAGCATTTTTATATTCAAAAGCGTCCACGGAGTTTGCTCTCGTTCACCGAGTACTGTCAGATGCACTTCAAACTCTCCAGGAATGGTAAGAATGAGCTGTAAATGTTTCAGAAGTAAAAAGAAAATGAAACGCAAGAAGTTCGTAGCGTAAAATGAGCTTTACCATGCCGTTCTTCACAACAATTCCTTTGATACGAGGAGACAACGAAGAAGCAACTTTTGATATTCGATATTGCAAAACCTGCAAAATATCTTATACAAGAAGAATAGAAGAGCAAAATAAGAAGATCAAACCTGATTGAGTCGCAGCAAAACATTTGCTTCATCCACTGGGGAGATTTTCGGTTTTAGCGTAAATCGTTCTTGAATTATGGTGGGAAGGTGAAGATAGGTACCCTACATGAACTCTACATTGTAGGCTTATATTAACCAAATGAGTATGCAGACCTTGGTTAGCACATCAACAGCAGAAGTCACTTGGAAGGCAGGAAGACGAGCAACCACAAGCTCCTCTCTGGAGATTGTTACTAGACGGTCAGCAGTCTCGATGAAATATTGCGACTGCTGATCCAAAAGGTAGCAAATTGCCTGCAAAACAAAAGTGGAACCAAGGATGAGGGAAGCTATCAAAAAAAACAAGAAGAAGCCAAGTGAAAGGGAAAGCAAACTTACGGCACATGATTCAAACTTTTTCGACGATTTTACCCATTTGACAACTGCAAGCAATTTGACAAAAAGCATTCGAGTAGAATGTGCGAACTGCACAAGACTAATCTTTCGATCTCCATCAAGCTTTTTTGGCAAGCTGAATACGGTTATAAACACTTCGAAAAAATGAAAGAAACTCCAAGAACGTAAGAAGTTATAGTAACAAAAACTTACAGTTCCGAAAGTACAGTGATCTCGTGATAGATCTGCTGAATAGCGAAATCAAGGAGATAGTTCAAACTGATGGTTGGTGGTCCACACTTATCTGGTACCACCGGCAATGCTGGCTTTGTGTGTTCCACATCGTCCATCGAGACAATGTGGTAGCCTATAACAAGCAAACATAGACGTAGCGCACCTTACAGAACAAAATCACGAGCAGTTGAAGAGCAAGAAAGAATTTCTCAGTCATAAGAGTTGAAAAATATAATGAAAATAACGCAAAGATACGCACAAATAGTTATTCTGGAACAGAAAAGTTCTCTTTTAATTTTGAAATGGCGAAACGAATACGAAATGCTGCAACCTCTTTTAACAATAGGAAAAAATGCGAGGCGATGCCGTATCAAATGCACACTGTGCATCATGAACTTTCCGCCTTAGTTTACGACTGAAAAAAGTTATTTGAAAATAATTGCCAGTACAGAGATCCCTTGCCTGAAAAAAGAGGTGTTTGGAAGGAGAGTATATGTATGAGGTTATAAACCGACAAGTGAGGAAGGGAATCCTATCCTTCGATCCAATATGCCAAAAGCAGGAAATGGAAGAGTTTTTGTCGTCTTTTAGTGCTGGAGCTTATTTATCGAAAGGAGCAATTTTCTGTTCACTTCTACCTCATACCCAACTTGCTCGTAGATAGCCATATCCTAGATGAGTTAAAAATCACGTTATGGCATTTGAACGGTATAATACACTTGTATTCGCAACAACATTTGCGCGTAGAAAGCATTCATCGTACGCAAACCAGTATATCAAGCGTGCAATTGCGATTCTTACGCGCATATGTTGTCGCTATTGTAGGTGCAGACCGTACAGTTTTCTTGCCAAAAATGCAACTGTAAATGGTTATTGATCGCACTTTGAAACAGTAACGAATTTCATGTTTGACAAGTTTATCCTGTTTGAACATTATCTGTGCATGTTTACCAGAATGATGTAGAAATGAAACAGAGGTGGCTCTCATTTATGGGATTAATCGTTTCGTACTGTTGGTTCTTCCGCAAGCTTTCATCAGTGGTCGTTTCCTTGGAGCATGAGGAATTTGCACCTTCCAGAAGCACACCAATTTTGCGAGAGTGCGCTGTAGGGGGTTCTGCTGTGCGGTTTGTATGACAACACTCACTGCTTGTAACAACGAGTGCTCCTACCATGCTCTAAGAAGACTACCACTCAACGCCATTCTCTTCGCCATTCACTGGCAGTGGCACCGTCCCGAGCGGCTTGTATCACGCGCAACCGCCTCGCTTGGGAGGTCTTCACCGCGTTCGCAAACGTGTCTGTAACCATTTTCGCACGCCTGAGCCTGTAAAAGGTTCAGAAGGTGGCTTCGCAGATTACGTACTACCCTCGATGTCATCCCATATGTCTTCCCTCAACATGACGTGGATTACGTGGCTTGATGAGGCGCCGCCTCGCCTCGGACTTGCGCCACATTGCGTGCGCATTTTCGGCGTGGTGGCAACAAGAAGAACGTGGAAAAGCCTGCGCCACGTTGTGTTGAGCGCCACGTCGCGCCAAATGATGCGCTCGCAACGTGGCGCGAGCCCGAGGCGAGGCGGCGCCTTATCAAGCCACATAATCCACGTCATGTTGAGGGAAGACATATGGGATGATATCGAGGGTATGAAAGTGGTCGTAGAGTAAGCTCGCAACGCGTTGCGAGCCGAGCGAGGCGGTTACGCGGGGTTTGAGCTGCTTGAAGCGGCGCCATTGTCAGTGAGATAGATCCTGTCGGTGACACGTTGGAAATAGTCTGCGGCCACGGGCACAGTTCATGCGTTTTTCCCGAGAAGACAACTGTTACGAGTCTATTGCGCGTGCCAATCCTTCTGCATTTCGGTTGTAATAGTTTTTCGAGAAAAATCGTCTAACTATCAACTGAAATGCAGGGTGATCGACAGGCAATGGACTTGTAACAGTTGTCTGGTCAGAGAAATCGCGAGACGACAAAGTCGCGTAAACTATGCCCGAGGCATACGATCGTCATTTCAATCAGTAGTCTTGATTTTCAGTTTTCCCACCAGGCGATCCTATGTCGTGCGGAAAACTATCAGTTGACCAGGTAAAGCTCGGTTCACGATTGGTCTGGGATTATGGAATCCATGATTATTGATTTAGGTTGATGTGAAGGATAAGAGGGTACTTATACGAGTGGATTTCAACGTACCGCAGAAAAACGGGAAAATATCCAACAACCAGCGAATTGTCGCTGCTTTGCCCACGATCAAGGTGGGCTGAACTCCATGCTAAAAATAAGACCTAATTCCATCTTCAATGCCCAGGCTTATCTTACCTAGGGCTTCTCTTTACATTACGTATAGGTCGGCACCAATCTTCCATTCATCCCTTCGCTACCGTCATCCACGTCTTCTTGGCAGGCGGTGCTGTCGCTCCTAGAGCCAGGTGTGAATCGAATCGAGCTGACTTCTCAACCAATTAATCCACTGCACACGTCTACTCATCTCGGTGGAGAACTTATTCAACGTTAGCACCACGAAGCGTGTACTCTAATGTTTTTCTCAGAGATGACCGTCCATCGATGCTTCGCTTTCGCAGCGTGTTTCGCAGGGTCACGAAGTACTGCGAAGTCCGACAGGATGTTGTTTGTGTCGGCTTATCTTCAGAAGACTGCGCTCAAGTGCTCTTTGGGTGGTCCGTGGAGCTTCCGACGTGGCTGCAGTGTCGGCCCAAGTCTCAGCTGCGTAACAGAGCGCCGGGAGAAACGTTGAGTCGAACAGGTGGGCACGAAGCTCCTGGTCCGTCAGTGGTCAGGAGTTTCCTTTAGAGGCCCGAATGCAGCCTAGGCTGCTCTTCATCTTCTGTTAAGTTCTTTCCTCAAGTCATTCTCCATGTCCATTGAACGTCCGAGATACACTAAGAGAGGTCTCCATAGTACTACTGCACAGTCGCAATAGGCGTTCTTCATGAACTTTGTCTTCTTCCGATTTATTCGCATCCGATTTATTCCGATCTTCTTCCCTACTTCGTGAGTTCCTTCAGCGTCGTCTCCGCTTCAGTGATACTGCTCGAAAAGAGAACGATGTCGTCCGCAACGAAGGTTCGGCGGAATCTCCCATCAACTCGTATGCCTCTCTCGTTCCCGTCCAGTGACTTCACCACCCCACTGCAGGCCGTGGTGAACAGCTTCGGCGAAATTGTGTTGCCTTGTCGACCCCTTTCCCAATTGGAATGATCAGGGGCGATAGAATAGCTGTATCGTGGTTGTACAGTCCTTGTACTATTTGATTCGACTGGCTTGATTTCGGGAAGGCGGGGCTTCGTGACTTAATCAAGGCTAGGTAGTGATCGGAGAGCACTCGCGCGAAAGAGACGCAGGTGCGTCGCGGGCGCGAGCGGCCTTAATTAGGTCACAAAGCTCTGCCTTCCCGAAGCCAAGCCAGTCAAATCAAAGATTAGCAATCGGCTAGGTCTTCACATAAGCTGGGTTTACTCGTTGATCGACTAACGCTGACAGAATGGCGTTCGTTCGACGCTGTCGAAGGCTTTCTCGTAATCCACGAAAGCTATAGCCCTCTAGGGCGAGAGGCAGTCGGTATTCCCGACAGACTTTTATGACCCTCGAAACCGACTGGATGTGGTCCATGCAGCTGACCTTTGCGAAATCCAGTTGGGGTTGGGCTTCATTCAGCCCTAGAATGCAAGCGAGGATAATCTTCGTGAAAAGCTTGAACAGCACACTCAGCAGGCATATTGGACGGTAGTTCCGAAGATCCTCCCGTTCGCCGTTCTTGAAATGAAGGACATTCTCTGACCGGGAATCGCTCCCTTCGAGGGTAGTATGTTAAATGCGACGCGAGAATTTTGTGTAAACGTTGTACTCCGACTCGCAGAAATCGACGGAAAGATGGCCCGGTCCGAAAGCCGTTGACGTCTCCATGGTTTGAATCGCGGTGCACACTTCGGTAGAATTCGTGGTGACATTTCTCTAGTGGGAACAACGGGCATTGGTACGAGGGTAGACGAGCAGAAGAGGTTAGTGTTGAAGTTCTTTGCGATAGATTCCATCTATCGGAAAGAAGTCGGGATCTTGTCTTCGTTCAACAACGCGACCAGCTTCGTGATATTCGTAGAGGTCTCTTCGGCACTTCCTAAGACTTCATCTTTCTTCGTCTGCTTTCAGGATTCTGGCTTGCCTGTACTTCATGACAAGGGAAGGATGGTTGGTCGAAGTGGCCTTTTGAGATGGTTGTATTTCATGTTGGAGGGCATTAAAAGCTGATTCCAAATCTGTTCTCACTATCTGCGGCGCGTTCCTGCGCGAGAAATTATGAGCGTTTATTGGGGAAAAAATTGGATGTGCAAATAATAGTAAAAACAGTAGTAACACTTTTGCTTTTTCTTTAAAATAAATACTCTTACGAGGGAAGGCTTGGTGACCGTGGCCTTTTGCAATGAGATGCGTCTAGAAGGCGCGTTTTGGAACGCTGATTCTAAATCTAGGTTCAATATCTGCTGTGCGACTCCCTGGACGAAGTTATGGACTTTTTTCCACATTGTTTTTGCGAGATTTAGGCAGACAAACTCGTCAGTATCTAGGCTTTTTAGACTCTGATATATCGGTGAACAGTTTTCTTGAGCATAACTTAAAGCTGTACTTAATCTGTACGCTCTTTTGTGGTGCGTAAGCGAACATTTTAACGATATTGGTGAACCCTGCATAAAAAACAGTGCAAATTTTGGTGGCAAAGTGTTCATAACTTCTTTCGGAGGAGCGCACAGTAGATGATCAAAACAGATTTGGTATCAGCGCTTTAAGATGCATTCAATGGTGTACGTTTCATTTCAGAAGGCCACTGTCACCAAGTATCCTTTCCTTGTTAGATGAGATACATCCGCACTGCGGCTCAAGTCTCATTCAAGCTCTGGGAAAATTTTTGTAATTGTTTTTATCCGAAAATAACATTCATTTTTCTGCTCCTTAAACATTCATGACTCCTCCTTGTGAGATCCGCCGCAGATAAGGAGGACAGATTTGGAATAAGCATTTTACGCCCTCCAACATCGCATACAAATCATCGCAAAACGCCACTTTGACTGACCATCCCTCCCTTGTGAGCCCTCCTGCAAAGCTGTTTTGTAACTGGCGTTGTCTATCAGTCACTCGAGATAGGTTGCCGGATCTTGCCTCAAACTTTTCTTTTGAGATTTTGATGGTCTTCGAGATATGTTCCAGGTTTCGTCGGAAGTCATCGAATCGCACTCTACGAACTCGTAATCTTTTCAGAAGATGGATAGGCATAAAGGTTCTGATCGTCAATCCTATCAAATAGGGAACGGCCAGAGACCTTAAACAACCAGATGTCAGCTTATCGCTTTGCTCTTAGCTAGGCATCCGGCGAAAGCTAATGTACGGAGTGAAACGTCGAACTTCTTTGAAAATTGGGAGATTGTCGCAGGACGAACCTCGGCTGTACAATGTTCTCAATTAGGTTGTGCTGAACGCAGTCAACGATATAGCTTAAAAATTTTGATATGCAAGAAACTCGTATTAGTTTGGTTTTTGGCCTCTATAGCATGATTCCAGCATTGCCTCGATAATGGTGCGAAATGTGTAGTGCTTATGTCCCATCTTGGCCGTCCTGATGGGAAGAAAAATCCGAAATTCACGTTGGCACCGGTCGCCGAAGAACTCAAAAAATTACTTGGGAAGTTCGTTACCATCCAAACCATGAAGATAACTAGTCCTTCAGACTGTGTATTCAGAGATGTCCAATTTCTCAACGACTGCGTTGGTCCTGATGTAGAAAAAGCATGTGAAAACCCAGCTCCTGGTTCCGTGATTTTATTGGAGAACCTTAGATTTTACATTGAAGAGGAAGGAAAGTGCACAAATGAAAAAGGTGAAAAGGTGCATGGACCCTTCTCTAAGTTTTCAGAGACCCCGAGATGAATGCTTTCAGATGAAAGCCAAACCTGAAGACGTTGAGAAATTTAGAGCGTCTTTGACTAAGCTCGGTGATGTCTATGTGAACGATGCATTTGGTACAGCACATAGAGCACACAGGTATAACTTCACGGTCTCAGAATTTCTGTGCGGGGAGGGGGAAGGGGCGTGGGGGGGGGGGCGACATTCTTTGGAGATAGGGCGATTATAAAACTTTTGCGAACCATGAAATTCTAGAGAACGGGGAGCCTTCCGTCTTATTGTTTACACGGTTAGACTGAGTTTTCAAAAAGTCCAGAAATCATTTTTAATTATTCACAAGCTTAAACAGTCACTCGCACAAATTTATACTACTAATTCTTCAGTTCGATGGTTGGTGTGAAACTGGAGAAACGCGCATGCGGATTTTTGATGAAGAATGAACTTGCCTACTTTGGAAAGGTGCTTTGGAACTTCATTACTCTTACATTTGTCACCACTTGAAACGTTCAGGCCCTCGGGGATCCTGCCAGACCTTTCTTAGCAATCCTCGGTGGAGCAAAAGTTGCTGATAAAATCCAGTTGATCAAGAATATGCTGGACAAGGTTCGTACTCAAGTGACGTAGATGTTTTAAGAACTGATCAGTGCAGGTCAATGAAATGATAATCGGCGGTGGTATGGCATTCACATTCCTGAAGGTGGATCAAAATGTGGAGATTGGTAAATCACTATTTGATGCGGAGGTAACAAACTTCACTTATTTGAGAGTTCATCTAGACAAGTTCTGTAATTTTAGGGAGCAAAAATCGTAAAAGAACTCCTTGCAAAGGCTAAAGAGAAGAATGTGCAAATGCATCTTCCAGTAGACTTCGTTGTGGCCGAAAAAATTGCAGACGATGTCGCAACAAAAACAGTTACAGCGCAGGAAGGGGTTCCCAAAGGTATGCTTGATAGCTGGTCCTAATTAGCATAGGCTTTTTTGATCACAGCGTGCTTTGGTAGCAGAAGGTTTACTGCTCTTTTTATTAGGTTGTAAAGAAAGTTCTGCCAATTCTTCTCGTCAACACCAACAATGAATGCGAATGCCAGGGGCTGGTTTGAAATGTGTTCTTAGTGTGCGAAGGCACCAGCTACCCAACACGCTATTCAGCTCGAAAAAATGACGATCACAAAGAAATGCCCAAAAAGAAGAAAAATCCGTTGCGCTCAGGCTTGCGAAAAGGCACATTTTTTAGATTATGGACGCGCAGAACTTCCAGAAGCTTGATTTGGAAATCCTTTTATACCTTGTGTATTGCTAAGTGAGGCAAAATCCGAATATTACTTGCCCCGGTATTTGGGTCTTTTTGCAAGCGAGAAACAATTCATTGAACTCTGGGTTCAAAAATTCGAAGTCCCCACATGTTTTGCAGCGCAGTCAGTGCGCTTTTTGAAAAAGAGCATCTATGGCATACCTAATCAGTAGGCTAAGGTGTTAGTATAAATGACCAAAATATCGCTAATTGACAACCACTCAAGATAAAGATATAAATAAAACAATTTAGCTCAGCGTCTGTTGGCAGAACTTTCTTTGCAACCTAATATTATAATCACTGTCGACAAAAAAAACCATGCCCCAACAGCCACGCTAGATGTTATGGGACAATTGAAGCAACATTCCAGGCCTCTTCCAAATTGGTAGATACTTAGCGCAAAGAAAAGTCATGGCTTCTTATGAAGATAATCTCCCAACAAAAATATCATGACCATGCAGAGTTTCCTCTGCGCCAACGCCGTGCCAGTGCCGTGCTAGCGTCGCGGCAGGACATCGATCGATTGATGCTAGGCCCGTGAACCCGTGAACATGGGGCTGGCACGATGCTGAGTGGGTGGGCAACTGTGGATGTTCTGTTAGAATGCTCCATCCTTTTGAACAAATCTTTTAAGCGTAGATAAGGCACCTAAGCGATAATTTATGGCTTCAGATCAAATGGGTCTAGACATTGGCCCGGAAACCGAGAAAAAGTTTGCTGAAGTTATTGCTAGAGCGAAAACGATTGTATGGAATGGCCCCCCGGGCGTATTTGAACATGAGAAGTTTGCTCACGGCACAAAAGCGGTGATGGATGCTGTCGTGAAAGCAACATCAGACGGTGCAACGACCATAATTGGTAGGTCACAATCTCTTTAATTCACAGAATTTCGCTTCAGTATAATATCCAGGTGGTGGTGATACCGCCACTGCATGCAAGAAATGTAAAACTGAAGACAAAGTAAGCCACGTTTCCACCGGCGGAGGAGCAAGCTTGGAATTGCTTGAAGGCATGTCGTGCACAAAGTTTCGGTTGAAGTAATGCTGACTTTTTGTCACATTTAGGAAAAGTTTTGCCCGGAGTGGATGCGCTTTCGCCTGCGCCATGAACAAGAAATTTTGTAGAAACAAATAAACACACAAACACCTGCATGTAGACTATTTTCATGAAAGTCTGGTGTTTAATGTAGATTCGTGGCACATTGTAAAAACCCAGAAACAGACATTTGTGCTCTTCACCTTAGGCGAGAGTGGTCTGGAAATGATATGACTAGGTCATGACATGCGCGATAATCGTTAATTTGATATTTATTTCGACCAAATGAGACTATATGTACAGGGGTCCAATCAAATCAACCTGAGATATAAATTACACAACTGATTTCGCTTCCGTTCGTGATCACCAAACTTCTGTGAACATCGGTCTAAACGACCCGAATTCTGATCCTTCTTTGATGTTTACTGCTCTTCCGTCGAACATCATAGGAATCATACCCTCGCTTGCTCGAGATTGAGGGTCACATGAAGATACCTAAAGAAAAAAAATTTCTTCTACGGTAGATCGACAAACTGAGAAAAGTTCTATTTAGAACTGAAGGAGAGAGTGGAAACGGGAAAGGAGGGGGGGGGGAGGGATTTCGTTAGCGCTGAGGAAACCCGTCGGTCTGTTACTAAATTAGGAAGAATTGTTGTGAAAATCCGTGACTGATCTGATTTATCGAAGACTCTCTGGGAATAATTGATGAAAAAGTTTTCAAAAAATTCAAATCAGGAATTTCCAAAATTGCCCTGAACATCAATGTCTAAAATTAATGGGTCATTGAACCCTATGAATTTCTAAGTTCTCTACTCTTTCATTCGAAAACTCAAAATTTCGAACTCTCACAGGAGCATCCAATGCTCTTTGGCGCGACCACCTACGCAGTGTTTGTCTGACAGCTGTCCAAGGTGTCTTGTCTTGCGCAAAAGTTGCCGACGTCATAGGGTCTCGTGAGCGAGGTGGTTTGACAATTCAATTGGTCCCATTAAAAAAAGTGCTCGTCGTGTTAGGCCTCGGACAGAGTTCACGCGATTTGGTCGTCGCGATTCAGTCGCTAAAGACAAGTGTTCATTGCATGCCGATCTTCTTGTAACTCGGCTGTGATAGTTCTCCAACACGACTGATCATGACTAACTACCACAACCAAAATACAAGAAGATCGGCATGCAATGAACTCGTAACACTTGTCTTTTGCGATTGAATCGCGACGATCAAATCGCATGAACTCTGCACGAGGCCTTAACGGGAATTGATGATGCATGTACCAACATGATGTTTCAAAATCACAAACAATAACTCAGTAACTTCCTGTCAGCTCATTTAAAGGCAGTGTCCGGGCAAAAACTCGATTTTGAGATTTTGTGCTTATAGGGCCTATTGGCCACGCTGAATCCGAAAATCCACATTGGAAAGCGCGAAAACGGTGAAAAAGAGCTCTAATATAGGAGGGAAATCATCAGGTGGGCGGGGCTTTCCCCAGTGCGATTTCACGCTCCCAGCTCCCGGAGCGATTTTTCCGATTCCGCTAGCCGTTCTAACATCGCTACCGGCCAAGTGCGAATGATTGACTTGAAACCGGAAGCGAGAAGGTCGCTCCGGAAGCCGGGAACGTGAATTCGCAGTGGGGAGGACCCCGCCCACCTGCTCATTTCCCTCCTGAGTTAGAGCCGTTTTTCGCCATTTTCGCGCTCTACAATGCGCATTTTCGGATTCAGCGTAGCGAATAGGCCCAAGTAAGCACAAAATCTCAAAATCGAGTTTTTGCCCGGACACTGCCTTTAAGTGCAGGGCGAGAACCTGAAAACATGGGTAGCTTACCTCTCCTCTTCTCCTATCCATAACATTTGTTCCACAGCTTTCCTTTGTATTCGCCACAAACTGTCGCGATACAAAGCCATGAGACTGCTTATCCATACCCGGATCCATGGCATCGGTATATTTTACGTTGGCTACCTGAAGCAAAAAAAAAATCAGTAATTTAGGGCTTTAGTAAATCGAACTTACCTGGTTACGCAGATCGCCAAATGTAAAGTTACCATGTTTAACGGCTCCACGACTAAGAAGTGGTATAATACCTTCAGAGCTGCTGGTTTCCTAAGTGGATAGGGGTGACTGGCAGATTCGAAGTGTTGGTAGCAAATTTACCTGATTGGCATAGGTATGACTATCAATCACATCGTTCACCGTGCTCCTTTTAACTCCGAAAGGCAACATCCCTGATCGGTTGGCGCAGCTACGAGCGTCGTTCAGTAGCGGCAGAACTTCTTCAGATTTTAGGGCCCCCTAGGAGCAGAACACGTAAATCAAATCGCCGCAGATTTTTGTTTTCATCTTTATCAGTGTTTTGCGAGAAAACGTGTACGTAGAGAATGGACGCCGTTGCGTCCGACCAAGGTAGTTCTGTTTCGCGGAGGCATCAGACAGTTAGAAAAATATAATGCGTTTGATCTGACAAGGGAACGATACGTGATGTCCTTGGCATTTTGAGATAAAACATATACCATCACACTCGTTTTAAAACGCTGATTCCAAAGCTGACTTCCTTTTCTGCTAATCGTTTCCTGAAAGAAGTTATGAAGGATTTTCGCGTCAATGGTCGCTTAAGAGAAATGCGGCCGAGGATGCCTAACTTGAAGCTTGACTGAGGCAATGCAAAACTGAAAAATACAAAAGGACTCGAACCTATGCCTACTTAACTTGCGAGGCTATCGCACTAGCCACTACACCACATCTTAGGGGCGGTTTTGGCATTCCGAACACGTCTCCTTGACGCAAAAACCCTTCATAACTTCTTTTAGAGAAACGATTAGCAGAAACGGAAGTCAGATTCGGAATCAGCGCTGCAAGATGAGTGTAATGGTATAAATTTCTCTCAAAAGGCCACGGACACCAAGTATGGTCTCCTTGTAAGAGACGCCGACAGCGTCTGGAGGTGGCGTTTTGTCTCTGCGTGCGATGAATCGTCTATGACTTCGGAGTCATCCCTTAGTCGCTTATTTTTTTTACTGCGATCTAATTTTTCAATATAAGAGACTGCATAGTCAAATCAGTTACAATGCCGATTAAAGTTTTGCACCTAATACAATCCTAGAGCTTCCTGAGCCATAATTTCGATACCTGTTTTAGTTCCGTGGCGCCGTGATCGACATCGATTGCAATATTTCTCGCCGTTCCGAAAGCACCCATACCTTCCTGAGTCATGATTGCTGGTGTTTGTTCCCAGGGGATGACGAAAGGTATATAGACATCTCTGGAATATTAAGGACATTTGCTCTTTACTCTCTGAAGCTGCGAACAAATTTGGACAAAAACGCACAGTGATTTAGGTTTCCTCGCATATCTGTCAGTGGGTTTTATCTTTTCTTCCTTGTTTCGCTCTGCGATTGTCTTCTCCTTTGGAGGCATTGGTATGGGCTCCTCTGGAGGTTTTATCGCAGGTGTCCATTTTGGTTTGGCGACAGCAGGCTTACGCTTTGGCTTTGCTTTCTTTGGTTTAGGAGGAGAGTCTTCATCATTAGGCTCTGGCTCTTCATCATCATTCGGTGACTTCCCAAGTGGGAAGGTTCCGTCAACTTCAGGTTCATCATCAGGATCTTTCAGTTTAGGATACCTAGGAGTCTTTGAAGTTGGTCTACGCTTTTTTGGAGCTTTCGTAGGTTTCTTGTTCGTAGGCTCATCTTCAGGCTCATCTTCAGGTTCATCTTCAGGCTCATCTTCGTCATCCGGTTTCTTTTTCAGTGGGAAGGTTGCATCTGTTTCAGGCTCGTCATCTGGTTCTACTAGTTTTGGAATCTTTGGTTTACTCTTGGGGGATGGCTCATTTTTGCCAGGGGATTTGGGGTCTTTGAATGACGGTGCGGGTTTCTTTTTGGTGGGACCATCGATAGGTTCTGCAGGGAGTTCGGAATCGTCATTTGGTTTCTTCTTCGGTAATGGTACTGTAGCATCCGCTTCTGGTTCGTCATCAGGTTCTTTCAGTTTGGGATACTTCTTAGGGTCAGCCGGTGCCTTGGCCGGCTTGCCCTTATCCGGAGTCTTCCCTGTAGGCTTTTCCGGCTCTTTCTTAGGATCCTTGAATGAAGGAGTGGGCTTTTTCTTAGTCAGACCATCAAGAGGTTCGGCGGGCAGTTCAGAAACCTCATTCGGTTTCTTCTTCGGGAGCGGTACTGTGGCATCCGCTTCTGGCTCATCATCGGGTTCCTTCAATTTGGGGTACTTTTTTGGATCTGCCGGTGTTTTGAGAGCTGGTTTGCCCTTATCAGAAGTCTTCCCGCTAGGCTTCTCTGGCTCTTTTGTAGGATCCTTGAAAGACGGAGTGGGCTTTTTCTTAGTCGGGCCATCTAGAGGTTCCGCAGGAAGTTCCGAATCATTTGGTTTTTTCTTCGGCAGCGGTACTGTGGCATCCGCTTCTGGCTCGTCGTCGGGATCTTTCATTTTGGGATACTTCTTGGGATCAACTGGAGTCTTGGGCTTTCCCTTCTCGGGAGTCTTTCCTGTAGGCTTCTCTGGTTCTTTTTTAGGATCTTTAAACGAAGGAGTAGGCTTTTTCTTGGTAGGACCATCCAGAGGTTCAGCGGGTAATTCAGAATCTTCGTTCGGTTTTTTCTTCGGTAAAGGTACTGTGGCATCCGCTTCTGGCTCATCGTCGGGATCTTTTAGCTTGGGGTATTTCTTGGGATCAACCGGAGCCTTGGGCTTTCCCTTCTCGGGAGTCTTTCCTGTAGGCTTCTCTGGTTCTTTTTTAGGATCTTTGAACGAAGGAGTGGGTTTTTTCTTGGTAGGACCATCCAGAGGTTCAGCGGGTAATTCAGAATCTTCGTTCGGTTTTTTCTTCGGTAAAGGTACTGTAGCATCCGCTTCTGGCTCATCATCGGGTTCCTTCAGCTTGGGATACTTATTGGGATCAACTGGTGCCTTGGCCGGCTTGCCTTTCTCGGGAGTCTTTCCCGTGGGCTTTTCCGGTTCTTTCTTGGGATCCTTAAACGAGGGCGTCGGCTTCTTCTTGGTAGAAGGACCATCCAGAGGTTCAGCGGGCAGCTCAGAATCCTCATTCGGTAATTTCTTCTTTGGAAGCGGCACGGTTGCGTCCGCTTCCGGCTCATCATCAGGTTCCTTTAGTTTGGGATACTTTTTGGGGTCAGCCGGAGTTTTGGGAGTCGGTTTGCTCTTATCGGGTGTCTTTCCCGCAGGCTTCTCTGGCTCGTTCTTTGGATCCTTAAAAGATGGGGTGGGTTTCTTTTTGAGACCGTCAAGGGGGTCCGCGGGAAGTTCAGAGTCTGGGACTGGTTTGGTCTTTTTTGCCGTAGGCTTTTCCGGCTCTTTTTTAGGATCCTTAAATGACGGGGTTGGCTTCTTTTTGGAGGGACCATCAAGAGGTTCTGCTGGAAGTTCGGTATCTTCATTCGGTTTCTTTTTCGGAAGAGGCACAGTTGCGTCCGCTTCTGGTTCATCATCAGGTTCCTTCAGTTTCGGGAACTTTTTAGGATCCATTGGTGCTTTGGAAGCTGGGCTCTTTCCAGTAGGCTTCTCAGGCTCCTTCTTGGGGTCTTTGAAAGAAGGACTGGGCTTTTTCTTCGTGGGGCCGTCGAGAGGCTCCGCTGGCAGTTCAGAGTCTGGAGCCGGTTTGGTCTTTCCTGGCATTTTTCCAGTAGGCTTTTCAGGCTCTTTCTTAGGATCTTTGAATGACGGCGTGGGCTTCTTTTTGGATGGACCGTCAGTAGGTTCTGCTGGTAGCTCCGTATCTCCAGCTGGCTTCTTCTTTGGTAGTGGAACAGTAGCGCCTGCTTCTGGTTCATCATCGGGTTCTTTCAGTTTGGGATACTTTTTTGCATCTGCTGGCTTGGGAGCAGGTTTCGCCTTTTCAGGAACCTTCGGTGCTGCGTCATCTTTTTTCACAGGCTTCTCAGGAACTTTAAACTTAGGTTTCGGCGTGTTCTTCGAGGGTGCATCGTCTAGAGGCTCTGCTTCCAGTTCTTCTTCATCTGGCTCTTTTCGAGGCGTCGGTTTTTCTGGCACTTTTTTCGGTTCTTTAAATGAGGGTTTCGGAGTTTTCTTCTTGGGAGCTTCATCCACTGGTTCCGCATCCAGTTCCTCTTCATCACCTGGTTCTTTTTTACTTGCTTTTGGCTTTTCAGGCTGTTTTTTCGGGTCCTTGAACGAAGGTTTGGGAGACTTCTTGGGCGGTTCATCGCTGATGGGCTCAGCTTCCAATTCTTCCTCATCGGCCGGTTTCTTTGGTTTCGCTGAATTTTCTGGAGCCTTTTTAGGATCTTTGAATGAGGGTTTAGGCGGCTTTTTGGAGGTAGGTTTATCGTCAAGTGGCTCAACGTCGATTTCTTCTTCTGCTGGCTTCTTTGGTTTTGTCGGTTTCTCCGGTGCCTTTTTCGGATCTTTAAACGAGGGTTTCGGGGTCTTCTTGGTAGGAACTTCATCGTCCAATGGTTGCACATCGAGCTCTTTTTCATCAGCAGGCTTTTTTGGTTTCGTTGGCTTTTCTGGAGCTTTCTTAGGATCCTTGAATGAAGGCTTTGGTGTCTTTTTGGAGGGAGCATCATCATCAAGCGGCTCCACATCCAGTTCTTCATCGTCACTCGGTTTTTTCGGTTTCGTTGCTGGCTTTTCTGGGGTTTTCTTTGGATCCTTGAATGAAGGTTTTGGTGCTTTCTTGGAGGGTTTGTCATCATCGATTGGTTCTGCGTCAAGCTCTTCTTCGTCAACTGGTTCCATTTTGATAGGAGATTTCTTTAGTTGATCTTTAGGGCCTTTTTTCGGCAACTTTTCGGGCAAATCTTTAGAATCTTTGAAAGAAGGTTTTGGGTGCTTTTTTGTAGGTTCCTCTTCGTCATCAAGTGGTTCAGCCTCTAACTCTTCTTCGTCGTCCATTGATGGCTCTGCGATCAGCACTTTAGGGATATTTTTTGCAATATCGCTTTTATTATCTTTTGGTGCTTTCTCATCAGGCACCTTTTTGGGCGAGGTCACCTTATTCGAGGCTTCTTCAGCAGACAGCTCTTCCTCATCTTCATCCTCTTCCTCTTCCTCGTCCTCCTCCTCTTCCTCATCCTCTTCTTCTTCGTCTTCTTTCTCTGCTTCTTTATCTAAACCGTTAAGCCGTTCTTTCTCCTTCTTCTTTTCATCATCATCTCCCAAACCGTATCTGCTTCTGTAAGAAGGATACGAACTCCCTGACTTTTCGGTACCATTTTCTTTCTTATCGTCCAATCCATATTTGCTCGAAGTATCGTCGCTTCTTCCATACCTGGATCGCGAAGGTGAACGGTCGAGGTAACTTGATCTCGAGGAATCACTCTTATCTGAAGCGTAACTTGGTCGCCTGTCACTTAGTGAAGTATAGCTCGGCCTTCTGTCATCCTTTGTCGAGCTATAGCTTGGCCTTTTATCATTCAGCGAACTGTAACTTGGCCTTCGATCACTGCTCGAAGAGCTTTTATCATCCTTGAGTGTACTATAGCTTGGTCTTCTATCACTTGTCGAACTGTAGCTCGGCTTGTCGTCTCGTCTTGATGAGTAACTGGAACCCTTATCATCTTTCAGGGTACTGTAGCTTGGCCTTCTGTCACTCGTTGTGCTGTAGCTTGACTTTCTGTCGTCGGTACCATATCTACTGCTCGCAGACGGACGCGTCGAGCTACCCACTCCACTCAATGATGACCGTCCAGTGTCTCGGCCAAATCTGCTTGAGCTTGTCGTGCTAGAGGGGCGCGAATTCTAAATGAGTGATTTTGAGAAGGCTACGATCAATGTAAACGGTTGCAGAAATAAGTCACACTGGCTCGAAAAAATTGCGACTGCGACATTCTATTCTCGTCGGCGTTCTGGATATGCTGAGTTTAGACATTACTTTAAATCTCTCAACATTATCAACAAAGTGCTTCTCATGGCGTTTCCGGCCTTAAAGATTGCTGAAGGGGCCATCCATCCATACAACCTCCTACAGCTAATCTATGTTTTTGATCGAGAATCTCAAATTCTCCAGTAATATCCAAAGCAAAACCCTATAAAAAGCACTTTGTTGACAAGTCAGAGAAAATTCGAGCACAGTTCCGGACTCAGCGCATCCACAAGGTCAAGGTGGGATGGAAAGCCCGTGTCGCAATCTTCCCGAACCACAGCCTTTGAGAAAATATTGTATTCGTAAAGAAAAGATCATAACAATTCTATCTCGAGCTGGTTTGATTGTATTTTACAGTACCTCAAAAGCAGTTTTGGCGAAAATTGACTATAAGTTGCGTAAGTATCCTTATATCTGAAAAGCAGTTTTGGCGAAAATTGACTATAAGTTGCGTAAGTATCCTTATACAGTTGAAAGTAAGGAAGCTATAAACTAATTATGTGAAAACCTTTAGTTTAGCTTTAGCAATAAATAGATCTGCGTTTATCTTGTAGATGTTTTTCCCGTCGAAAAACTCAGATTTTGGCGGTGATTCGTTTATCTGTCATAGGTAAAACAAATGAGGAGTTGGTGAGTTGTTTCGGCTGTCGTAAAAATGTTAGAGGTTTTATACTGCATACTTTTTGTTTTACAATGGAACGTTCGATTTTTTGCAGCATTAATCTTAGCCTGCTGCTACATTCTTTTGCAAACAAAATCTGTTACGATGCTTTTCAAAAACATTGCAAAGCAACCTCGTATCATGCATACTTTTGGAATGTTTGGTTTGCCGAGTCAGTCAAACTTCAACTTATTGTTGCATTAGATGGCCTATATTATAGACAATTTTTCTTCCCTAAAAATTTGGAAAACTCATGGAAAACCCTACGTGTGTGCTACTTAAAGGCACCGTCCACCCAGATTTTCGACTTCCACGTTTTCGTTTCAGGGCCTTCTCATGTCCCTGATTCCAAATATGAAGTTGAGAATGCTCAAAAGCCCCGAAAATTCCCGTTTCGGAGAACCCACAGGCCGGATTTCCGGAACGGTGATGGGCGCGCACAAGTGGGCGGGCATGGATGGGGGAGAGCGGGCATGGATGGGGGTCCTTGTGCGTCTTCGCTATTCCGAAGCGATTTTCTTACTTCCAAAGCGGCATTTTGCGCCGCAACTGGGCATTGGAATGATAGGGGCCCTACTATCATATGCTGCCAATAGCTCAGCACCCTCAACTTAGGGTGGGCGGTGCCTTTACGTCCACGTCAGATTTATCGAGACAGCCTACTATGGCGTGATGATTATCAATGCGGGGATAAGAAATACGGTATCGACGCTACGCTACCGACGCTGATAGCGTAAAAATCTGTAAACTTTTTATGAGTTCGTTCCTGGCGTTGTACCCGAAGGAGTGACTCAAATTGCTAATTAAGGTTAAGTTCGAAAAAAATTAGAGACAAATGAGTTGTGAGTTTCTCTCTATCTAGGGCCTTATTTGTACAAGTGAATACGGGCTTATTAATTGGAACGATGGAAAGAGTATTGATTAAAATAAAGGTATATTATCGGAATAACACTTCTAGTGGTGCAGATAGTGTAAGAATCTCTTTATAACACAAGTGAACGCAACTCGCAGGCGTCGCTACCCCGATTGAATAGTCTCGCATACGTGCTCGAGATGTTTTGCGTCTCATGAGAAACCATGGTGGATTGATAGATTCTCTCAGTATTACTTAAGTCAAAGAAGTCACGACTGAAAGCAAGCTGCAGCTATTTTGTGTGTGACAAAATGTCTTCTTCAAATAGTGACTTAATCCTGATAAGGGTTCAGTTCCGTAGGGTCCCCATTTCAGCAAGAATCTTAATAGAGAATCATAATAATAGCGCCTGCAAACTGAGTAATGATTTCGGACACATATGCTCAAAAAAAAAACTTTTTTTTTGCTCGAAGAACAAAATACCAAGCTCATCAAAAGCCTCTTCGCAGAACTAGGCTGCTGAAAACTTTCAATAATTATAATAAATTTTAGTTGCAGCCAGATACCAAGCGCTACGCTCCTCCAAATTTTGCGTCAACGGAGGTCGGCGGTCTCCTAGTAGCACGCTAAAAGAATCATGTACTACGGTAGCATGCATGGATGGTGCAAAAAGAGTTCAAATATGGAAAAAGGGAATTATACCAACATTTTCGGAGAAAGTGCATAGCTTTATCACGAACAGGAGCTGCAGAGAAGGGAAAGATAACTTTAGTGAAGCTTGCAAAGGAGAAAGTGCACTGCGATGTGTCCTCATCGTATGCCGCAAAAATCGAAAAGGTGAAGCATAGGCTTTGAACATTTCTGAGCGTTTCATGCTTGAGTATTTAATTAGCGAGAATTTTATCACTAGCCTTGGTTGAACTAATGTTAACTTCAAAAGCACTTTCTTAGAAAACAATATTTGCATTCAAGACTTGCTATCAGATGTTTTGTGTAGTTAAATAAGGAAAAGATAGCAGAAATGAAAGAAAAAGCATAAAAATAAACGATCAATAATTAGAGAAACAAACCTTCCAGCTGTAGCTCATACTGGCAAGTCGCGATATCTCCGCCTCATCACAAGCTTGAGCGTCAGCGGCAGCTGTTCGTCGGGTGCAAGAAATACTTTACAACTAACATAAGATTTTTGATATTTTAATTATTGACGAAATGAGAAAGTCGAAATTAGAAATGCTACAAGGGGGGGGGGGCAGGGGGCGCGGAGGTTAAACAAAGACTAAATGAGAAGAGAAAAGAAGTGCTGGAAGACGCATTGGTTTCCCTTGTGCATGCGAATTTCGTGTTTGTTTCGGACACTCCTTTATTATTAGGTTGGCTAAAAAATAATTTCGATCATTTTTAACAGTTTGTAGGTGTCATGGATGGAGTTTTGCATAAGCGTATGGTACCATCAGAGTAAGTTAAGGAAAATCGGAAGGTTGAATTCATTCTTTGTTTTTTCAAAGAATATTTTGTTAATGGCAAAATGGTGCGGGGCAAAAAAGTCAGTTTTTTCCGTCAAATTTCCAAAAAACTATGCTCCAAAAACAAATGAAGTTGGCTGTGAAAGTGCACGAATGGCACGCACACTCACGATTTTGATATTTCAACCATTTGCCATAGATGGTCAAATTCAAGCGATCTAAATTGCCCCAAAACTGACTTCCATGAGCAGATAAGAGGAATTCTCACATTATGGCTGCAGAAATACAAAACAACAACTCACAGTCTCCACTGTTGTTTGCCATGTAGCCAAAGTTTGTATGCACTCAGCTATAAAGCTCAGTACAAAACTTGGAAAAAAGTGATTTTTTGGAAGGTTTGTCATGTAAGGTCATTACTGTCTTTGGTTACGTTTAAGAAGTCTATATAATGGATATGTGATAATAGAGCTTGAAGCTACTCGCTCGCAAAAAAATCACAGCTAGAGGACAGGTACTTCAGTTTTTATGGAGCTTCGAAGTTGCTTTGTCAAAACGGGATTATTTATTAACCAACCTAATATTAGGTTGGCACATAAGTAATGCAACTTTTTATATAACTTTTGTCTCTTTGTACGTAGCACATTCATTTTTTGGCAATATAAGAACTATGATGTAAGCTTCTAATGCACACATTTTTGCCGAATTTTACCGTGTTATGTAAAGATAAGGGTAGGTTTACGATACTATGGGAAGAATTTTAGAATGGATCAGATTTTGCTGAAACTTGACCTATAGGGCTTATTCGACATGCTGATCACAAAAATGAGATCCGCTTCGCATGAAAAAGCCTCGTTCGCGAGATCAAAAAATGAATTTCATTTTAGCGACAAATGAATATGATATTCGTGTTTACCGTAATGGATTACCTTATTGTGCAAAGTTTTAGCGAATTCCGAGGTTTCGCAGCTTAGTTATTGACAAATTGCCTTCAAAACTTGACGCATTTGACTTGTTCAACTTCTCAAAGGCGCCCCACCTTAATTTGTGCTTAAATTTCATTTCTTTTTCACTGATTCCAATGTGCCAACTTCCAGCTACATGCTGCCTATAATTGCTTTTCCATATGTTTCAGGGTTTCGTAGGGCTTCATGTTTGCCAAAAAATCGTGAAACCTCGATTTTCAGCAGTATTCAAAAAATGCTTAGATTTTTCGTACTACGTTATCAAAAATCAAACGGTTTGCGCAGACTTGCAGCTTACATCACGTTCTACATGATATCACAAAATGAGATTGCTACATAAAATAAGAAAAAAGCTACGCGAAAAGTTGCAAAACTTATGTGCCAGCCTAATATTTTGCCGCCTGACCGAAGATGCGGACTCTATATACTGTAGTGGAAACGAACCCATCCGAAATATCATCTTCCCGTTTTACGATAACATAACCCAAGAACTAAGAACTCTGATTTCATTTTATGATTACGAACCAGATGTGCGTGGGGAACATGTGCTGCGGACAAATGACCTTTGTTACGTCATGGACGGTGAGTTCAGAAAGGCCGTTTTTTTAGCACAAAGGAAAAAAGTTTCGCGGAAGGACGACAGTAATATATATAATCGTGGCAGTAGAGAAAGGGGACGGGACAAAACGTATATCTGGATTTCGATAAAGCCAGAGAAAAGGAAACTACTTGCAGTGCAACTGTAGATCCGTCCTTCATTCCTTTTACGTATATCTAAGTCGTTCATGCGTTTGAAAAGGCCATTTGAGCCACGACGTGGTTGGGGACACCTGTGTATCTCGAACAGGATCTTCTAGCCATAGAAATGGAGAAGGTTACGTCTACGAGGTAAGAGCTTGGGCGCTACTTTGAGTGAAAATAACTTAGGGACTTGAATTTGCACATTTCGGGGTTATTTGTTGCGCTGATTACAATATAGAGAAGATGGGGTATAGTCGGTTGATCAAGTACTCAAATCTACCCGAAACTTTGTCTGACTAAGGGGGGGGGGGAGGAATTCCTCAGCACACGGAAGTCCTAACATCGAGCTGGTAGTGCTGAACCGAGAGGGAGTCCCTTTCCTCCGAGAATGAACCGAGAAGTTTTTGAAATTTGCCCATGAGATGAAATTGCAGATGACTTCCTTTTACTTTAAGGGACTGAAGTAAAGTATTGAAAGTTATTAAGAATTCCTCAGCCTTGTAAAAGAAAGCGTAGCTGACACCAAATCCTTCTTTCTAAGATTTCTTTTTGGGCGGGGGGATAAGAAATCTTGGAAATCTTGGAGTACAAAATTTTCGAAGCTTGGCTGATGTCACATCCGCCCATCTTTTTGTCGGCTTCACAACCTTCCCTGAAATTTTCTCGAAGCGCCACTAATAGATGGTGAAAGCAGTGTGAGAGCATCACATGACTTTCCGGGCTGCTCTGATTTTTTAAGGCCCGCGCCTCCGTCCTGCTACAGACTTATGTATGATTGTCTCCACGATTCGTGTAGAGGTGTACTGCAGACTTTGCCTGATAACACAGGTAAACTTGCTAAAGCTCCACGTCATAGCATTGTTTTTTGTACTCTCTCGCTGTCAAAAACCGCCACGCTTTGAGTTGGCAAAACCCCGCCTCTACACGAATCGTGGAGCCGATGATAGCTAATATGGAGCGTTTCAATTTGTTGTGAACAAGCGTTTCCCGTGCGGCACGTTCTCCGCATCTACGGCTTGTTCGCGCGGTCAACACTTGACAGTATAGAGGCACACGATATTTTATGACAGCTGTGAAGCAGAAAAGCACATCAATTCAACAAACAAACCATGTTGATTTTTTAGTAACACATTTTTTGCAACTGCGCGAATTTTCACACTTGAAAGCCTTCGATGTTCATAAATTGTACACTTTTAGAGTAAATTATTATATCCCGTTCCGTACAGTGGTCTATCATCAAATGTTTCAATTCTCGTAGTATCATCGGCTCCACGATTCGTGTAGAGGCGGAGTTTTGCGAACTCAAAGCGTGGCGGTTTTTGATAGCGAGAGAGTACAAAAAACAATGCTATGACGTAGAGGTTTAACAAGTTTAGTACCTGTGTTATCAGGCAAAGTCTGCAATACACTTTTATACGAATCGTGGAAACGATCATACAACCGTAGTGCTCTAATTATAATCGCCGCGCTTCCGCAACGCCATTGAACCACTGCCACTGAAATTTTTTCAAAAGTAGGAATTTTCACGATTTGCTGCCAATGTCTGTGCATGAACCTGGCGTTGGCACTGGACCATCTCCTCAAGTGGTAGAGTTATGGAAGAGAGTAACGTTACCTCATGAGGCCAGACCAGACCATGTTCCCATCACGCAAACTCCGTGAGTTGATTTTCCCTTCACAAAGTACTCAATTATGCATCTGTTTTTCTTGCTCTTCGTTTTTTTTTTCATTCTTTGTTACCGGAGTTGTGGACAGTGAAAGTATCGCTGCTTTAGTATATCTCAACGCTTGTCGGGAGAGCGTTCATGGCTATGGACAAACCTTTCACAGATGTCACCTGCAGATCAGGCAATCATGATGAGCAATTTGACATCGATGTGGCCATACAAGTGGGAGAGAAGGGCCCTGAATTGGCCTATGCATATTGGTCTTCTGGCAAATTGTGTCACATCGACCCTTATAGGCAAGTATTTGATTCTTTTTTTTTTCGGATTATCTGTATAATCATCCAGTACTCCAGCTACGAAGATCAGTTCCGATATGGTTATGTTCAATCCCAAAATGAGTTTCCTCGAAGCAATTCGGCAATGTCCAAAGTCGCCGTTTGTGTTTGGTGTTTACTCTTCAGGGATTGCTTATTACGTAATGCGTCAGGTTTGTTACCAGTTCATGGTTACACCTCTGTTTTCTGAATTTTGCACTGATTCACAGAACGAAGCTTTTGCCATACTGTTGTCTAGTGGTTTTGCTTGTCACGTTATTTTTTAGGAAACCTTCCTGTAATTAGTTAATTGTAGTTAATTGTTTGGTTTTCAAAACACTGGGTACCGAAAATCTCGTCCGATGTCTGTGAAATTGTGCATAATGGCAGCTTTCAGGTTTACATCATGCCTCATATATTCAACGAGAACAAGCCATGTAGCTCATGCATGTTGAGCCGTTCTGTGTTGATATCTCTAGTCAGTGGAATAATCTTACCTATGATCGCTACTCCTTATCTTTGTCATTATATCGTAAGTTCAGCTCGTAATCAAGTTTCCTATGTTAAAGTCTTCTCAGAGAATTTGTAACATTTACGGTTTTTAGTTGCTACAAAAAGAAAAGCAAAAGTTCCCTCCTGTCAAGACATATCTGGACTTCCTTGCTCTTAGTACCGAAGGTAAGGTAACGTTAGAAAGGTAATCAAACTAATACTAATCAAAAAAACGTTTTTTGAGGCAGTCGTGTTGCTAGACCTTTGATGGCAAAGCTGATCCCATTTCAAGCTGCACTGGCAGCAGCGTCCACATATGCACTGCTCTGGGGTCGAAAGAGGTACCATATTCACGTCTTAGACTTTATATAAGCTACTTCTGAGAGAATGTTTCTATTGAAATTTATTTGCAAATTCATCTTTTCGCCCTATATCGTGAGTGTCCTAGCGCAGCTGCACTAAAGTCCTTCAAAGAGTCGATTTTGAGATTTTGTGCTTACCTGCACCTATTCGTTATGCAGAATCCGAGAATCCACATCGGAGAGCTCGAAAAAAAAACGAAAAGGGCTCTAACGCAGGAGAGAAATCAGCAGGTGGGCGGCCTCCCCTCTGTAAGGCTATTTTCTCTTCGGGAGCAATCTTCTTGGTTTCGCTAGCCGCTTAAACATTGCCACCCGTTATGCGAAGGCGTGACTTAAAATCATAACTGAGAAGACCGCTCCTGGAGCTGGGAGAGTGACTCCACACAGCAGAGCCCCATCGGCCCTTCCCTCCCCCTCCCCTGCGTTGGAGCCCTTTTCGCTCTCTCCAATGCGATTTACGGATTCTGCATAGCGAATAGGCCCATGAAAAAACAAAATATCAAATCGACTTTTTGCCAGGACACCGACTTCAAATTCTTTGAATGTGGTTAATAATTTGTTACTCTCTTTTTGAGTAATTACCAATTGGGAGTTAATGTGGCTGTAGTCGGAATCTCAAGTACCCCGCACGACTGCATTACAACAGTTTGTAATGCAGTTGCGCGAAGGACTCGAGATTACTTCCGGAACATAACATAAATTGTGTAATTTTCAGGGTATTCGACACAATGGATGCTGACCCAGAGTTCGCTCGAGAATTGCTTGTTTCAGTGCAGTTGAAGCCAAGCTTAAAAACCAGATTCATAGATTTTCTTCGATCGATACCATATTGTAGCGATATCATTGGCAAACCGGCGCCAGAAACAGAACGGGTTTCGTGAAATTAGTCTAGTTGTTGTATATTATAGGTTAGATAAATATTTGCTGCTCTTGTTGTTTCGCAAGTAACTGCGCCTGTATACAAAATCTGCTAGCAAACCACATTGAGTCGCAAGCTTGCCCGTCACATCTTATTCGCGACGCGTCGCGTGATCTGCAATACCTGCTCTGTGGAAAAATCACATCTATCTAAAAGGCACCGTCCACTCAGATCCGGTTGGTAGTTGGTGGTATTTTAATGCAGTACGTCAGCGCCACTAACTAAGTAATTGCGCAAGTCTCGCTGCAGAAGGTGCATTCCAAAGCGAGAAAATCCCTCCAGAAAATGGATGCTGCTGGGGGCGTCACGCCCACCAGTTTGGGCGGCCTAAAGGTAATGAGCCGGTAATTGAAAAAAATTTTCACAGTGAAAAACAAGTCCTCCACATTGCTTGGTTCTACTGAGTTAGTTTTGGGCTCATTACTTCTAGGCCGCACAAGTTGGTGAGCACGGCGCCCCCAATAGCATCCACCTTCTGGAGTGACTTCGCTTCGGAATGCATCTTTTGCAGCGGGACTCGGGCAATAACTTAGCTAGTTGCCGCGCTACTGTGTCGCATCAAAATCTCCAACCTCAGATCTGAGTGGACGATGCCTTTTGCTTTCCATGCCTACAGGATCATACATTCAACTTTGATCGTAGCTGCGTGATGTTTATGTGGTGTTGATAACCAGTTGTACAGACACAATAGTGAGTGGTAACTTTATGGGTTGTTTATTCCATCGTCAACTATTCTGCTGCGATACTATGTGTTGTTATGATATTTTCTAGTTTTGTCGACTTTTTCTCGCTGCAGCGATCCTCGTTGCTTCCAGCTATGATCATCTCTGCGACTCCATGGGTGATTGTAGCGGCGCGCTTGTCTCATAACCTGTTTTGATTCGCAGCTCTCGTGATCCACAATGGTGGAAAACGACGTTATTATCCGCATAGCTCGACAATGTTGCTGAAATCTATCTGGTTAGCTACGTTCATCCCCGTGGCAAACTCGTTCCTCGCGTCTGCTTTTTCCTCCGTTTCACAAGCTGGAAAAACGTCGAATTGTGCCGATTGGAGTGACTATGGACCCTGCTTTAGGTAAGCGAGATTGTTATAAGGTGTTATTTTTTGTAAAAAAAAACTGATATGGCGTTTTTTGTCACATTTGTTAGGAATTTTATGTGTACGCTTTTTTTTGAAATCGGTTTGTGGGAGAAACTCAGTCCTGCAGCTTTCTTTCTCTCGATCAGTCGCTACCAATATCCTCGCCCGAAACATCATAGCCTTTCGATTAATGATCTTTTTATGAAAAACACGAATAAAAGCGTACTGTCTTGCTTACTGTAGCGCTTACACGGTCCCAATCTTATCAACCTTATCCAGAACTATTTTCTGGGATTCGAATATTGATTGCGTTGTCCTTACGAGTTAGTATAGAATAGGACTTTCACAGAGTGTTATTTGGCCGCGCCGTAAGTCTTGAAACTTGTAGTCTTCGAAAACAAAACTATAAATTTCGCATAACATCTTAAGACAATATCCGCATCTTGAGATCGGTCCTACCTCATGTTCCTAAAACCAACTTAGTAAATAAGTAGCTGGTTTCTAGGATTTGAAAGTACGACTAATCTTACTAGGGATTATAATACTTGCGATTCACATAAATTTTCCCGTATGATTGCGGTTCAAAACTTACACTCTACAAATTATTTAGGTACTTGTTCGTTGACATCACAAATCATTGTGAACCGCACAGTTTCTTGACCTTGACGGCGAAAAGTAATCACTGTTTTTACTAACCGTGAGAAAGTCAAATCAATCACTTTCCCAGCTTCTACTAGATCTATATGGTTACCAACTGACGAAGTTCAATGCTTTTACCTTCTTTCTTCCCAAACAAATGCTGTCATTTCCTGTTATGACTGAATGATGTAGTCCTCAAGACTCACGAACAATTATGGTACAACTTTTGCAACCTGCGGTGGAGTAGGTTAGTGGCGTGGAGTCAGTCACCATTGAAGAGTGTACAACAAAAGGTAAAGGCGATTTATATCAAGCAAAGACTGCGGACGAATCTGCGTCTTTCTAGTAGAGCGCTCTTTCGTTTCTCTTACCATCTGCTGTCTCTCCCATGCACAGATGTCTTTCGGCCGGACGCAACTGCGCCCAGTCTTTGCGTACCATGAACCGTGTAAAAAAAGAAGAAATTGCCCAAGTAGAGGAATGAGTGCGCAAACTGCATTGCAAATTCAAAAATCCAGTCAAACTGCGAAACTCTTTCTTTTGCAGCACATCTGATCGGTCATTTTGGCATCGACTACCGAAACAATGCTATCAAAACAGATACATGTCGGTAAGCGCTCCAGTACCTCATGGTTAAGCACCATGCCGTGAATGAACATATTCCAATATAAACTGTTTCCAGCTTATTACCGGAATAGGAAACCCAATTGTGCAAAAAGTGATGGATTACGCGGAAATGTTCAACAAATCGGCCAATGCCTGCGGTATGTGCAATGTGCAAGTGTCGTGTTCGCCAAGATGCGAGTATACCCCAGGGTTGGTAATGTGTCGATAGCACTGGTTATCGATTGATGATACGTTACCATGCAATTATTTTTAGTGGTAACTCGTTCGGCGTAGTGGATCGCATTTGTGACTTACCAACAGAAAAACAAGCTTGTGCGATGACACCACAGGCTTACGATGAGACATCTGGGGTTTGCAAAGTTTGGCCACCCAGGTGAATATTATCAATCCTTTAAAAAAGATCGTTATTTCGCAGATAGCGCAGCTTGCAGCAACCAACAGGAGCCTAAACGCTAGTCTCGGACAAAGGCGGGTGCTTGTCTTTGCGAAACAAGCGCTAACGGGGTGGCCATATCATCGCAGGACATGATATGCACACAACAAAGGCCACCTACCGTGCGCGCGCTGCGTGCGCGTGCTACAACTCGTGGGACATCCGCCTTCATTCGGGACTGACCTTCAGGCGCGAGTACGCGTCGCCGCATACTGTGCATTGTCTGCGTCTACAAAACTTCTCACGCTCCTTCACATTGGTTACATTCCAGGTATACCACCGCAGTAGAATTCCTTGGAGCGCTTGTTCCCCCAAACATACGAGATCAAGTTTGGTCGCTAAAGCCACTGAACTGTATAAGGTAATGCACAAGAAACAGCCCCAACGATTATAAAGTTCAATTTCAGCATTGAACAAAAATGTTTCTGTTGTTGTACTCCATACTTCCCAAATCCATGCGATGCTCAATGTACCCTACAACCATGTAGCCGAAGGCAGGCTTTCTCGTCAACACAGATCAAGATTTTGCGACGAAAATGGCTAGCTAAACAAGAGGAAGAGGATCAGGAGGAATGATCTACAAGCATTTGAAACTTAGGGAAACTAGAGTGCCTCGCTTCTAACTTTTGGACACAGTAATAATAGCAAGTCGTCGATTCTCATTATAAAGTCTAGTGCCCATTATTCCTCAAAACTGAAGAATCTCTCCACCACTGCCTTGCCCTTCGTTCATGTATATTAATTTAGAGCCTAGTGCTGATATAGCTATGCGGAATAAATTACCTCCACTATTTTTGATGAAACAGCGAGTAGCAGCAATCATCATTGAATAAAATGTTTAAAAACCGTTGTTGACCGTTTATCATTGACAAGCTGGATAATACCTGCTTTTGTGGATAAAAACTAATAAAAATACTATGGTAACAACCGTGAAAAGCAGTGAAGGAAACGTACAGAAAAGCAGAAAAAGCTTAGATAGCGTCGCTAGCGCTACTAGTACAAGCATATCACAAGTTGGAAAGATACAGATGAAACAACCAAGTATATCGCAACATTACCAATTTTCCAAACTATAAAAAATAAGATCAAACTATGCCAGGCAAGAAAACCCGCTAACTCCTCAACGTGGAAGTTATAAAAGATATCAAAAACCTGTCATGGGTAAACTACTTGATGGGTCGCAATCTTAGATCGATCATTTCATTCTCTTTTTGGATATGGCGAGGTTGAGGAGGAGCTCTACCTGAACTATAGCGTCTCTCGACCACTTCTTTTTCTGCACGACGATTCAAGACTGGGTTACCTGAAAAAGGAGAAATCCCGACAAGTACCTCAGTATTGCAAAATGCTAACCTACTCCATTATTTGAACTAGTGGTCAGACTCCGACTGATTTCGGACAATTTGGAACATAACGCTGGGATCGAGATACCTTCCCCACGCAATTGTTGTATGCACGCTTCTGCAGAATTCAAATATAGCGTATGTGGATTGAAAAAAAAAGAGGGATAGGAAGCACGTAGAGTTAGTACCTATATTCCTTGCTGCTTCCTGACATGCAACATCTTTCTCATTCAAACGGATCTGCAGGCACGCAACCTGCTCTTCCATCAGATGCAACTCCTGCAAGAGGAAATTCCATGAATATCTTTGTAGAAAGAAAGGATTTCGCTCACCCTCTCCCATGATGGAGCTTGTCGTACAACATTTTGAAGAGGCTGCGGGGCATGACGTGGTGTGATAGGTGGAGTGCTACCTGACACAGCCTCTAAAACAAAAACATGGTTGGTGGAAAACAATTCAAATGCGAAAATTTGTGCCCACGTGGTTTCTCCAACACAGTGTTCTTGACCTTCGTTAGCATGGATGAAGTTATGTTGCGTAGACCACTAGGTGTTTCTTCTACAGGACTTTCTGAGTTACTGGCAGGCGCGGACAGTTGACGACTGCGGTTGGGATGATCAGCGCCGGTCACTGTGAGGTGGGAGAAGTTACTCAAAGCTCCCAAACTTGCAGGCCGCGGATATTTCTGGAATGTGTGAGTTCCATAACCATCATTACCTACATTAAAAATCTAGGCATTGTTCCAGATGATGCTTTCAATAAGATTGAGATCATAGAACCTGAAGGATGCATTCGATAAGAGAAACATACATGAACAAAGTCATATGCGAGAGGTAACAGGTATTAAGCGACCTAAATCTATAAGAATGCCTTGTAACTATGGTGATGTTGATAAGATAAAAGATGTGGATCATTAGCGATAGTTGCGCTGTCAAGTGTGAAATTAACGGAAAATAGTGATAAGAAGTACAACTCTCTATGACTAAAAAAGAGAGAGTGGCTTAATGAAACCGTAATTGGACATTATGAATGTTCTGCAAACAATTAAGCAGACGATGAAGGAAAGCAGGTTTTTTTTTTTGAGAGAACGATGTACTAAGAAAGTGCAGAAATAAGTAGGAGACGTTGTGTATAGGCGATAATAAGAGAAAAATCGTTTGAATGTGGATTGTACGAACATACAGCATGCGAAGCAAAGCAAGCATTTCCTTGAAATGTTCAAAAGCATAAATTCTTGCAAAACAGAAATAAAAAGGGTGACCGAAGTTTAGCAACATACCTTAGGATTCCTAAAATGAAGTGCTTGTTGCATGAACGTGGAGACATCCACAACAGGAGGGTATCGCATCAGATATTGTAAACAACCACCGTAATCCGATTGTAGCACTTCAAAATAAGGATTTTCAGCGCCCGTAAACATATTTCAAAACTGTCCAGACTAGAACTCACAGAGATGGCGGATTTGCAGCAACATTGCAACGAATATGCATTCGACCATTCTTTCGATAGGGCGATCACAAAGAAGGACATCCCAAACATAAAGTAGATCATGAATGGAAAATTCCCGACCAAATAGTAATCGCAGCCATCTTCTGGAAGAATTGTAGGTAAACTGCAAATTTTCCCGATTTCGAGCAACTCAAACAGTGACTAAAGGCCATATTCCAACCCACATTCCGTATAATTGCGGTGGAATGTCTAGTTGATTCAAATGATTCGCAAGCAGAGGATCTACAGATTGAAGTCTTTCGCCGATTACCATCAGTTCTCGCATGATATGATTTGTTGGAGTGGCATCTTGGACCCTAAAAGGTGACGTTATCAATGAATACCGAAGAAATCATTAGTCTCACCTCATAAAAGGTCCGGATTCGGCTATAGAAGTTTTGGGTGAGGAAGAGTTATCTTCATACCACTTCGCAACCTCCAGCATAACTTCACAAAACATACCGCTAAATACTGATATCTTTGGAAAAAGAATGTAAGATACAAGGTGCTTGAACATACTAGCTATCACTTTCCAGATACTCAGGATCGTAAACGAAGGCAAGGATGGTGCGATCCCCTTCGGACAGATTTCTACACAGGGAAAGCTTTGAAGCACAAAACCATTCAACATAATTTCACTTACTGCAATCCTCCGGTCTCATTGTAGTGGCAAAATGTTTGCTGGTCAGAGTATAAAACGAACATCAGAGGGGCAAGTATCTCATGCATTCCCTAAATAGCTCTATAAATTGTAGATATTAAGTTTTTTGAAAAGCAGTACCTGCTTGTATGATACAAAAGAATTTTCTTTTGCATAGATTAATAGGATATCGCTCATCATACGGCGAATGTGTTCTTGCTGGAAAAACTCTAGCTCCGGAAACGTCCTCCCAACATCCTTTGATATGAGATCGCGAAGTTCATGATCAGCGAAGTACTGTTGCCAAGGATTCTAAACTTCTCGATTATAAACAATTGAACAATCAATGAATTTTCAGTTTTTTTAACCAAAAAATGTGTCAACAATGGTTGCAGCTTCATTCGCCTTGTAAACACATCTATCAAGCTAAACTTGGTATTTTTCTTCGCAAGAGAGGGGCGAATGATTTTTTCATATGGTTGTATCAAAATCCCCAAATCATCGAATAAAAGCAATCACATCACGCATTTGATTCAATAGCAATCAAGTGTTAGGCTTTACAGCGGCATAAATGGGAATCGTTCACAAGTTCACAAGCTCGAATGGACAATCATCAAACTGAGAAAAAAAAAGAAACTGACAAATAGGAAAATATAAACGTAAAAACATACGAGCTCCGTTTGATCCAAAGGGTTGTTTATTTGTGGATCCTGACAAAATCGGTCATCGTGTGGGTTGGGAATGTTCTTCTGTTTCAAATGAGCATACAATTTCCTAGCTCGACTTGTTACAGAAATCCATTCTACTTTTGAGATAGGCAAGCATTTCAGGTGAATCTAAATTCAAGAAGTTGAAAAATCAGGAGTAGTAACCAAATTACTACCACTCCTGCCCATCACAGTACCAAATGAACACAAATATGTTTGTAGTCGTTAAAATTGGCAAGACTTACTAACCCTCCAAGCGATCGATCGCAGATTTGACGTACGCAATCCCCCTCGCAAACAAAACGCCTTCAAGTTGTCAACATTCAGATGCTCACTCAGAATGGATGTGTAGTCACTTCTAAAAATAACTTCGAAAACTTTGAAAGAAGAAAAGGAAAACTGAAATCTTACCCAGCCGGTTTACTAGCCGGTTTCTCCATGACGAGAGAGACGGGATATAAAAACGTTGACGTGCAATGGAAAGGTGACGAAGTTTGAGGTATTCAAATGTAAATCGACGAAACTTAGTCACAAAGAAATGGGCATTGCGGAATATGTTATCGTTCTGTCATCCAATGTTGAGAAAAATCTTGAATCAAGAAATGTTAGCAGAACTTTAAAGCGCTCTTTTTGTATGACGCATGATATCAAAATATGCAAGGTATAGGAAAGATTAATCATGAAAAGGAAAAAGATAATGTATGTGAGGCCTCATTCATAGTCCATGCGATTTCGTCGCCTAGCCATTCTCGCGACAAGACAACTGTTACGAGTCCATTGCATGTCGACCTTGCATTTCGGGTAACAGTAACTCACGATTAGTCGTATCAAATAAAAAAAACCGAAATGGGAGGATCGACATGGACTGGACTCGTATGGTAGTCTTTTCGGGAGAATCGTGAGGCGATGTAATCGTGTGAACTATGCCCAAGGCCTGTAAAAGTAAGCCAAGTTCAATTACACAGTGGATGGGAAAGTGATGGGGCAAAGTGAGATGAAGCTTCAGTGGTATCAACATTTACGAACGGATTTGGCTTATGTTAGCTGCAGAACCAAAACCAGATTTATATCTGACGACCAACAACATAAAAAAGCTGGTGCCTGAAAAACTAATCAATACTGATCGAAGTCGTCGAATGACAAATCTTGGCAGTTTTCAAACGCTATTGCAAGAACAATTTGTATTCCTTCTTCTCACCAAGAAAATAGTCAAGTCAGTCGAAAAGCCAATTTTCTTGCATAATGTGAGCTTGATGCATGATAAAAAATGGTAATGGAAAATTCATATCACGAGAGCAGACGCAAAATATTTGAAAAGCAGAAATCAATAAGATATCGAATTTCTGGGAGAACGTGAGAAAATACCGAGCTGCCCAAAAGAAATCTTATGAGTAAGGTGGAATTTCGGTTCAAAGAACTCTGTTTAAGTCGCTCAACTTTGGCTTACACATCCAAAAAATCTCAGCAGGTAAACATGGGAAAAAGTTGGACGGGATACTCACGAAAAGGAATTTTGGGGGAAACTTGAGGGGACAAAAATTTATGAGCAAGTAAGAAACCTACAAGCGCTACGGAAGGGGTTTTTGAGTGAAGTAAAGAGTGGAACCGTAGCGAAAATCCGTAAAAGAGAGCACTTCAGCAAGTAGAGAGAGGAGAATAGGACCATGTCAGAAAAATCCTGGGCCTGAATCCCGGATGATGGCATGGAAAAATTGAGGGAAATCAAGGCCGTGGGGGTGGACATCATGACTAGAAATTTTTTAGAGAAGGGAAGAAAAGATGGAGTCTAGTCATAAATACGTAAAGGAAACACTCAGAAGACTTCCACTGCGATTCTTGGATAAATAATTAACCTGACCAGAAACTTTGATAGAGCTTTTGCGACTTTAGCATGCAAAAACTAATTGACTAAAAACTTGTAAGCCTGGAGCAGTGGGTTCCATTCCAGTTTCGCAAATATTGTATTTTTTTACAGAAGCCATTCGTTTTCATGCTTTGCTTTGCAATATCGAGTAGTCAAGGTAAAAACTTCATAAATTTGATATAATAAACATATATAATCATGTATAATACACAACTACATCCAAAAAATTATCTTCTTACTTACACAATTACTTCAAACTTTATTATTCAAAAAAATTCATATACATACTTAATACTCCTAAAAAACTAACTTCTCAGTGTTAAAAATAAGTTTTGCAGACCTCCCTTCCTCAGTGAAGGAGTTCCGGGGAAGGTCTGTACACACTTTTACTCCGTCTAAGGGCAGGAATGAAACGGAGCTTCTTGATTTTTTTTACATTACATTGAAAACTTTACTTCTCATTATTGTGACTCAATTTTCGGAAAAGGAAACTTCTTATTAGATAATGACAAAATTTCTCACATCTGAAGGCCATTGGGCCGCTAAATCTAAGCATAACACGATCCTGCAGACGTAACGTGCTCTTTAGAACAAAAAGAAGAATAATTGATTGCACCATTCTGCCATTCCCCCACCCCCCCCCCCTTCCGTCTACGTCAGGAACTGCGCTAGCATGCACTATGATTATAAGAGTAGAAAGAAGATAGATAACCAATCAGAAAAGTAACATTCATAATTATAGAGAGTAGAAACGAGCACGCGAATCGTTGCCTAGCTCTCACGATAGTTAGTGGCCGGCCGAACCTTTTCTAGAAAGAAAAATGCCAGCATGAAACAAATGGCATCACTAAATTGCACAGAGAGCTCATTACCAGTGCGCCTCGTTAATTCCGAGAGAAATGAAGGACATGCAAGACGGATTGACTGGAGGTAGCAAACCCAAGCGCAGGGCTTATGTAAAAAGAAGATGGAAGCGAAGTGAAAAGTAACGTTTCCGATTGGAAGAGTCATGTGCTGTTATGTTGACAACAAACAAGGAATACATTCGATGTCAAGATAAGCACATGTTGAAGGAGAGAAATGGCGTCCCGTTCATCCGAGTGCAAAATGAATTCATCGAGAAGCCCTTCATCAATGACATTTCCTGGCTTGTGCATACCAGAAGTGCAATCGAACGGCGAGACAAGTCTCTGTGAGTGTTCTTTGTGCCCAAAAAAGGACACACTGCAAGGCTTGACAAGCTTTAGCTGATAGGAAGATATCCTGTTGACAATGATGCAAAGATTTTGTGCTGGGTAAACGCTTACGGAAGCGAAAAGATGATTTTGCAAAGGAAAACATTTGTTGACAAGAACTGCATGCTTCGCTCAACAGAAAGAAACACATGGCAAGATAAACTAGGAGACAAATATATTTTCAGACTCACAGTGGAGGTTGTAGGCCCCTATCAGACTTCGCTCAAAAGCGCTCAAAGCTCAAAAGCGCCCAAAAGCATTCAAAGCGCCGAAAAGCGCTCAAGTTTCTCTGATGCCTCTTCACTTTTTTCGTGTGAGGAGATATCTTTATCTTTGTCTTTAGCTTTATCTTTATCTATACACTCGAGGTGCACCAAATAATATAAAATAATGATGAGATGAGAGAATTTGAAGGCAGCATCCAGGCAAGTTTGGACACCTGGGGATCTCACGTGGATAGTAATTTTGGGGCCCTAACTAAGCCACTGCTCAACCGGCAGCTCAGGTAGTGCTCTAACGCTGAGATATTCCCCTCTAAACTGGACCCGTATCGCATGGATTCATGGCGCAAAGCGTGTATCCGGCGCGAAACTGCCATGAATCCATGCGAATACGATCGCGGGGTCCAGTTCCGAGGGGAATATCTCAGCCGTCAGAGCACTACCTGCGCTGCCGCTTGGGTATTGTCTTAGTTAGGGCCCCATAAGTACTTTCCATGTAAAATCCCCATAGATCCAGATCCGCCTTGACGCTGCCTTTAAGAAATTTGGGTGCTTTTGAGCGAAGTCTGGCATGAGCCTATGAGCAACGAACATTCGGTTAGAACCGACATAATTGAAATCTCGATTCACTGAAACAAAGACCTGACGAGTTAAGATTTCTTCAAAAAACCACTGTCTCAATAAGTATACGAATAAAGAAACAAAATCCAAAAGACCTCTGGTCTTCAATTATATAGTGCATCCCCCAGAATTGTCCCAAATGAACCATCAACGTGGCTGTCTTCCGATCATTTTAGCACGTTAACTCCGAATAAGCGCCTCAAATTTGCTGAAGTTAACGTATTAAAACGATCGAAAGGCAGCCACGTTGATGGTTCATATGGGAAGAGTTCTGGGGGATGCACGATATACTCTATGCAAAGTCTTGAGTTGCTGAACAGAAAGAATCTATCATTTTCATTGCTCTGCTCTAATAGCAAATAACTGCGCGAGTGCGAAAAACTCTCCACCGGGCGGAATTTCCAGTGAGGACGACGCCGAAAACCGCCCTGACTGAGTATCAGATCTTTTGATGTGCACTTCGCAGCTAAATTTGAGTGAATTTTATAATGTAAAATTCTTTGACAATGGTTCTTCATTTTTCCCGTTTACATTTCAAAGTAATTTCGTGTCAGATTTGATTAAACATGAACTCGATTTTTGAGGGAGTTTGTGCTTGGAGTCGTATCGCTTAGGCCATAAATCGAAGTACCAAAACGAAGTCGCACAGATGCGAGATTGAGCACTTAATGGTGCAAAGCTGTTGTTTTGATCTCATGATTGTCACGATTTTTGGTACACTTCCCATGGCTTCTTGGGGCGCGTTGCTGAAGTGGTGTTTTTCTTCAATTAGATTTCTGTGATTTCTCGGTCTTTGGAATTTTCGTTATATTGAGCGTGGGAACGGGTCCCGTAATTTTCTTTACGTTGAGACGTGGAAACTCCAGCTTTCACAGTGGTGGTGGAGTATACGGTGCGCTTATTCTCTTTCTGGTCACATTCAAAAATCATTGACCACGTTCTGAGCAGAGCAAATCGAGGAATCATGCTCAAAACTGGAGCTGTGCTTTAAGGAGAAGTTCCGTTTTTCATGTATAAGGAGCACCACATATTTACGGGAACTTTAGCGAAAGTATTTTCGAATTCTGTAAGGCCTTGAAGGGGATGTGTTTTATTTGGGGGTGATGAATGCACTCTGAATTTGATTAAGCATCGATTAGATGCTGACTGCGAATTGAATGACTGTTTGTTAGTGTATTGTATAGTATTTTCTATCATCGACATGCGAGAAAGGCCTCTTTTCCAGTTCATTTCAATGTTCAATTTTAAATTTTCTCCAAACTATTTTTTGTCGCTGGAAATTCGTTTGCTATTGTTTGCTTCTGTAGCTTCGTTGCTGTCAGTGTATATAACTTGATATAAAGGTAACCATGTCGGGCGGATTCGAGCCGTTCGCCCTCACTGAGGATGATGTGCTGAAGCTGATTGCTACCAACGCGCACATTGGATCTGCTAATGTTGACTTCCAAATGGAGCAGTACGTCTACCAACGGCGTTTCGATGGTTTGTTTCTTGGATTTCTTGGTACCTTTCTTCTATTTCCTTTTGCTGCAGCAAATGGAGACTAGAGGTTTTGCAAGGTCGTTATGTTTCTCCTTCAACATAGCAGATGAGCTTTTAAATCTTGTTCTTTTTCATTCTTGTGTTCCAGGTACTTACATTATCAATTTGAAGAAGACATGGGAGAAGCTGCTTCTTGCTGCCCGCGCCATTGCCGCTGTTGAGAACCCTGCTGATGTGGTAGTGGTCTCTGCTCGACCATATGCCCAGAGAGCCCTGCTCAAATTCGCTGCTCACACTGGCGCAACTGCTATCTTCGGTCGTTTCAGTCCTGGTTGTCTGACTAATCAAATCCAAAAGACCTTTAAAGAGCCTCGTCTTCTGGTCATTTCTGACCCTCGCGTCGATCATCAGGTGTGTCAATTCGTTTCTGAATTACTTGTGTTTTTTGTTTTTTTTTCTTTTTTCCATAGCTATTTGTTGGGCGGTTAGCCTTTGACCTCGAGTAACTATTTGTATTTTACAACTGCAAATCCCTCATATAAAGGGCTGCACGTTTCGCATTCATATTGGCATAGTTTTAGACTTTTTCTGCATTTCTTGTTTTACTTTTCAAAATGGCCATTTTCTTAGTTGTGTGGTAGCGCTCCACTTGACGCTGATTTTGGAATTGTGTAGGCATATGCAGCTGTTTATTTTTGTGCTCGCACAATTGTATTTTTGTTCCATCCATAATCGGGCGGTAAAAAAAACTTCTTCCCACGTTTTTTAGTCAGTTATGCAGCTAAACTTTGTCTCAAAAGCAATGAGTGCATGTTTTTTTCTTTTGTCAGGCTTGCGTCAAATCTTTATCGTGACACCATAAATTTTCGCTTCCAATTTTGGTTATCTGTAAAGGCGCTCGGCAGATAGTAATCGGTATCCTCGCAAATTCGCTTGACGTATACGACTTAGTACAGGCAAAAATATGATCTTCTGAGCGCGTTATCGCACACAGTAGCACCTGCAAAATTGGCACGTCTTTTCCGAGTTTCTTAATTCAGAAAATATTTGCAGTGAATTGCTACAAAATTTGCATGTAATCCTATGAATGGAGTTGCGTTGTCTTTCGCGAAAGGGAGTAGGGAGAAGTACACAATAATTAGTAAAATACTGAGCATTCATTAGTAGTTGGTTTTAAGTTGGCGAGATTTTGATCTATATTATCTTTATGCCTTTAGGTAGTGACTGAGGCTTCTTATGTTAATGTGCCCGTCATCTCTTTCTGCAACACCGAGTCTCCACTCAAGCTGATTGATATTGCTATTCCTTGCAACAACAAGGTTTGTAAACCAGCGGTCAGTGGCGGATGATTACCCTAATCGTTTAGGGAGAGCAATCCATTGGTCTGATGTGGTGGTTGTTGGCTCGTGAGATTCTTATTTTGCGCGGAAAGATTTCTCGTCAAACTGGATTCGTTCTTGATGATAAGGAGATCATGCCTGATTTGTACTTCTACCGTGATCCTCAAGAGTCTGAGAAGCAGGAAGCCGCCGAGGTTATGCCTGAGATCAAGCCTGACTATGATGTGCCCGGAGAGACTGTCGACTTTACTGCGCAACCCGAGATCAAGGATTGGGCTTCTGAGACGGCTACATGGAACCCAGGAAGTAAGCCAGGAGAAACGGCTGGAGAATGGGGAGCTGGCGCACCCACGACCACATGGTGATCGAATGTGTTTAAGTCACGTGGTGAATTGTTCGTTGTTATTTACGACATAAATGTTATTTTCTGCTTATTACGCACTGTATAGTAAGAGTAGATTCTCAGACTTGTCTGTGGTCTTTGTAATTTGCAGCAGTTGAGAAGTACTTGTATGCCTAGGTGGTACGGGATGACCTCCGCTAGTGAGCGTCAGGTGGGCTAGTTTTGTTCTCACCTTGTGTCCTTTGAAATTCTCTATGACGTTATTGTAATACTTTGAAAATCCTTCCTCTTGATCTTATGCAATCGGTGAAATTAAGAAAAGAGGTGATTGCAACATACTCACATCCCAACAGACTGGTTCGTTGTTTGAGAGTGTTTTTTTAGCCATTTTGAGTCATATCGTAAACCGTAGCCCACATTGAGTTAACAGGCCTACGCCGTTTCCATATACATCTTTGTATGGCAGGTCTACATAAATCAGTATTTTTAATGAGTCAGTCAGTTAGAAAACCCTTCATTCATAATTTTACCAGAAAATGTCGAGTATACGCATAAACAACATTTGTTTTTATCCTATCTAACCCTATTTCTAATTCATAGTTTCCTCGAAAATTGACCTGATGTTTCGTCTAGTTTTGTGATGTAATCTTTCGCCTTCCCCGTCCCCAAGATTGTGCCTCTACCAACTCAAATCCATATTGGTCACGTCTCTTCGTACTTCCTTCAGTTTTTTGCTTTTTACCGTTTTGTTCTTCGGACTTGCTCGGAAACCTGGGAAGAACGAAGTTTAGGATAAGAAAACGAATGTGGAGCTTATCGCAATTCCGCTTCAATTTGTAAATGTCGTTTTGGGGAAGTGCGGCATTCTCACAGTAGTACTATCATTGAATGCAATAACTCGAAAGCACAGAATTGTTTCGGGTTGAAAAGTTATCCGAATCAGTGTAACACGATAACGGATGATATTGGACACTCCATGAATGGGAGGTCCATCTGTAATGAATTTCGGTTTTCTTGTGCGCATTTTTGTTCAAAATTTTCTCGATAGTTTTTATCTAGAACACGGTCTAATTGTCCATGTACTGGCAGACACGCCACAATTCATCTGGCGCGCTGCATGCTTTGAGGTTCGTGACGGACACCATAGCGTGCGACGCGCAGGGTATCTCTACACGCGCCGTACTTGGTCCGCTTCAGGCGCTTCATCCACTTCGCCATTGGTCAGTTTGCTGATCTGACCAATAGCGAAGCCGATGAAGCGGATGAAGCGGATGAAGTATGACAAGTGCTATCTCGCGGCCATGTGCGTGCCTGTGGCGGCACGCGGCAAATGTAAACACACCTTCATAAGTGATGTTTAAACTATGTAAGGAGCTCATCTGAATCAAATTTTCAACCTAATTCTTTGTCGAAATAAGGCACGCGCCATACTTCATCCGCTTGATTCACTTGATCCGCTTGATCCGCTTCATTATTGGTCAATTCAGTGAACTAACCAATAGTGAAGCGGATCAAGTGGATCAACCGGATCAAGTATGGCGCCTGCCTAACTTCGACGTACGGTATATGCCCAACTTCCATCGGCTGCGAGATAACGTGCTACAAACAAACAGAGCCCTAATCTTGTTTAAAGACCTTATTTTCGACGCATTTTCTTCAGACACACTATCAAGAGTGAAATCTCAGAAATCTCAAATTTTTTCCCAGTGCAGCATCTCTCTTCCGTCTAAAAACTTCAAAATTGCTTCTTTTAGTTGACTCTTATGTCACTGGGGCTATTTTTTATGCGGAATTGAGATGAACTAATTGCGATTTCTTTTCTTGCATAGTTACGTAAGGTACTCATATAGACATATCTTTTTGTTAATTCCCTCTTTTCTATTATCTTCTTCTTCTCACTCAGATAAAGCATGAGCAAAGCCGAAGTCACGGATTTGCGCAAAAAATTTAGCCGGTGTTGATGTGTGTTAATTCCAAAACAAACGGTTCGTTCACTACTCTTGATTTTTGTCGTTCCCAATATCTTCAGTAGAGTGTGTTTCGCCACCGTTTGTGCTATTTCGAGGCGAAGCGTTTCTGCCCCAAAATTGTATTATTTGTTTTGATTTGAGATGAATTTGATCCAACAGCTGACGCTTGCCTTACAGTTCAGTAAGCATGTACTTCTTTACCTTTTTAATCTCCCCAAAGATTTTCTGTGCGGTGCGCAATGTCATTCTTGGAATGATCGAAACATTTTTCGCAGTAGGTTTCCTAAGAACATGATCACACAAGGCATTATTCAAGACTTATCCAAGTTAATCACAAAGTCAACTTCCCTGCTGCACTATTCTTGAATCTAGACTGTGCACCTAGCGCAAATGTGTAGAAATGAGCTAGATACCAAAGTCGATATCATTATAATGATAAACATGGAATCGCCAGGAAAAATGACCTTAATCCATATGACTTTAGCGATTTTGAAGTTTATAATGAAAAGTAACACTGTAACTAGTAAGAAGTTTTATAGTTTCTTTATGGTAGTGTGTCTGAAGAAAACACCGCTGAAAATAAGGTCTTCTAACAAGATTTGGGGCTCTGTTTGTTTGGAGCACGTTATCTCGCAGCCGATGGAAGTTGGGCATATACCGTACGTCCCTAACTTCGTAGGGATTATATTCTATGATCGTCTCCACGATTCGTGTATCATCGGCTCCACGATTCGTGTAGAGGCGGGGTTTTGCCAACTCAAAGCGTGGCTGTTTTCGATAGCGAGAGAGTACAAAAAACAATGCTATGACGTGGAGGTTTAACAAGTTTACCTGTATTATCAAGCAAAGTCTGCAATACCCCTCTACACGAATCGTGGAGACGATCATAGAGGTGTATTGCAGACTTTGCCTGATAACACAGGTAAACTTGTTAAATCTCCACGTCATAGCATTGTTTCTTGTACTCTCTCGCTATCAAAAACCGCCACGCTTTGAGTTGGCAAAACCCCGCCTCTACACGAATCGTGGAGCCGATGATATGTACAGACGAGTGTTGTACCCTCGATATCATCCCATATGTCTTCCCTCAACATGACGTGGATTACGTGGCTTGATGAGGCGCCGCCTCGCCTCTGGCTCGCGCCACGTTGCGAGCGCATCATTTGGCGCGACGTGGCGCTCAACACAACGTGGCGCAGGCTTTTCCACGTTCTTCTTGTTGCCACAACACGCCGAAAATGCGCACGCAACGTGCGCAAGCCCGAGGCGAGGCGGCGCCTCATCAAGCCACGTAATCCATGTCATGTTGAGGGAAGACATATGGGATGATATCGAGGGTATATCTTACTTCTAGCCTCTTCTCCTCAAAACTCAACGTATAAGATCACCTATGAAAAAATCTGGTAGCGAATCACTTAGGATTTTTAACACGTTGACGACCGTGTGCGTCCGCGCGTATGCACGCCCAGACCACCTTTTAGCACTTTCGTGCATCAATTTATCATGTGTAAACTAAAAGTTCTCAGGTAGCTTCTATGCAGTGATAACGCTGGTGGCCTGGTTGTCATATAGAACACACGGCATTGCGGTAGCTGTTAAACAGTCTAAACCGCAGCCGTAGATCATCAGTCCATTTTGATGTGGCAAAAATGGCTCGGTCGTCAACGTGTTAAAGAATTTTTTGCTGTATTATTTTGAAAATATTTTTCTATCATATAATTGTTCAGAAATGCCGGACCGAGGATCTTCTCAAGAAGTACCCTCTTGATGTTTTTCCAAACTGGGACATTACAGCGGATGATAGGTGTGTTTTGAGGTATTCTTCTTCGCTAGACCTCGCTGTTCTGTGGTAAATTGCTCTACTTTCTCCTCACCATATTAAGTACATCTCCGTCCATAGAAGATTCATACATTTATGCATTTCTGCTTCGACTAGTGCCATCTACAGCATTTACATAGATTGCAACGTGATGTTTTTAGCTGACAATCGTTAGACTCTCCACCAACTCAGGAGCCGATACAACGTATTTCCATTTTTTATGAGAATTATATTAAATCCGCAAGGAAATCTTGCAAATTTTTCAGTCTATGTTTTTTAGCATTTTCCACTTTTATGCGATAATGCTGAAGAATCCACTGTCGAAATTCTGCATGTGTAGAACAACTGTGCATCAAAGCTTTTAGAAATGTCAAAATGTAAATTCGTGTTTTTTTCTTTAACATCAAATCACTGAACGTGGATTTAGCCTTGTTGGCTTTGCCCATAGTTTTTGCTTTGTACTTTCGGAGATCGGGTATCAGTAAGGTTTCAGGGTTTGGCACGAAATCAAATGAAATCCCTTTTGATTTTAAAAAATTTCGCACGAAGTCCCTTTTGACTCTAAGCCCTCGCAAAAAACCCTCAAAAAACGACACGCGACTAAAAAAACGTCTTTTCAACCACAAACACGATATCCCCTTTGCTTTTTGTTTCAAAAACGATATCCGGCTTGCGTGCCAGCTGTGCCAGTCCCCGGTAAGGTAGAGCAAATTTCAAATTATAGATTGTTTTTTCTTCATCTTTAGAGTGCCTGACTTAATGCAGTTCTCCGAAAGGAGTATGTAACGTGTAATAATAATAAGTTGAAAAAATTTCTTTGCGTATCTGCCCTATTCTAGAATAGCTTGCAGACCAAAAGTTACTTTACTTGCCCTTTTTCTTATGATAGCTGCCATATTCTGAGTTATGGGTATAGAGCTGCTATTTTAATCAAATTATCGTCTCAGAAAATCGTGTCTGTAGCTCATCCAATTGTTTGGCTTGCACAACGTATATGCAATCTACAGCGCACTAGGGAACCATGTTTGGTCGAAGTGGCCTTTTCAAACGGAATGTATATTATATTAAAGAGCATAGAACGCTGATTCTAAATCTGCTTCCCTTATTAGCGGAGAGTGTATGGACGAAGAGTCATGAGCATTTAATGGAGCAAAAAATGAAATGTGTATTTAGGGTAAAATTAGTTGCTAAAATCTTTCTAGCCCTTAGATAAAGCAACTAAGTGATTTTTTTAATCTGAGGGTATTCATCGGATATGTCGCTCTGATAATCATCACTGCCGTTTCATAGCGTTAGAAAAAATATTACGGCAATTTTTATTCTATTTGCACATGTAATCTTTTACTTTGATAAAAGCTCATAATTCCTCGTTCATAAACGTTCCGCAGATAAGAAAGGCAGATTTGTAATCAGCGTTTTATGCCTTCCAGTATAGTGTACATCCCACCCAAATAGGCCACTTTGACTGAACACCCTTCCGTATCAGGGTTGTAGAATAGCAATGGAACTTTTACGCTTGTTCAAAGCACTAGACTATGCCCTGACATTTCTGGAGTGATTAATTTTATAAGTTCCAAAAAAAGAGACAGGACATGCTTATAAAAACAGTGTAGTCTCTTGTGAAGCTATGCAGAGAGAACATGTTGGTTCTGTTATGACTGGCTAGTGGTTAAAATGCCCGATTCTTATAATTAACACGCGAAAATTAAGGATTGGTGCGAAAATGTCCGTTTTGCAAAGTTTTATCAAAGTTATAGCTCTGTTCAGTCTTTATATTTTTGGGTGTGATCAAGGCCATTAGAAGCAGTAAGCTTTCGTAGCTCAACGCTCACCTGCTCATACTGATATCCCAAACGGAAAGAATACCATGCGTCGAAAAACCGAAAGTGTTTTTTTTCTGAAAACTTCGTTTTTGAAAGACTACAACTCCCTTCAAGTTTTATCTCTGTGGATGGTTATCAGTTTGGTTTGAAGATGCAAGCCAATAGGATATGTTTGTCTTCGAAATGAAAAGATAAAAATAAACTAAAATTGTTTACTTTTCTCGAGCCTATTTGTTTTAGTCCTGAAAGTTCCAAATTATGAGAAATTGAATTCTTTATGCACTGAATAGCTGAGTTGTTCTGCAAGAAATGTATGCTAAATGTCCTAATGTCAAGCCTAGCGAAATTTTAACGATTTTCCAGGAGAAATTTTCAATCAATCTTCATAGAATAACAGCAGCAGTCTATTTCGGCGTCGGTTTCTCAGCCCAAATAGATCTGAAAAATATAATTAAGCATGCAGTAGGTAGACGATATCTGTCTTATAAAGTAGCTACGTTCAAAAAAAATCCATACAAAAGCGCTCAAATTATGGCTAAGGAAGTGAAAGCAATAAAATTCCGATTTTGAGTGGTGGTGTGCAAAATTCATGTGAACTTGTCACAAATGAGGATAGAAGCTTTGAACTATTGTTGGAAAGTCATAAAGAAACCTTTCCAATGATATGCAAAAAAGGAATATTAGATGGCAAAAAAGTTTTTCGTAAAAAGAGCCTAGAAAAATGACAAAATTTTTGCGCCAACCTAATACAATACTCTTCTCTTTCTACAGTTATAGCGACTGCACAGAATCGCCGGGGCTGAACGCCCGCTAGCATGTCTCTTGCGGCTGATATTGGCATTCGCGCGCATGAGTCGTCATAGTGCCCGTATCGGCAGCCGCGTTGCAGGCACGCTCGCGTGCGTTCAGCCTACAGCGATCCGGGCAATTTCTTGCAGTCAACCTTACTGCGTTCATAATTTGATATTCAGGTACTATGTGAAGGCTCCCATCGATCACCTTGGAGAATGGGCGTTTCACGTTCGCTCACATTTGACTGCTCTAATTCTGGCAGGAAATCCTGCCATCGGATTTTTGCAGGTAATTTCTGTAGTAGAGTATGAGCATTCGAACATGCGAAAATATTGGTTAGAATAAAAAACAGTATGACCGCAATAGAATATGCTTCCGCATCGAATTAAGCAGTTTGCAAGCGGAAATGTGCTCATTCACCCTCATTTCTGACGCAACTAGTATTTTTCCTGGGAGAGCGTTCTTGTTTTTGCTGCTTGAAAGTTTCATATTTCGTATGCAAAGCCTGCTTTTAGCAATTGCTTGAGGCTAAGCTGTGCTTTTCCAGTCTGTGCACACTGAAGCGATGACGAAACTTGCTCGAGCGTTCAGCATCTTGGGACTCGAGGTTTTCTTCTTCTCGCTAATCGTTGCAATGGTATGCCAAATTTTATGAAGAATTTATAGCAGTATTACAATACTGAAGAACAATATGTACATAAGCAAATGTATGAAATTGTAAAAGTAACTCTGAATCATTTGAAGAATGAAAAAAAAGAGACATAGTAGGGATAAAGATTGATGGTGTAAATAATTAATTCTGAAATGCGAATGTTTAACCTGATCTAGATAATAATCTTTGAATCAACTGGCTTGGCGGCCGGAAGGCGGGACTTCAAGACCTAGTTAAGCCGCCCGCGCCCGCGTAGTTATCTGCGTCTCCCTCACCGCGTGGTCTCACAATCAGATCACTATCTAGCCTTAGTTAGGTCATGAAGCCCCGCCTGCCAGCCGCCAAGCCAGTTGAACCAAAGGGTGTGTACCAGTTGAAGGGGTGTCCCGAGATCTCCGAAAGTGGTGTATGTGAGTCATATGTTTTTATTTGAATTGTAAAAATATTAACGTAATCATCCGCAAAATTTGGGAAACATTCCAAAAATGGTTTTTGGCTTTACAATGCTCAAACTCGTCTATGATATATCTAGGCTACTGAGTCACTTCATTTTCAAAGAAATGGTCTTCTCGAGATGCACGTATCTGCTTATTTTATACTTCGCCTACCCTTCTGCCTAGAAAGCATAGACACTTCTAGACGAAAATACGCTTGTATACTGTAATTTTGCAAAATCTAGAAAAACAAGCTAAACTCTTGACCTGTCTCGGTCAAAGTTCGTCAGTAGCAAAATGTAGTCAACAACTTTGCTGAGCGAATTGGGCTGTAAAGAACGATTGGATGCCGCTGTGAATTAATTGTAGAGGGCAATTTTTGCGAAATGTCCCTGGTTTACAACTGCTACGACTGCGATTGATCTATTATAAAACTCTCATTCGTGTTTAGTTGTTGAAAAGTATGATGGCTGCTTTATTGCCTTTCGAAGTTCTACGTATTTTTTGCTCTCAGTGATAAGGTAATTGCTCCAATATTCAATTTTGCTCATTGGAAAGTTTTTATTACAATCACATTTAGAAGTTTCTATGCTGTGAACAGTTAGCTTGCAGTAGAGCACATAAATTAGTGAAAACTACAGTTTGAGGAGTTCTGCACTAAGCCAGCGGTGGAGTCACTAAAGAGCAGACAAAATCATCCATGAAAATTCTCTTTAATGATTACATCAAAAAAGATGAAATAGGAAGGAAGCGCTTTGAAGAAATAGAAGTTAAGGGTGACGTTTTGCTTCTTCAAAGGAGCCTGCAGGAGTTCAAATCACTGTAGAAAAAAATTAGGTTGGCGCCCGAATTCTAGTCTTGGTTTCTCGAAGGGTTTGTACATTTTCAGGTTTATTCAGTAGGCGAAATCATGCGTTTTGCAATAGCATTCATTTAAAACTTTATTTCAACTCGCAAACATACAAATATAAAAACTGTGCAAGCGAGTTGTTTTTACTTGTAAATAATTGAAACAATTTCTAAAAATTTTTGAAAATTCAAATTAGCCTTGTAAAAAAATTTTTTTTCGGGCAGCCACGCCCCCTTTTTTTTATTCTTGGGGTCAGGGGCTGCAAACATTTTGGAAAGCATCCCAAAAAATCTTCGGAGTGCGTGGCTAAGGCCATGCACCTTCATCCGAAAAAAAGTTTTGTCGCGCCCCCCAAACGGAAATTCTGGGTACGCCACTGTGTGTAGAGTTTACAGAAATCTGAAACTTGTACTAAAAGTCGGTGCTGTTAACATTTTGAGTTTTAGAACTGCTCTCTTTCTCTATCTGAGAAAACTTTGTGCTTATCGGGCGTCTCTATCAAAAGCTATAATTTTCAAGAAAATGCCAAAAAGTCAAATTTGCAGTTTTCTAGTTGCTTGCTCGAAAATCATAACTTTTTATGGAAGAGGTCAGTCCACAGAATTTTTGCTCAGATGGACGGAGCAGATTATACGGCCTTTAATGCCACTTGCTCGCTTCTTTATACGAGCTCTAGATTTTTGGAAACCCTACACCGAAAAATCACAATTTGAGTAACTCGCTTCTACAGTTTCTTTTTCTACAATGTTTGCATGTCAGAAAATCTGAAAGTATGCAAACTCTTTATTAGAAAAGTCACGATTTCTTAAAAATGATGCGAACGAACTTTTGGGCCAAAGTAATAAGTTTGATAGAAGTTAGTCATCTCAAAGAGAAAAACTTTATAACGACCACTACTTGCGTCAAGTTATTAAATGCGTCTCTTGAGGCCCACTTTTTGCTTAGAATAGGCGTCTTTCAATACAAGTCCATTATTGTCAGTTCGTTAAAAGCATCTATGCAGATATGGCTCTTTGACGCTCGGCTTGGTCGTCTTCTATCCCTGCTTCTATCACTGGGTTTCTTCATCACCGGTAGTTTGAAGGTCGCTTTATGTCTTCCTCGACCTCCATCACCACCTGCACTTTGCCTGGATGAGGAGAACAGAGATTGGTTAGTCCTTGAAATAGCCATTTTTCTTTGTAAATGGCTTAAATCTGATGAGCTTTCTTTGTAAAAAATGGCTTAAATCTGATGAGCACTTGTTCTATTCTTGCAGTTTTTTTGCGGAGTGTCCCAACAAAATCTCTTGCAAGAAGTTTTGTTCTGTACTCGGCAGCTTTCCCCTGTTCTTGTTGTGTAAACTTGGCTAAACTCCAGCTATTGACTCGGCTTCTTCAAGTTTTTCTTTTCAAGGGCGTGGCCGTCGAATCATGCGCTGCTTGGCACGGCTTTCCCATGGTTCATATGGAATTATTCGAGCAGTCACTACGATCTGTCGTTATGCTCATCAATCATCTTGCTGATTGTGATTTTTGCATGTAAGTTTAGTTTATGTTTTTATAATTTTCAGAAAAATTTCGTGGTTTTTAATTTATTTTTTTTTACAAATTTTTGCGTGTATACATTATATGCTTTGTCTTCTGTTTTTTGTTGATTTCTGCTCTTTCTCGACCTGGAAATGCTAAATAATGGAGGTGTATCTTTAATTCATTTGTAACTTATTATGTGAGTCTGCACACAACGCGCGGCAACTGACGGCATCCTTAGCAACTTCCTATTAGAACACTTTTGAGCGTGAAGAACGCAGAAATATGTACTAGCATGAGATACATATCTAATCGAAAAAAAAAACAGGGAAAGAAGGAGAAATCACTGGAAATAAGCAGGTTCTAATCTCACAAGTCGTCAAATAGGGCGCATAGTGTGCAGTGCACAAATTAAGTTACAAATGTCTCAAACCTTTTTACTCTTCCATCAATTTTGATCCATAGCTTTATAGCTATGAGACTTCCTTGAATTTTTTTTGCTTGTCCGTCTCAAAATTTTTTCGCCGCCGCTTGTGTCATTATTCTCACCGCACTGTCACCCAGTGTGTCAAACACTGATGTATGAACTGAACTGCGGTGATCTGCTTAGTCTGACATCTGCACAAAGTTCTTGTCAGTTTCTTCACACTCGAAGAGTGGATCAATTGTTAGCGCTAGCACAAGCTGCTTGTCATCATTCCGAGCGCTGTTTAGATGCACCCTCTTAGAAAAAAGCTTTCCAAGACGCATCCCTTGGATTTCAATTATATAACTTTTTGAGAACACTCGATGTCATGAAAGTAACTTTATGAATGCATGTGCTAGCGTTTATTAATTGACAAAGTTTCTGAGGAACGTGAAGCGGGTATATGCGCCAATTTTTTATATTTGTATGTGATTTTCAATTTTCGGATCGAGCAGTGGCGACTATGTTTTGAGAAAAGTTCTTACGAAAAATAGCTTTGATCTGATGAAATATGATAGCTTGTCATTCTTCAAACTTGCTTTGAAATTCTTACTTACTCTCATAATCAATTGGGACATCTTCATTTTTGTCAAAAACAGTTTTCACTTTACATCTAGTCATTGATAATTACCTGTGAATGGTCATTAGTTTTCAATATCACTTAGTTCCGATTTCTATGTATCCCTTAGAACAAGGATTTTACAGTTAGTGTCAGTCAGTTATTGGCCCACACGATGTTCTAATGTCGCATCAACCATAGTTTTTTTTCTTTTGAGAATAGGCACTATCATGACCATGTAAGGAAATTTCTTATTCAAAGTCTGTGTGTCATTCCTGTTTTGAAATTCAAGCGGATATTAGTCATTGTATTCTATTCTTATCAAGAATGAGTCAGGGGTAAAGTTTTCTTTTTTCTGTTATATCCTGGGCATAAATTCTGGGCAGATGAAATTTCTCTGCACTTCCTAACGGCATTCGTAGCTGATCTTATGCCCTGTGCTAACGATTTTTCTTCATTATTTTGGATTTTGAATGAATACATAGATGTTAGCGTTAGCTCTCCCAAACTTCCTCACACTTCCCTTCAAACTAAACGGTAAAATTCTCATTATGGTTTGAAAACATACATTTGTTGGGCAAATTTTGTGTCCTTAATTGGGGAGGCTCTGTAATTGATGCAAAATTAAGGTAAGGCAGAAATTTGTGTGACATCCTAAGAGTTAGCGAGAATTGTGATGTCACAATTTTCAAAAGATAAAAGAAATAAATAAACTTGAGATGTGACAGTTTGAGTAAGGAATTTTTTGACTCTTCTTCAAACTACTCATTTTTTCACACTTCCACCTCATTTTATAATATTTGCTCTCGGTTTTTTGATCGGTGCTGTTTGGATTTCTTACTACATGGAATCATAGTACACAGAATCCACTTACGTAAGCGAAAATACTTCTATTTTGTTTTTTTATGGTTACGACCTCAAGGTTCCTGTTATATTGGTGGCATACTGTAGCATTTTTCATGAATTCTCATCTGCTTTGTCTGTACTTTTTGAGGCTTGTGAGTGCCAAGACGAACTTCAGAATAATGTTTCCTTCTTGCTTTGTCAGTCCAGGCATTTGTAAGTATGATGAAACGGACTTTTTTCGAAAAATTCTGACAATTGATGACTGATACATGAAAACAGCGAATTCACGGATGCTATTTAATCCCATTATGAAATTGAGCGTGTGGCGCCGATAGAAAGAAAAAAATGCCTGAATCTTAGCGTGGAAAAATAACGCGTTCAGTCAGCTCAAACCAGTCCCCAGCTGGATTTTACTGAAAAAATATATGAGTTTGCATGGACAGTATAAGCGACGGTAGTTTAGTTAATACAGAACTTTCATAAAATCGTGAAAATTCGGCTGCGGTCTTTGCGCGTCCATTCAGCTCAGCCCTTTCTATATCTAACAAAGGAAGGATACTTGATCGAAGTGGCTTATCCATATGAGATGTATACTATTTTATAGAGCATGGAACGCTGTTTCCAAATCTGCTTTCTTTATCTGCAAAGCGCTTGTGGGAGGGGAGTTGTAGTTTTTTGAGGTAAAAAGTCAATGATATGGCTAAAGTAAAAACAGGTTTTGTGGTCTTTTCGGCGCTTGAAGGGAGGATGACTGATATGAGTTCATATTAGGTTGAAAGTATGTATTGCATACATCATGGACCCATTTTGAGCTCACGGTCTAAAGTTCCAAGTGTTCTCATGGTAGCGGCGCTTTCAAATTTTTGCACCAAAAAATTTCCACAACTCCCCTCCCAAAAGCGCTTTGCAGATACCGAAAGCAATTTTGAAATCACCACGCTCTATAAAGTAGTTTACATCTTATATGGAAACGCTACTTTGACCAAGTATCCTTTCCTTGTAAGAGTTATCATATGAATGCAAAAAAATCTCCCGAGTAGAGAAGGAAACGAAGAGAAAGCCGTTGCCCTGCTACTCGACGTGCGCGCCGTCGCCATTGACTGCTACAAATTTGCAAGAATTTTTATCTGTAAGTCTCATTTGCCAGCAAAAACGATAAAACATAAAAATTAATTTCTTGAAGCTTAGATTTTTATTTTTCAAATTATAGCGCTAATGCAGTAAGATATACAAATAAAGTTCCAATTATTCCCTTCCTTCTCAAGTTTTTCTGGATGAATCTATGCATTTAGACATTGCCACCACGTGGGTCCAAGCTAGACATAGTTCCTAAAAACAGAACTTTACGTTTGGCTGCACCAATGCCGCGTCCACTCTGCGTTCTGCGGTTGGCAGTGGCGAGAGCGCGACCGCGCAGTCAAGCGCAGATCCTGTTCTCTTCAGAGAGACCGTCTCCGTTCCGGCGCGATTCTGATGCGTGAGAGTGCAAGTGCGCGGCTTTGCATTGTTCCCGGCCGTGACCGCGACGGTCTCTCCTTCAACGGCCGTGGCCATCGCCGCGCTTTCGCCATTCTCTCTATCCGTTTCTCGCTCTTCCACGGCTCGAGCAATTTACCGCCACTGATCGCTTATCGATTCTGCCTCTCACGTCTGACTTTTCAAACTTTGATAGTTTCCAGATTTTTCAGACTTTTTCGAAAACATCCATACGAACCGAATATTTGAGATGCCAAATTGAACATTTGGCAGCTTTATCTAGCAAAATATTGCTGAAACCAACTTCTTCTGATTTAACTAGAAATTTTCAACCGCTATTTAGGCTTCAAGATGGAAGCTTTGGAGAGTTTTGAGCGCAGTATCAGCTGCTCGTCATCTCATTTGTTCGGCTCATCTCCTGCGAGGTGTGAAAATGACAAATGCTATATCATTTTTCACAAGCTCAAAAGTCATTGAGTCATTGGCCAAAGATTTGTTCAGGGGTGTCTTTTCGGCAACGAAACTTTGGATTCTTTTGAAATAAAATGCAAAATTGATACAGATGAAATTTTGTTTCTGTTTCTACTCTTTCTCAAATACTCCCGACTAGATGCAAGTAGAGAATTATGTGCCATCTATATATAAAAAATTGTTGTGCCTATTCAAAAAAGATGAAATTCGGGAAACCGTGCGGCCACAGCGAAAGCGCCTGCATATCTAGCACCTTCACGATTACTGCTTCACTGGCAATTCCTGAATAACTTTGAATTTTTTAGAACAGTAAAGCTTGAACTGATCTAGATTCTCTACCGAGGAGTTCCGGAAATGGTACTTAGATCAAAACTCCGTTTAAGGGAAGGGACGAAACGGAAGAACTCGTTACATAACTTTTTCTCTTTATATAGGAGGAAAAAGTTCCATTTCAGTATGTTCTGGAGTGGAACCAGGACTTCTAGCGATTGATTTACATATGAAATTTCCAAAATGTGTACAATTTTCTTCATGTCCTTACATTATGCTCAACAATGAAAATCGTCCAGTTTAGTTCCACACGTATTTGTCTTGAAATCTAAACAATTTTAGGCGTATGTAGGTGCAGTTGTTTGCTATTTTGCCCCTTTCTTCTTTCTTTTTTCTTTATTTTTGGTAATTTTTCATTCTTTTGTTTCTACCATCGATATTAAATTAGCCAGCTATAATATGTACATGACTACGATGATGATGGTGATCTGCGTATATCGTACGACCTAGTTTTTTAGTGATGGGTTGTCAGTTGATGTTAACGATGAGTAACGATAAACTAGCAGCGCATCTAGGATTACTACTATTGTCACTGTCACCCCTATGATTAGGCTTCATTCTGCTTGCAAGTTACTTCTTTTTGCATACATTGTGCATCCATTTGGAATAATTTTTTCATCTATAAAAAATGAGAGCCTTCCGATTTTTCTGATCACTTTTAGGAGAGAACGTTGCCAACAAGTGGTTTTCAAGTTGACGTTGAACTTTCAAAATGCTCTTTACAGCATTTGTTTTCAACGCGTTTCCATGGCTTGAATGTGACATCTGGGATTCTCTCACGCAATGTTTTGTACCATTTAGACCTTCGTCTTTCCTTCAACCCAATTACTTCAGTTTTCGATAGAACTGTCATTATAGTGATATAAAACAAAATGCATGCAGTAGAAATACGAAATTTCAAAATATTCGATACTGCAAAATGAAAAATCATTTTCATAGTTGGGCGAATTTTTTTTTGCATGCTATCAAGTTTTTTTCTCTGCATTTTCTTATCGTGCATGTAGATCCATTGGTCCTTGAGTTAGTGGTCGTAAAGGATTATGAAGGTTCTCTCCTTCAGCATGAGCTTGAATTATTTCATGCTTCTTCCGCGAATGTAATTACCGAAAAAACAGCATTATTACTGATCTGACGTCACAGCTCAATTTGCTTACATCTCTAAACTCAACATCAGGGAACCCCGATTTGGATCATTCGCCTTTTTTCATACAAGAATTATGATATACGAGTGTCAAAGTCTATTTTTTTATTTTACCTACCTAGATTTTACTTTGAATCGTTTGCAGTATGAGGAAGTATGCCTTTTCAGCCTCTGTCAGCGACGCCTTTGAGACTTGGCAAAAAACGAATTTGCAGTGAGAGAGAAGGCTAAACTGATTCCGCTGGCCTCTCAATTACAATCGCTTCTTGATTGCATGACGTAGGAATGTCAATGAAAGTAGCTGAATGTGTCAATGTCCCCTTTTGCAAATGCTGTTCTCCCTCTCCTTCAAATTCAGCTGAATGTCTCTTCTCATTAGTGGACAACTCGAAGTATCTCCAGTCAAGTTTCGGTGTTCAAACATATGACTTCAGGATCTTAAGCCATTTTTTATTCACTGAACAAATTCTCAGTCGTCTCCACTAATTTTCTCGTTCCTAATGAAATGCACTTTCTGGTCCGATATTGATGTGTTTCCATTGTTCTTCGCTTGTCTTAGTCTCATATGACAATAGAGACGATTTTTTAAACTTTATTCATGGAGTTTATACCTCTTAGCCCAAAGGAGTGATTACGTGAAGATAATCTGACCAGGGCTGGCACCAGCTGGATATCGTTTCTGGGACAAAAAGCAAAGGGGATATCGTTTCGTGGCCGAAAAGTGCTACGTTTTGTCGACATTTCCTTTTCAGGGTCTTTTCACGTTTGGCGTTTCGGGTCAAAGAAAACTTACTAAAACTTAGCGAAAGTCAAGGGGGATTTTTTTTTGGAAATTCTTGCCAGCTTGTGCCGAGCCCTAAATCTGACTATGATGACCCATGTATATTCCATAGAAACGCGGGGGAGTTTGCTTTTTTAGCTCGCTTATTTCTTGAAGATTTCATCGTCGGCACGTCTTTCCATCACAACTGATCATCACGATTCCTCTTGACAAAGCGTTGTCGCATAAAACTTATTTGCAACCGAAACTTACATTCTGGAAAGGAATTTTTATGGCCGTTATAAACACCAACTTATCGTACCATCAATTTTATGTCTTTTTAAACGAAATTTTATGTTTTCTAAGTAACATCGTTTAAAATATCCCTTTTTAGGGAACGGAGGTGTAAGCTGGTCCCGCATCTACTTAGGGGTTCATTCACCATGCGATGTTTTAGGAGGATGGACCATCGGCGTATTGCTGCTTTTCATATTTGGTAAGATGCTTCGCACATTCTCCATATTTGATTGTTTACTTTAGCCCCATATGTGCTTCATTAATATGTCTCGCATAAAGCGCATAATAGCTCGATCCAATGCCTCAAAAATGATGCAATTAGTTGGTCCTTTCTAACACATTTCGATATTTAGGCGGATTCTCTGATAAGCTTTATGACGCCTACGAGCGCAGCTCCTCGTCGGATTTATCATTTTACATCTACATCTATTCCGCCATACTTTTCCTCATATGGGTACACCCAAGAGCATGGCCAGAAACGCAAAGCTATGGAGAGGTTGGAAATTTTTTATGTGGTCTTCAACACATTACCATAGAGACGGAGTCTTGTTGGAAAATTTAGCTTGCGTATAAAGGCAAAAAGGATTTTTTTTTGGTGAATGAGAGCTTTTCTCCAGTTAGCAAGTTGGCGATCAACTGCAATTATATGAATACAGTTTTCGCATCTTGTTACTCAATTTTTTTGGTAAGGAAGGATTAAGGGGGGGGGGGGGGGGAAGCGCGCACAACAAAGGGTATATCTCCTTCATTTTCGATTTTTCATTCCAGCGCAGTTCACTTAGGTTTTGAAAAGCTTGCAAATTTTTTTCAAAATCGGGAATCAAAAATAAAGATGATTCATTACTGCTGATCGGAAACAGCGAAACCGTTCAAGAAAAATTTATTCAGAGATTCGGTACCATAAATATTGAGTAACTGATTCATAGACTTTCTCTAGCATATAGAAATGATGCGATCACTTTTTCTTCAGAAGGACATTTTAGATAGAGTTAAACCCCTTTTTAAGGTGATGTCTGTTTTACCCGGAACTGCAGCCATGTGGGGTGGACGAATCTTCCACCTGGGTGGTCCGGAGAGTTCTGTGAGCTTGGCCGAGTCAGATCCGAATGCTCCTCTTCAGCAATATATCTTGCGATTTGTCATAGGTAAGGAAAATGAACCCGTTTATTTGGAAACGCGAGGAATCTTTTTCTAGGGGTGGTACTTATTCTAACGAGTCGAGTGATTTTGAAGCCAATTGCTAAGCTATTCATCAAAGGGATATATTCTCTGTTGGACTTGAAGTATTACTCCTATTCACTAATGTGTAAAGAACTGGGCGGTATGCAGCCAACGAAAAGATACACCAATCGTATGCGTTTCAAGCCGATACCGGGAGCGAAGGCATGTCTTTGGAATTCGAGATCTTCTTATTTATTAGAATTATCTCTTATATCTTTATTATTCTTTAAATGGAAGATACTGTTGTTATTTTAGAATTATTTCCCTTTGTCTCACATTGATTCCCTATTTTGATCAAGAACGAAGACCTCTCTACGTAGGCGTTTTCTTATTGTCTGCCTCGACATAGTAAACAAGATTTAATTTACGCTTGCAGTCGTTTTCCTTTCACTTCTCACATGGGTACCTTTACGAATCTTGAGGCTTGTATCTCTTCGAATATGTTCAAATTTTATCGTTCTATCTTTTGCAAAAAAAGTTCCATATAAATCTCTAACTAATTATCAGATGGTGGTTTTTAGGGTAAAATTTGGAGCCAAAAATCAAAATCTCTAACCAAAAATCGGATCTTTTTCTAGGAACTTTCTACGGACTTCCAGCTTGGTCTGCATGTAGTAGACATATAGTGGTAACAAAAATGTATTTGGTGGATTTCTTCGGGGCCGAAGTTGAGAAACAATGTTATGAAAATGCCAAAATGCCACTTTTTTCGGGTTTTTCATATGAAAACTGGTATTTCTTGAAATTAGGGCACATACAAAGGTAACGTTTTAAGATCATACTCAGTAAGGCTTTTAATATACAATGACATAGTGGGGATGGGCTGGAGGCAATGCTTGCTATTTTTGGTTTTCTCGCTTTCTATTTCTATTTTCTTTCTATTTCTATTTTCTATTCTATTAAAATACATTAAAGGCAAATTTGAGTACTATTTACCTACCTAATGACCAAGTTGGAGGTCCGTATGATTTTTTCTTGCAAAAATTCAATTTTCAGGTGGTAAATTTTTTTTTCAATTTTTGCTTTAATCTTTACAATTTCTAGAGCTTGGTCAGCTCTGTCATGTGAGTCTACTGGGAATACAAACACAGCTTGATTTATCTGGAAAAAGAGTTTATTTTTTGGGACAACCTTATAGTTCAATTTATATCATAAGCTTTAGGTGGTCCCAAACGACGTGATTCCATATGATTTGGATCTACCAGTGAAATTCATTGTCTACTCGACGATTGGATTTCTCGTCTCCGAAGGCTGCCCAGCCCTTTTTGCTCGTCTCAAGATCTAAAGACCATCCAGGAAGCTTGATTGACTCAGCGCTTGTCAGTCGGACCATTAAACCATTATAATTATGAACTTACTGCCACCAGGTTGTCTCCTAAGTCACTTCATTGCTCACGTATCTCTCTCATTTCGCTCATTTAAAAATGTGCTTTAAGTGCAATATTGTAAGGTCAGCTGTGATAAAGACGCTGTGAACGTGTTCCTTATATCATTAGGTAGTGCCCATGATCGATTTATCAAATGTGTTGAATCATAAGATCGTTAGAAGAAAACTCGTATGTCACTACGTCATCTCGATGTGTCGTTGAATCGACTCGTATTTCACGCGCAAAACAACTGTCTGTTTACTAAATATTTGAGATTCTTTTCGACCTGCAGGTGAGGCAGCGTGTTTGTAAGCATTTGAGTCCGTGAGCGGAAGGATTGGTCAAGATCAGAAGAAGAAGATCGGAAGATAGATGGCGTCGAGTAAGCGGCCGCCCGAGGATGACTCGAAATTGCCCACCTATCGATTAGTTGTGATAGGAGATGGTGGAGTCGGCAAGAGTTCACTCACTATCCAGTTCTTCCAGGTGTGCAAAATTTATATAGTTGTCTTATTTTTTCTTTTCTTTTTTTTTGTTCTGTGGCGCGGAGATACCCATCTTCTGTGCCGCTTAACTTTATCTGCAACTTTTCAAATAATGATTGTGCATTTGAAAACTTTCTTACATACTCTTTGCGATGCTGTTCAGCACTATTTCAAAACATATCGTGCATCCCCTAGAAATGTTCCCATACGAACCATCAACGTGGCTGCCTTTCGATCGTTTTAACACGTTGACTCCAGCAGATTTAAGGCGTTATTCGAAGTTGACATGTTAAAATGGTCGAAAGGCAGTCACGTTCTCAGACAAACCACCGGAACTTCCGCAGGACAAGCCAAATTTGCAGAAGTCCCGCAGACTTTGTTCACTATTGCAAAAATGTAAACGTTGAAAATCGGAACTTCCGCGGGATTTTCCTGCCAAACTGGTTGAAAACCGGAAGTTCCGCAGAACCTTCTTCAAAATCCTGCGGGAATTCCGAAAAATACCAGAGGTTCCGCAGCACTTTCGCCTGCCAGAACTTCCGCAGGATTTTGAATGTGTTGTCTCGTGATGTTGCCTCGCCAACATCTAGAGTGCATTATCGAACATGTCAGCCGTAGTGTAGAGGATAGTGGGTGGGTCTCACAGTCAATAGAGTGAGGTTCAAATCTCGCCTCGGTGTTCTCTTTTGCTGTTGTGGTTGGCATTCTTCGGAACTTCCGCAGGACCTCATTTCGGAACTTCCGCAGCACGTTTACGGAACCTCGCAGGTGACTCGGCGGAACTTCCGCAAGCGCTCTGCAGAAGTTCCGGTCATTTGTCTGAGTTGATGGTTATTGGAACATTTCTGGAGGATGCTCCATAATTACGCTTAACGCTTAATAAAATCTTATCAAAGCCCAGCCAATTGCCAATTGAATAGGATGATATAACATTTCGTCTCAATGGGAACACCATGGTTTTTTCAGTATGCATCTACTCTGACATTCGTTTCGGATGAACGGCGCGCAAAAATAACGATTCCTACGACCCGCGCCTGTCGAGCATATGAGCGGCGCGACACAGTCGGATTTGAGTACGAGCGGCACGCAATTCGGAGTGTATCAGTACGAGCGGCGCGCAATTCGGAGTGTATCAGTACGAGCGGCGCGCAATTCGGAGTGTATCAGTACGAGCGGCGCGCAATTGACACGCAGGACCAGCCGCGCGCCTTCAAACGTATCGTCCCCTCCACAGCTCGTGCTACCCTTGGTCTGCGTCTCAGACCTGCCACGTGTGGCTAACATGTTGGCAACGTTGCAACGACATGTTTGCAACATGCCTTAACATGTTGGCAGTACATTTTGGCCACGCCAACATGCTGCTGCATGTTACCAACGTGTTGCTGCCAACGTTGTCATCGTGTTAGTTACACGTGGCACGTTCGCGACGCCAGAGGGGGGGGGGGGTACGCGGAAGGCGACAATCGGTGAAAAATGGAGGCAGTGTATCATCCGTCTCAATGACTTTCACGGATTTCTATTACTTGTGGCATTGAGTAATGTATCTGTCCCCACCCCCCACCCTCGTAGTCCCCTGGGGTGTCACTTTGACACCGGAGAGTTTCTGACAGGTACAAAATTGGGGATTGTCGCCTTCCGCACCACACCCCCAGAGGGGTAGCAGCAAATGTGGAAGGGGCGATACAAGCGGCGTACCATAGTATCTGAACTTTAGGACGGCGTTCCACAGCGTCCTCCCCCCCCCCCCTATACGAGCGGCGCGCAGTTGACAAGCAGTATCGGCCGCGTGCGTTCAAACACACGAGCCGCGTACCACTAATTTAAGCTTCTGCAGCTTTTCAGGCAGGTTCACGTGTTCACGGCTACCATAGTCAAAGAAAGACGTTTAAGTTTGTGCGCGATCATTATTTATGCATTCCGTTAAAATTTTCACATTTTTAAGCGCACAAAAACTATAGCGTAATTTTCACACGTTATAAGCGTAAAGGATACTTGCGTAAGGTACGACGCAGTGGTTAGGCTGCCCTCAATGCTAATTGACTTGAATATGTTTACAATACTCACACAAGGACATAGTCGGAGGTGATCCCATAGATTTTCGATAGCACCTTTGTGTTGCTCAATTTTGTAGCCGATTTCCGAAAAACCGCCATATCGGTGGCGTTAACACAAAATTGTCATATCAGTGATCCAAGCACGAAATTACCGTACCAGCGGCGCCGAAGTAACAGCGTACCAGCGGCGCGAAATTCGCGTATCCCCCGAGCGCATTTAGCGGGCGAACGGCCATTGAGGAGTCCGCTCGTACGCTTTCGCGCGGTTCGTACGGAACGAATGTCAGAGTAACAACTGTGCCAACCATAAGGGAGTATCTCCACAAAATTCTAACAATTCGCCCAGTTTCGTCTAAAACGAATTTTGAACGAACTCCAGAAACTTCAGAATTTGTGCAGTTTTCCGTAGCGTTTGGGTTGCCGCTGAAGTTTTTTTTTTGTGAAACGCATTGCTGATCTTTTTCCATTTATTCTTTTTTGTTCAAGAATTCATGCATGTTCGAATCTAATAGTGAAAACATACTTTTCTTACCTCAAAAGTTTAGAAAAGTAAGCATATATCACTTATTGCGCGATAATGAACTCGAACCGCCTTGGGTCACATCGTGTAAGCAAGTTCGAGTTTTTTCCTTGGTTCAAATTAGTGAACAGTATGATAGATCGAGGTACAAACTTGTTAAGTACATGTTAAAATTTATTTTGATAGTGTGTGCAATGCGTACTTGAGTCTCTTAGTATAGGATGAATGATAGCTTTTCGGACACCGACGTTAGGGATCGGTCAGAGTTTGCCGGTGTTGCAAGTGTTGCCGGTGTTGAAAGTGTTGACGGTGTTGCAAGTGTTGACGGTGTTGAAAGTGTTGACGGTGTTGCAAGTGTTGACGGTGTTGAAAGTGTTGAAAGTGTTGCCGGTGTTGAAAGTGTTGAACGGAGATCATCAGTCTAGCAGTTCCATTCTTTCTCGAACGATCTCACCGGCTGGTGAATACGTTGGAAATGGAATTGTGGAATGAGAAATGAAATTGAAATGATGGGAGATTTTCGCATGCAAAAGATCCTCAAACAAACTTTTTGGAAAGTGGACGGCTTGTCTGGAATAGGCAATCTCTAATATTTGAAAACGCTGCAGACCTCACTTAGGTCCTTTACTCACTAATCGCAAGCGATGCAGGATTCGAACTAAAACACATTACTACTCAGACGTCAGCTTTCTCAAATATTGGAGATTGCCTATTCCAGACAAGCCGTCCACTTTTCAAAAAGTTTGTTTGAGGATCTTTTGCATGCGAAAACATTCCCCATCTCATTTCAGTTTCATTTCTCATTCCCCAATTCCATTTCCAACGTATTCACCAGCCGGTGAGATCGTTCGAGAAAGAATGAAACTGCTAGACTGATGATCTCCGTTCAACACTTTCAACACCAGCAACACTTTCAACACTTTCAACACTGGCAACACTTTCAACACTTGCAACACCGTCAACACTTGCAACACCGTCAACACTGTCAACACCGTCAACACTTGCAACACCGGCAACACTTGCAACACCGGCAAACTCTGACCGATCCCTTATTGGCAAATCATTGAAAATTCCTTGGAGTTCTTTTTCATTGAAAAAAATCGCGCGATTTTGCTGCTCACCGTATGGTTGTCAAACTGTTAACATGATGTTTTCTGGTAATTTGTTGCCCTAGTGATGCATAATTGCTCAGATTATAAACACCTATGAGTCAAACTTGAAAATTCTCAAAATGTGGAAATTTTCCAGAAGCAGTTTCTCGACTACTATGACCCAACGATCGAAGATCAGTACATTCAACATTGTGAAGTTGACGGAAACTGGGTGATCATGGATGGTGAGTTATTTCTTGAGTACGGTTAGCATGTTTTTATTTGAATACATTGAATACAGTCCCTCTCAGTGCTTGACACGGCCGGTCAGGAGGAGTTTTCGGCGATGCGGGAGCAGTACATGCGAAACGGTCGGGGTTTCTTGTTAGTCTACTCCGTTACGGAGCGAAAAAGTCTTGACGAGGCCGTGAAACTGTACAGGCAGGTGCTGCGCGTCAAAGATAGGACAGAATATCCAGTTTTACTCGTCGCTAATAAGGTGGGTGAAGGTAGGGTTAAAACCGACTTTTTTGAAACTTTATAACATAGTTTTTCTAATTTTTTACTGTTCTTTGTTATTCGACTTTGCAATGCTTCTTTGTGCTGTTAGCGTGCTTTTCAATTCATTTTGATCGTCTAGATTGATCTCACCAATCAACGGGTAGTGACCGAAGCCGAAGGCCGCAATGTGGCAGCCAGCCTCAAGCTTCCCTATATCGAAACGTCCGCTAAGGTCAAGCCTACATCTAAAACAGCAAAAGTTCTTCTAAACATGATATCTGTTGCAGGACCCACCAGTCAATGTGGACAATGCATTTCATGAATTAGTACGGATTGTGAAAAGTTTCCCGTCTGATGAAGATGATGAAGAGGTTGGTGATGTATTTATGGCTTGTTTGATTTGAATTGTTTGGATGTCACTTCGTGATTTTCACATTTTTTTCCTATGTATCTCTTCCAGAATAGCAACAGTGTTTCACCAAATCGAACAAAATCGAAGAAAAAGAAAGGGAAACAGAAGTGCATAATAATGTAATTATATAGTTATTCTATTGAGTGTCTCTTTTTTTGTGTTTTCTTTTCTGTGCAGATTTGCAAGTTTATTCTTCTCCCCTTCCATTTTTGACGAAATTAGGCAGCTAACACTAATCCCAGAACTGCTAGGTAGATTTTCATTTGTGGTCAAAATCTACCTTTTTGATCGTGGTGCGTAAAGAGCCGTACTTACCACCATATTTGAGAATGTTTCATAATTCTATTTCCTCTTTTTTATATCAAGTTCCTTGATATTTTTTCGCTATTTATTCTTTTTTTTTTCAATCTTACTGTCGTAGTCCTACTATTGAATTGTGCTTGATATGATTTCCAATTTCGAGTTGTGATATAGATGTGAACTTGCTTCCCATTGGTGCTGATTTTACAGTAATTTTCTTGTCATTTTCCAATCTCCTACTCTACTTTGGATACAACGCATTATGAAAAACGAAGGTTGTCTGCCAATTACCCAGCACCCAATACTTAAGCGGTCTTACGATAACATGCCCAGTATTTTCACCGATTTATTTGCATCACTTCCATAAGTGCCTACATTCTCTCCCATGCGATTCCTCATGCATTTTTGCGATTTTTCTTTGCATTTATGTTAGTCTTATTTTCAACATTGAAGAAGTTGATATTATTTGCCAAATTCAGCGATTCGAGTGCCTTATGATAAATTTTTCGTACATACATGCTGGTCGATAGTGTCTATTCCCGTTTTCGGGCGCGTTTGTCGAAAAAAATACTATTATGAAGGTAGTGTACAGAGTTGCTCGGATGCTAGTGCTGTGTCAGCGCGTGCCAGATCTCACAGGGCAATCGTTCAATTGATGTTCCGACATGGAGCTAGCGCGGCCTTGGAACGGCGCTGGCACAGGCAACTCTAGACGCAGCGCAAGTTTGAGCAGTTACTTACTGAAGTTCTTGAAGGCTTGATGGCCGGCGTCGCGGAACATCCAATAAAGTCAAATGAGCTGTCGACGTTCTCATGTACATTGCTGGAGATGAACGAAAATAAGGAGTTGTTACCAAGAGTGCGGAAAAAAGGAACGAAGTTGTCACGGATGCCGAAGAAGCCCGACGATTTTGTGTTCTTACGAATTCTTGGCGAAGGTGCTTACAGCACAGTCTACCTCGTACGTGAACTTTGTGGTGGACAAATACAGGCCGCTAAGGTTGTGGAAAAAGATTTCATCAATCGGCATCAAAAAATGGCTGCCATAATTCGCGAAAAGAATATTCTGGCATCTTTGACGTACGAACAAGGTGGGCATCCGTTCGTGATTCAGCTCCATTGTACTTTTCATGACTCACAACGATTGTACTTCGTCACTGATGTGGCCGAACGCGGTGATTTACTGGATGCACTGAATCGTCTGGGAACATTCGACATTCCCTCTGCACGATTTTATGCGGCTGAAATCGTGGTTGCGCTGGAGTTCATTCACAGCCATGGAGTTGTACATCGCGATTTGAAGCCGGAAAATGTGCTTATTCGTAGGAGCGGACATATAATGCTTACCGATTTTGGCAGCGCACAAATCTATGACGAGAAATTGTTTGTTCATTACGAAGAGGAGAAGGATGATACATCAACACAAGTGGGAAAGCTTGACCAAGAGAGGAACAATTCTGAAGCTGCAGCTGAATCCAGTAGTGACAGCTCATCGGAGACAGAAGAAGACGGACCCGAAGTTCCAGATCGTCCCCGTCGAGCTACGTTCGTTGGCACTGCTCAGTATGTGAGCCCCGAAATGCTCAGAGGTGAAGAGGTTGGACCACCATGCGATTATTGGGCACTAGGTGCAATAGTTTTCCAGTTAATCTCCGGGCAGGCGCCATTCCGTGCAATTAATGACTTTCATCTGATGAACAAAATACAGAAGCTCGATCTATCCTTCCCAGACGACTTTCCAGAATTGGTGAAAGATCTTGTAGCAAAACTTCTTGTGCTCGATCCAGCAGTACGCTTAGGAACTGGAAATCTCAGCAGTTTGAAGTCACACGCGTTCTTTGAAGGCACTAACTGGATGAACATTGAGAATACAACGCCTCCAGATATCTTACCGCCTATGTCCAAGAGTATGGAAGAAGTCGGCAATTCAGATGTACTAATTCAGCCAGGACTGGACGAGAAGGCCCTAGGACGTCTGATGAACTCATCCTTATTGGGCATAGAGTTAGAGCAGCCATATTTAGACGGTCAAGATCCGTACAGCACTGTCAGATCCTCCACTAGTATGACATTCGGGAGAGAATCTCTTGCTACCAGAGACAGAAAGCTTGAGAAGCAACGTAAGGAGAATCCTTACCATCCATTTGTCCAAGATAACCTAATCATCCGATCCGGCTTTATCGATAAGAAGAAGGGACTTTTTGCGCGGAGGCGAATGTTTCTGCTGACTGAAGGCCCGCATCTCTTCTATGTTGATCCTAATAGTATGGAACTCAAAGGCGAAGTACCGTGGTCACCTTGCATGCGAGCGGAAGCGAAGAATTTCCGAGCATTCTGGGTGTACACCCCGAAACGAATCTACTACCTATTTGATCCCGAATCGAGAGCTCTTGAATGGTGCAAAGCTATCGAACAGATGAAAACACGTTATGCGGATGAAATTGCTGAATCGTACGAAAAGGCAGTCAGAGATGGGACTTTTGGAGTCAACGCTTACAAGAAACCCGGCAATTATTTTGGAAATAAACGAAGAAAAGGAAGAAATCGCAGTCAAGTTTGAAGAGATGCTGAACATTAATGGAGAAATCTTCTCAAGTCAATGGAATGAAACAATGAACCGTTGCTGAAACAATTCTGACCCTTCACAAGAGCAGGGTTTTTTTGAAATATGAAAAAGTATACACAGTACTGCTCATAAGTTTTGCAGAAAGATTTTGCGTCGCAATCAGATTTTTTCGTCGCATCACTTCGTTCGCTTAGCATGTGATAAATTCCGGAAATCCGAGGTAATGTTAGTTTGTCAAGGTCGTTTTGGTGTATCAAACTACCATAATATGCCGGTATACTGTAGGTATACTGTGCTTCTCGCATACGAATATAAAATTGTCGCGTTGCTAACCTCGTTCGAGCACTTTACAAACCTATAAATGACCTAGTTTCGATAAATTATAATTTGTTTTGATGCGCAACTGAGTAAAAATCTTTGGTCACCAGACATATCCATTTGTAGAAACGACAGAAAAATCCTTTTTATGCAGAAATTATGAGCAGTAGTGAATATATTCGTCTACTACTAATCTGATGACATAGCACTTAATCAAGCTGTGGTACTTTTACTAAATTATAGGCATTCCATTCTAATGCAAAGACTGGACGCCGTTGCCTTAAACCAAGACAGTTCATGCTGTAAAGAGATAGCAGACGGTTAGATGAACGAAGTTGCGTTTGATCTAAATAACGCCGATAGGTCCGCAGTGGCGATCAGTCTCTGCGTGCGGAAGCGCCTATACTTCTCATGCTTCTTATATGTCATCGAAATATCACTGTAAGTGTGGTTTGTTTCCTCTTCTTCCCGTAAATTGATTGAACAGTTTGAACTCGTGATCGGACAAGATGTTCAAGGTACTTTCGATGTATACATAGCTTTAGTATCGAAAGAGGCAATACGGGTTCTCCTTCATTTTTTTTTACTGCGCAGTGTTAGTCCCTTACTGATGTGTTTGCGAAGTTCTTTCTTTTCAATGTCCATGTTTTTCTGAGTCTCATGATATCTAGCTTTGAATTTTACGTTTTTTATGTTAATAAATTTTGATATGGTTCTAGTGAAAGAAATTGCAGTGCTTGCTATGCATTTGATATCTACTTCAAAGCAAAATAACATAGTTGCAATGTAACTTAGCATGAATCTTTTGTCTCATGACCGCTCGGGTTCTATGATTGATCTCCCAAAACTACCACCAACGTGGCTGCCTTTCGATCGTTTCAACACGTTAACTCCAACAGATTTAGGGCGCTTATTCGAAATTGACATCTTAAAACGATCGAAAGTCAGCCACATTGATGGTACCTGTGGTAAATTTCTGGGCAAAGGCGATAGGTTTTGAAGGCTTTAGAGCTGTCACGTCCAGCTTGAAACTTTCTTTAATTTCGGCTTCGTTGGCCAGCCAGTGTCTGCTCTTATCAAGTACTGAAATGAACAAAATTTTAAACGATTGCTGCACAGTCGATCAATGTAGTAAATATCCATAGATTGGATTTGTGAAACCTGTACCAGAAAATGAAGTCCCCTCGCTACTAGAGAATACGTGAGATGCATGTTGGAATATCATCAGGCCCCTCCAAGACAATTCAGAGGTTTTCAGTTTGCTTCACGCTCAGAATTTCGCCAACTATCAAATAGTGTTCAATGCCAATAGCCGTAACAATGACGTAGCACCCACGACTTTTTGAAAGTTATTTCCTGAAGATTATTTGTTTTATTAAGAATGTGAGGTGATATCCGCATATGACCATGGCTGTATCTGAACAAACGATAAAGAATTTTATGCACCGGCACCATCGGCACGCCGACGGATAAATTTGCTTATTTTGCTTCACTACCTCAACTACCCAATATTTTGTGACAAACGGATTCTTTTCATTTTACATCTGTGTAAATACGGAGAGTGTTTGCATGCGAGTAAACACGTGAACTGGAGTTAGTAAAACCTGCATAGTTCGCGTCCCTCATATAACCGTCTTCTCCTTTTACTTTTTTTCTGCAAACTCAGTCCTCAAGAAGAAATTTATTCTATGGGTTTGGAATGCTCAACATGTTGTACTCGGAGGGGGTGGGAGTGTGGGCAGGGAGGGTGGTAGCATTACTGCATTAGAATGGGTAGAAAGGTAACCCCCTGTGCCATTCCTGGAATTTGCGCTTCAAATCATTTTTAACAATCTCCTCGGTAATATCAATAAAGCGTCAACAGCGAACATGATTTATGATCTTATAGATTGAATGTTCTTTATTTTTACACGCTAAGCACGCTGCTCAACAGGAAGTTTACTCATTAGCACAGACCTCTTAGGTTACAAGATCGAATCTTTCTTTTTCAGTTTGAGTCGTGGAATCCTCTCGACGACAGAGGTGAAATCGGAGCCAGAAGTGGCACTTTTTTGTACTCGTCACATTTGTGGGTGCCAAGTCAATCGCTAAGTTGCTAATAAGGATGTGATGAATATCAAGATGATAAAATAATGATTGTAATAATTTCATATTGCTCTACGTTGTATATAGATGAGTCAGTGCACGGAGAGACTTGTCGCAATTGCGTCTGCACAAGACAGTAATCCCTTTTCTTGCTTGCGGTGGACCCCTAAGCATAAATAGACTTTTCGTTCAAATTTTTCTGCATCTTTGCATCTCTACTCCTGCACTGTCGGCGGCATTCCATCTTTTCTCTCCAAATTTATTGATTCCACTTCTAGAAATGAAGACCTTGAAACGGAAACTTCCATCAAATAAGAAGAATGATAAGAAGAATGAATTGGACAAGAGTGAGTACGTTGAGGTTTCTCATGCAAAGCTTCGATTAGAGAAAGAAGCTGCAAAATTGGTTCCTTGGACGTTAGATCTCGATGAGGAGTCGTCTTCGGATCTTGAGAAGGAGACGAAGTCGATGAAGATTTCTGACGATGGCGATGAGGTAAAAAAGGAACCTGTCGACTCCGGTGATGAAAGGAGCTCTGAAGATGCTGATGAAGAGACATCGAGTACAGAAGATGCTGCAATGACGTGGGTTGTTTTTAATCTGATTTTTCATTGTATGAACTTTCTATCTAGGAAGCTTTCTATCTTTAGAAATGATGAACTTGTGAGAGAGGATAGTATGGAAATCGATGCTGCAGCTACTACGTCAAAAGAAGAGGAAGATTTTCAAAAGGAGTTCAAAGTTCTTGGACAAACAGAATTCGAACCATTGAAGAAAATCAAGTAAGGCTCAATTTCTACCTTTTTATATCACCTCACTCTTCGAATTTTCTCTTATCATGACATTTAGCGTCACAACTTCGTGGGTATCAAATGCCACTGTATTTCCAGCCGAAATTGCCAAAGAGAATCTTGCAGAATTATCCTGCGTAACTGGCTTACCTGAACCTATAGCCAAGGTCGTAGGTGAAAAAATTGAGTCGTGGTTTCCGGTGCAGGTGAGCTCATGACTTGCTTCTTTTACTGTTTTCGTCTCTGTTCTACAGAAAGCCGTTCTTCCCTGCCTCTTGCAAGACATCGTTATGGTTCCCGTTATTCGACCACGTGATATAGCAATTTCTGCTCCTACAGGTATACTTACATCTAATGTACCAGCACATCCTTCTATTTCAAATTTCTTTTATTTTCATATGTTCTTTTTTTTGTGACAATTTCACATCTGTGTGTTTTTTTGAGAACAAAACTAATAACACCTTCTTTCCTTTTTCTGTTGCCACCAATTGTTCTCAAAAGAGGGGTGGAGCAGGTGTTGACCAGATCTCTCTCTTTAGCCATCTCAAGCTGCCGATAGATAATTTGATTACAAGACTCGTTGATAGTTGACAGAAAAGGCTTTTTGAACTGAGCTCATCGCATTGCTACCTTATCTGCGAACTACATGTCCCACGACACAAAGTTTTTTGAAGTTTGCTGATTGTTATGATAATGCTGATGCTTGATAATCAGTGTATGATTACAGTCTCGTAATATTCCTCTGTAGAACGTTCCCTATCGCCATATTTCTCCAATGACTTTAGTGTTTGTTACCATATTCTCAAAGGCTTTTTGTAAAAATTCTACAAATTTTGATCTCTTGTTATTGTAGGATCTGGAAAAACGCTGTGCTATGTGTTGCCTATCTTGGCCCAGGTCGGAACACGTCCTCGCGGTGAATTACGAGCACTTGTTGTCGCTCCAGTGCAGACACTTGTTAAGCAGATAGAGCAGGTGTGATTGACTTTCAATTGCTTTTGTTTTAAACCATATACTCTTTGAGTGAGATATTCTCTCACCTGTCTCGGCTTTCATTTTGATAACAACTGCAAGTTCGGCCATGATAGTATCTTTTGATCAAGGTTTGCTAAGAGCTCCATCATATCAGCTTGTTTAGTAAAAAAGATAATCAATTCACCGTTTCACCATTCAAGCAGTCTGATTCTAAATTGTTTCTTTTTTGCAGGAATTCAATACGTATAATGCCTGCGGAGCCGTTATCTCAGCTCTGTCTGGAGCGACAGATTTTCGGAAAGAACAACGTACTCTAGCTCCTGAAGGAGTTTGCACTTCGGATATCATAATCTCTACTCCGGGTAGACTAATGGACCACTTGACTAATCCCGCTAGTGGAATAAAACTTGATTCTCTTAAGTATGTATCCTTCATACTCCAAAAGTTTTCTAATCTCAAAAGGTTTTTTAGGTTTTTAGTCGTAGATGAAGCAGATAGAATGGGCACAATGGTCAGACAGGAGTGGCTTGCAGTGGTGGAACGTCGAAGTGGGGGTAAGTTACGCAAAATTCTTTGATTCTGGTATTTATGCTGAGGATTTCAGGTTTGATGCGTGCTACATGTTTAGAGGACATACTCGCAACGCGATGGGCACCGCGTAAGATTTTGCTCTCAGCCACATTATCCAGAGATGTCGAAGAATTGCACATGTGGAACTTACATCAACCTCGTTTATTCCGTGCAGATGAGCGTAAAAGCAAGGAGGTTAGAATGCGATGAGTCCAGTGATATCAAGGATTATTTCATATTATTTCATATTCCTTCAATTTCTTTGCTACCTCGAGAATTTTGTTACAGATCGGGGTGGATCTTCATGCCCTTGATCATGTTTCTGGTGCTTTATCGCTTCCCTCCAGCATCCAACACACCGTTTTAGCCGTAGAGCAAAAGTTCCACCCACTCGTTTTGTTCCTGAAAATTTTGGAAAACGACTGGAGAAGAGTGCTAGTCTTTACCAACGAGAAGTGAGTTTTCAACCCCTCTGAACAGAATTCACATAATTCTTTCAAATATTTTCTCTGTTTATTCATCATTTGTGCATTGTGTGTTTCTTGTTTGTTTCAGCACTGTGCATTGTTTAGTTCTTGCTTCGTTCTTTTTTCATTGGTTTTCTCGGCTTCGCACCTTTTTTTTTGCTGTACTCATTCACTTTATCCTTTCAGAGAATCGTCCTTACGTCTTTCTATACTTATAAGTCGCCTTGCTAAATCGAAATTTGCGGTAGAACAGCTGACAAGTGATTTGTTTGGAAACCGAAGAGCGAAAATATTAAAGAGATTCAAAAATGGCACGGTAAGTTCTTATTAGTTTGACCGGTTTTGATTACATCTTAGCATGTACTTCATTGCATCGCCTTTGTTTCGAAAGAGATGATTTTTTCCAGACCCGCGTCTTGATATGTTCAGACGTTCTATCGCGTGGTGTCGATGTGGAAGACATTGATTGTGTTGTAAATTATGATCTGCCAAAAAATGATCGACTATTCGTACATCGAGCTGGACGCACAGGTCGTGCTGGAAAAGCAGGGCGCGTACTGAGTCTTGCTGATGGAGAAGCCGTAAGTTCATACTCTCTTACAGTGTTCAAGCTTTATCTATTGAGAGGGACCTTTTTAGAGGAAGATCTTTGTGAAAAATGTGCTGCGAAAGAATGGGCTCTGGGTAAACGCGGAGGAGGTTGAGATTGAAAAAGAAACTTTAGAGCCACATTTGCATAGATACGAGAAAGCTCTCAAGTATCTCAAGAAAATTTTAGAAGCGAAAGCAGCGACTAAACCTTCCAGTAAGTTATATCCCCTTTACTTTTTCTTAGCTCATTTTGTTTCACTGCAGAAAAAAGAGCGAGAGTGAGCGGTTTTGCCTACCGAAAGAAGGCACGATATGAAATGATCAAAGAGAAACTGAAAGAAAGAGAAAACAAACCTTGGAGAAAAGAAAAGAAGGATACTGGATTTTGACGAGTCCTTATTTAAAGTTTGATTTCAAGCCAGATTGTCTAGCTATAATTGATTGTTGAAGAATTGTTGTTATTGTTGTGTTTGGATAGATTTAACTCTGTACAGAGAATAAAGCTTTTCTATTTTGATTGGTATCGTGGTTTTTCGCATGAAAGACGCTTGATATGTTTGATAGTATGCTCACTTTCCCAAAATGCATACTAACGTCACACTTGAGGGTTTACCCATGACTGGGCTGCTTACGGATATCATATCCGACTCGCTCGCTTTGAATGCATCACAAGAGTGGGAAGATGTGTTCCTCTACACACCCTTTCTCAGTGAGTCACTGTTTTTTTCCTTGCAATTTCATGATATTTCTCGTGAGCCGGAAAGTCAGCCATAGTTGCCTTAATTTTCCTTGGAGTCGTTATCATTTGCAACCATGAAACCTTTGCTCAGATGATCAAGCGCTTTCCTACGAGTATGCGGAGTGCCTTGCAGCCCAAGCTTTCCTCCGAATGGCAAATCTGACTTACTTTGTGAAACAACGGCCAAATGCTGAGTTCATTTCTCCTACAGGTACATGGGGTCATTTGTTGTGTTTTATCGCCTTCTCATTCCACAATTTATACAGAACATCGACTTTTGCAGGAAAAGTTCCTCTTCTCAAAGTCAAACGTACTCTAGTCCCCGAGTTCAGCGGTATTGTGGACTTCGTTGGTAAAAAAGTACGCATCACCTTTTATTTGAGTCCAGATGCTCGTGTAAGCTTATACTAGCGTTTGTAGGGCATAAAGTTATGTGCGCATCTTAGCGATGCACAAGTAGCTGAAATGCGAGCTCATATGTCAGTCATGGATATGTTACTGCGAAATGTTGAAGTAAGTCTTCGTTTTATTTTTTTTGACTTTGATTCGTAATTGTTCCAGATGTATGTGATGTGGAAACATAATGATACGTATTCACAACTCACTAGATATCGTTATGGATCAGTGTATAAATGGCCATTGAATTGGATATTACCAGCACTGAAGCGAAGGGAGATCCTTACGAAATTAGAAGACAGCGGATGGGCTGGAAAAGTTAGTTTCATTCCAATACCAATTGACATGAATTGATCTTTCCATAGTTTTCAAAAAGTTGCTTGATGATCGCGAGTGTATTATCGTCCTTAATGGGACTAAGAGACTCTAAACCGCTTTGAACATATCGCCTAACCTGTTTGAACTCTTTCTCCCTTGGTTCCAAGTAGCGAATACTTTGAGATAGATTGCATGTTGAACTTCTTAGCCATACATGCAAACTTGTTTAGAGAATGTTTCGAGTCTCTTTCTCACAGAATGATGCTTTCTAGACCATTCGTGCTCACTCTAATGTTTTAGACTACGGAAGAAGTTTTGGAGCAGTATGAGAAGGCCCTGAGAGCGTTGTCGTCACAACTGGGTTCAAAGCCATACCTGTTTGGCAATCAGCCTACCGAAGCCGACGCTTTATTGTTTGGACATCTATTTACCATCATCACAATGTCATTACCATGTATGGATCTGAAGAATGCCATACTCAACTACACAAATCTCCAAGACTTTGTTACTCGAGTAGAAACCGAATATTTCAAGATTTGATTGTTTCGTACTGATATATCATAATATGTGCTGATGTTGTAGTGATTTATAGTCCTAAATCATGCTCTTTAGGCATCGTAATAGTTATAGCTTTGTAAGATGGAAATGCTGGATGTATGCCCTAGGCTTGACTGCGACATGCATCCATAATGCGAAGTAACTTTAGGATGTTTTGCTTTTCTGTATAACGCTTATTGTCCAATTACGAACAGTAAAGGTCACATGTGGTAAACAAACGGAGAAATGTGCACCTTTTGGCGGAAACTGCAGCGTATCAGTCCAGTCTATACTAGAGGTCGTACAGTCGAGCAGATTTTCTGCTTAATATAGTGTGCTTGCACCGCAAGTGAAATGCGGTAAAATTTGCGCGTAAACAATTAGCCACATCGTAGTGCCGGTATTTTGCGCGCGCAATTGGCCAGTGCCACAGGCGCAGCTATTTCTTTACGCGCAAATACCGCATTTCACCTGGTAGTGCAAGCACACTGAAAAGCGGAAGTTCTACTCGACTATAGCTGATGTCAGCTGTACGTTGAGCTGGCCAGGTTTTCTTCTAGATTTGTGACATGAGCCAATTTGGTTGCGCTGTAGTAGTCACAATCTGTCTCAATTGCAGTTCTCATTCCGAAATTCCGTTTCGCGCAGCGTACGCAAGAGTGTTTAGCTTGAGCACCCTGAGGCATACGCTCACTGGCTCATTTATTCACTTGATCCATTTCACTATTGGTCAGATCGTCGATTTGTGCAGCTGTGAAATGAAGCATGTAAATCAGTGGCGTTTGCCTCAGCGCGAGTGGAGGTCGGCGCGCGAAACTCCACGCGCTGCCAAAAGCCGACATTGCAGATTACAACAATGTAGATGCATTTCTCATGTCAACAAATCATCCTCAGCATCAAAATACTTCACTTTAGCAATATATGACGGAGTTTTAGTAGATGGTTAATATAGGCTGTTTGGTTTCCCCGTCTGAGCGCTGTTCTCTACATATTGCAGAGAGTAGGAATTAGTGATCACTATCAGCAGAGATTGAAACTTACTAGACCTTGGGCAAGAATATATTTGTCACCTAGATTTAGTATTGGCTTTCAAATCCTTCACATCCCGCAGCAATCTGCACAAATCGCTTGATTTATCGCAACGGTGGAATGAAAATGTCCGAAACTGCGACGTCCCTTATTCGACGCTAAGCGACCCGCTTTTTGTAATGTCCACACTTCTGGAGTTATCATATCTGTACATATCGTAAATGGGTGAAAAATCTACTTCAAATGACTCTTCCGCTCCAAATGGGACTGGTCCTATGCGAATGCGCTGTTTGTCTGACTATGAGGTAAACAATCAACTTATCAAATGTGTTTTCATCGCATCATGCAAATTAACGCACCTATGTATTTGCAGATAAAAAAGGAGATTGGAGAAGGCTCCTTTAGCATTGTGTACGCCGCTGTGGAGAAAAGTGAACCTCATCGTGATGTTGCTATCAAAATGTGCTTTAAGAAACAGATTCTGAAAGAAAAACGGGTAAGTCCGAATAATTTGCATGAATGATGCACCATAAATAGCTAGAAACTAGATCTGTTCTCATGTTTGTTTATTTGATATCCTTTGCATACTTCTTTTTTTTTTTGTGATTTTGCTCCCAGCGCGGCAAGATGTACGATCTCGCCGGTACTACTGCACTTGATACAACCCAAAAATCGAAAATCACACATTTTGCTGAAATTCCGCTCAAGGTGGTTATGTGGTTGTGGTTCGATTCTGAAAGACCTGCTGATCACGAAAATGATGTTCATTTTGCATGGTGGGCCTTTTTGAGGGCTTACGATAGGTATAGGTATGGGTCAAATCACGATTCACTAAAACTTTGCACAGGGGAGTTATTCGACATGCTTATCACAAATACCACACTTTTTCCGCACGAAAACCTTTCCTATATGGTTATTGTTGGTATAGTATATCGGAAGGGATCAGAACCGTAGATCTGCCTGAAACTTTGTGCAGAGGAGTTATTTGATGTGCTCATCACGAGTATTGCGCCCATTTCGCTAATAACGTCTTCTCGTGCATTTCTGGGATCTTAAATCGTCTGAAAAGCGGGAAAGCTGCTTACCTAAACGCTGCAAATTGCCGTAACTCCACAATCGAGCCTTGTTGTAGCGAGCAAGCCCGATATTCGCTAGCAGCATGCTTGGAAGGCTCCTCGACAACGTTTAAGCATCTTTGGATTTCACCTATCTACCGTATAACCACCGTAACTCGACGAAATAGCGCTACCATACAGATCTAGATATCCATGTTCAGCGTGCTATATAACCCCTCCAGACCAAATTCTAGCCAAATCTAGATTTTGACCTCTTACGTGCGCCTGCACCTACCGTAACCATACAGGGAGACGTTTCCGTGCGGAAAAGTGTGATGTTCGTGATCAGCATGTCGAATAATCCCCATACGCAAAGCTTTACCGAATTCTGAGATTTTGACCTCGTACCGTACATCTACTGTAACCCCTCAAAAAGGCGCCGCAAAATGAGTATCACTTTCGTGATCAGCAAGTCGAATAAACCCTTTAATAAGTTTTAGCAGAATCCATGATTTTCCGTTTTTGGGTTGTATTGAATAGATAGCGCCGATTTGCACTTGCTTTACTACTTGCGCATTTCTTTTTGTGTTTTTGCAGGTCGCTTCAGTTCATCGCGAGAAGTGTGTGTTGGCACGGCTTTCTTCTCCCGAATTCATCCATCCATTCATTGTATCACTATATGCTACATTTCAAGATCGGGATCACCTTTACTTCGTATTATCATATGCAAAACGTTGGTAATTGCATTATCATTGTGCATTGTCTGAGCGTATCTTATCGCACACTTATTTTACAGATGGTGATCTCCTCCACATTATGTTCAAAAGGCCTGAAAAACGATTCAGCGTTGGTGATTCTCGATTCTATGCTGCGGAAATCCTTTCTGGCTTGCGTAAGTATCTGGCCATGTTATATTGATTCATAGTTTCATGTCTTCTTTTTTGAAGTTATAAACGTCTTTTCCCACTTATAGAATACTCTAATCTATGAATTAATCGCAGTTACCGGGTTTGTATTTGCCTTTTTCATTTGTATTTTTGCAGAGCACCTCCACTCCTTATCCTATATACATAGAGACATCAAGCCTGAAAACTGCTTGGTGGCCGCTAGTGGACATGTCATGATCTCGGATTTTGGGAGTGTCAAAGACCTTTCTGTGAAGGTGAAATTTTGAGTAGTTCTTGTCATTTTATCTAAGCTTGTGCTACAGGAGGAACGGCAATTCGACGAGAAGGCTGGACTGCGAATTAGAAGGTGTTCATTTGTCGGTACTGCCCAATATGTTAGCCCTGAGGTAGGTTTATAATCGAATAGTCGAATAATCCAAGTTTTGCAGAGCCTATTGAGCTTCTTATTTTTTTGTCCATCTTCATATATCCAAGCTTTTGCACGCACAACCTTTCTTTCATCCTTTAGTGACTAGCTTACTGAGGCGCGCAATAATCATCGTTCAAGTCAAGTCTCCACATTGTGGTTATGTCCTAAATTCTTTTTTGGGGTCGGATTGTGTTTTGTTTTCCTTTATCAATCAAACTCATTCTTGCGCATCGTCTCTGTCGTGCTCTCACAACATTGTTTGAGATCTGACATGCTCAGGTTCTGGAAGGTGCAGAAGTGACGCCAGCTTGTGATTTATGGGCACTAGGTGTCGTCATATATCAATTTCTGACAGGTGAGCATCTATAATCATGCATGTTTGCATTGATATAGTTAATTACTACGAATATGTTGCTGTGATCTGTAAATACTTCTGTGCTCCACAGTAGCCAGAAACACTGACTTTACAGGAAAACATGCATTCCATGACGAATCTGAATATCTCATTTACCGACGGATCCAGAAGGTGTTATTTACATACCCTTCCGATTTCCCAGATTCTGCTAGAGACTGTGTTGATCATCTGCTTGTCATTAAGGTTCCTTTTTTTAGTTGTGCATTTTTTATCGCTTGAGAGATTGTTGGTGTTAATTTTGTATTTGAATTTTATGTGATCTCCGCTGTTCCAGCCAGAAGACAGACTTGAAGCTGATGCGCTTCGAAATCACGAGTTCTTCAGCGGTATTGACTGGGACAATCTGAAAGATATGAAGCCACCCCCTATCCCTGAATAGTTTCTAGTCTGTTAATAAGTTGCACTACATGTATATATTTAATTAGCAATCGTTTTGTGCAATCGGATTTTTGTGACCAGTGTTCTAAGTCCGAGCTCATGATAGTAAACTAGTCCTCTGTATGTCTTTTCTGCTTGGGATTCGGTTACTGACCATTTCTGCTAATTCTGATTAGTTTTTTTTAGAGATATGTAGTGATTCGCATGTTTTTTATTTTGAGGATCTGGCAGCAAAATGGCCAAAGTCATAAGAAGTAAGTCCTTCTTAGGGTTTGATCCAGTTACCAAATCTTCAGCAGTAATGTTTTTCAGATCGCTGGGTTTACCGTCCTCATGGAAGATGGCATCGTTATCTTCCACGGCGAAATGATGGAGTTAAGGAGTTTGATTATGAAGCTGGAGGGTCGATAGCAGATTTTAAGGAGGAGTTGAAAAGCTTGGTTGGTGGAATTTATCGAGAAGACTATTTGATCTGATGCCTACTTCGTAATTCAGGGCCAGGAGTTACCGCAAACTCCACCTCCAAAACTATGGATGGCTTGGCTGTACCGCGATTTGAGTGGTGAACCCCGCTGGACCAAAGATCGCGTCAAGAAATTGTTTGGCTCAGATTTTGAGGTAAGTTCAAAAGTTTGATTTTATCGTGTTTCCAAACGTAAATGCTCTCATTCATGTCGCTGCCGTTGAAAACTATTGGCGTTTTTGAAAATTATTATTAAGTGTTTCAGGTTGGTCGGATGGAGTTATTTCCTAACACCGCTTCGATAAATGAAGAATTGTGGCATATGAAACATTTGATTGAATTGAAACCTGTCACATTCCCTAATGGGGAACCCACAGAAGAAGATATTTACGGAGTAAAGGTACTTCCAATTATTCTTGCCACTTTATCTTTTAAGTTGCAAATTTTCGTTCTTTTGCAGTTTCATCCCGATGGACGCTGTGAAGTTACGAAAGGTGCAGCACCGCTGACCGAAGAACAGCTACAGCTATTTGATCGAAATAAGCAGGTACGATCTGGTGTTACTCTATTTCTTCTTGTGTTTTTCATTGAATCTCAGTTTTCTTTTTGAGTATAGAATTGTAATCGTAATAAGTTTCGAGGAATTGCTTGCTAGGTGGTTTGCAAAGGGTGTGGTGCAAGAGAACCGATAGCAGTGGCCGCTACTGCCAACGCATGGCATTGACTATTGTACTCACCAAACGCGAACTTAAGACTCATTGAAAACGAACAATGTTAAAATAAGTACTATAATGGATAAGTTCTGCTCGGATCCCGATGTGCAATTTAATAATGCTATTGCAAGAGAAAACGTGGGATACTCTAAGCAACTTTAGAACACTTTCCATCATTTCAAACAATGTCCGGGTGAACTCGATTTTAAGGTTTTGTGCTTACTCAGACTTATTCGCTATGCTGGAATCGAAAATCTACACTGGAGAGCGCGAAAACTGCGAAAAAGGATTTTAACACAGGAAGGAAATTAGCAGATGGGCGGGGTCCTTCCCACAGTAAATTCACGCTCCCAGCTTCCGGAACGATCTTCTGGTTCCGATTTCTAGTCAATAGTTTGCACTTGGCCGCTGGCGATGTAGGGCAGCTAGCGGAATCGAGAAGATCGCTCTGGAAGCTGGGAGAGTGAATTCACAAGTGAGGACCCCACCCACTTGCTGATATCCCACCTGCGTTAGAGTCCTTTCTCGCCGTTTTCGCGCTCTCCAGTAGCGATTTTTGGATTCAGCACAGCGAATAGGCCCGGGTAAGCACAAAATCTCGAAATCGACTTTTTCCTCGGACACTGCCCGTCCACTCTAAGTTAAAGCTTGCCTTTGGCAGCATAGGACAGTAGGATCTATCAAAGCAGTGCTCAATGTCGCGGCGCAAAATTTGCTTTGGACGAAAAAGTCGCTCCGGAACAACGAAGACGCACGAGAACCCCGAGGCGGCACCGCCCTCTTCAATGGCCGCCCACCCATGCTCGCCCTCCAGCCGCTGTTCCGAAGAACCTGCTGGGCGGGTCTTGAGGTTTTCGGGATTTTCGACTTCATATTCGGAATCAAGGACATGAGGAGGCCCCGGAACGAAAAAAACGTGGAAGTCAAGAATCTAGGTGGACGGTGCCTTTGATATAATTCGCAACTCATTTTCTAAGCTAACAAAACGATTCAGCTCTTTAGTCTAAGAAAGCATAAAACGAGGAAATGCTTTCACTTCCGCTTACGGATAGCCAGAAATGAGGGTAAGAGATTCGCCGGTTACGACATCCGCGAGCTGTCGTTCCTCTTGTTTTCCACCCGTTGTAGGAGTTCATAGGCGTAAATGAGGAGTTGGACGGGCATAGGCGATCGTTTTAGTTTACATGACGACATTTCATGCATTTCTTTATAAAAGTTAGAGGAGGTTTTTATCTGAATTTGTTCCCTCCAGTTTGTCACAGTGTCATGTTTTTCTTCTGTTCAAGAAGCTAAGCGAAGAATTCGGTGCGAAAATTCGGAAAAATCGATTCACTTTCCAAGAAAGGCGTGTAAATCATGCAAGAAACTTCCCACACTCTCTGGTCGTGAGCTCTTAGAAAATTCTGCATAATGTGTTGGATTTTCAGTGGAGCTCCAGAGAACTTCGACGGCAATTGGCAAGCAAGTATTGGGGCTGCAAGGATATTTTCGAGACCAACGTTTATACAAATTCGAACATAAGCATCGTAAAGTAGCAGTGTACATATTTACTAGTTTTATTTGGTTTCGAGTTTGTTAAATGATGTTGTTATTGGGTTAGGTAGTCTGAGTTTTAGTGGTTCACATGTTTGTAAATATTTTTTCTGGAAGCAGAAAGCATTGATACATTCATTTTATACAGATCTCTCGTTATGGATAGCAGATCAAATTTATGTGATCTGCGATCCGTTACGACAGTATACTGCGTTGAAAGGCTGTCAAAGGTGCAGATTCGATGTCTTACTCGTTTGTAAATGTAACTCATAAGCGCAAAACAGCTTCTTTTTGAATTTTTGTTATTTTACCGTCCTCTTTATTAATTGGGTGTTTGTTTTTTAAACAGGCTATCTCCTCTGCTCAGTTTTCTTATTATCCCTATCCCTAAAAAATCATGATGTCCTTCTCTACTTTAACAAGATCAACTTGTAAGATCAAGTTGACAGTAAAAAAACCTCATTCATAACATATCTTCAACGAAACATTCTATGCCTGTCAAACAATTGTTTATTAGAGGAATGTGAGCGCATGATTTTCCTTAGTAGGAAAACTCCCTATACTTCATTGGCGTACCGAGGGGGGGGGGGGCGTCGCACCCTAATCTCCGGATGTGTCTTCAAAAGCGATGAAAGTTCAGCGAATATTTCAGCCCTTAGAGCACCATCTGAGCTGCCGTTTGGGCGGTAGATCGACTTCTTCCAGTGTCTTGGTTAAAGTCCCAAAATTACTATTCACGTGAGATCCCCATATGTCCAGAATTTGCTTGGACGCTGCCTTTGAAATTCCACTTTTATCTCACTTTTTCCTTTTAGACTAGTAACTCTTTCTTGTTTTCGTCTTCTCTTCAGTCTGTGAGTCAAAGGGGACATCGTTAAAATTTCGAAGACAGGGGCCACCTCGTTTTCAAAATCCCATTCATTTACAAAATCCCTAGAAACCGACTCGTGCCGAGCCCTAGTTGCAGTTTCTACAAGAAAAGTGACATTGGCGTTTTGAAGCGGCATTTCCATATAAAACGTATACCATCTTGTGGAGCATGTTCCAAATCAGATATCAATCTGCAAAGCGGTTCTGGGAGGAGAGTTATGGGAATTTTTCGAAGCCAAAAATTGAACGTGTGGCTATGAAATCATTCAGAACTTTAGTCCGTGAGCTCATATGGGCAATGCTAATACTTTTAGTACAGTAAACTTACGCTAGTGACTACCGCTTTCAAGCGCCGGAATGACCTGAACACCTTCTTCAGGGATCGTTCATACCGCGCACAAAGGCGCACGAAGGCGCACAAAGGCGGACGAAGGCGGACGAAGCCGCACAAAGGCGGACGAAGGCTCACGAAGGCGCGTGTGAGTGTGCGTGTGTGTGTCGAGAGAAACGAGACGAGGCGTGTGTGTGAGTGTGTGTGTGTGTGTCGAGAGAAACGAGACGAGACAAGACGCGCCTTCGTCCGCCTTTGTGCGGCTTCGTCTGCCTTCGTCCGCCTTCGTGCGGCTTCGTCCGCCTTTGTGCGGCTTCGTCCGCCTTCGTCCGCCTTTGTGCGCGGTATGAACGATCCCTCATCTTAGCCAAACCCTTGGAATTTTTGCCTTAAAAACTCGCTTAACTCCGTTCACAGACGCTTTGCAGATACCGAAAGCAGATTTGGAATCAGCGTTCCATGCTCTATAAGACGACATACACTTCATATGGAAACGCTCACTTTCGACCAGGTATCCTTCCTTTTAGGAGGCAAGATCGAAAACGATCATGAAATCTGGCATAGTTTAACAAAGCACTTCATTCGCGTTCTAGATCTGCTGAGCTATGCCTTTGAGCAATTTTGATGACATAATCCTCTGCAGATATTGTTCAGTTTTCTTTGAGCCGTAACACGTTTTTAAAGGAACACTTTATTTACTGAACGACGTCTCTGGTATGCGAACTGTAGCAGTCAGATTTTATCACGTATATCACTATGCTTATCGTTCGTGTCCGATAGAGTAAGCAGCGCTTTCAAGCAATGTCTACTACAAGCGCAGTTGGCGGATAATGTTGTCCTAGTGAACATACCCCAAGACAACATCAAAAAGCAGCTGGTCAATAGGTTGTATGACAGACAATGCGTGATGACAATTGCGTTGTTTGCACAGACGAGAGATTAGGAGACTGTTCGAAATGCGGAGTGATTACTAGTTAGAGTGTAAGATATGCCATGCCATTTACATAGGCGAAACTGGTCGACCGCTTCATGTACGTGTCAACGAACATCTGGCTAGTAAGAGAAGGCAGAGTCTCGTAAGCCCTCTTGGAAAGCACAGAAAAGAGGACCATGGAGGAAGTGATTTTGAAGTCCAGTGTTGTATTTCGGTCGAAGAACATATGGCTGCTCCAAAAGCGTTAGAGGCTTCATTCATACTTGCTCGTAATCCCAAAATGAACAGCAAGAACGAACATTTGTCTATCACTAGTAATCTGAAGTCGTTTTTACCATTTTGCGAGCTATGAGTGGCTTACACTATTTAAGCGTGTCGTACTTATTCGGACCGCTCATTTTGTCATCATTTACTGTGGGCGACCGTGAGAGAGAGCTAACACCCTTACGCTCCTCACCAGGAACACTTGGTAAGCTGTTCAACTTGAGAACTTATATGCGTCACAATAGATGAGTGAAGTGTACGATTTGGAGGAAGTGTCTGGTGGTCTAGATCGTTTGGTTTATGAGTGACTGGCTCGCTTCAGGCCCCTGAAGACGGCATTCAGCCGAAACGTCGGACAGTAAATAATGTGTTCCTCTAAAAACCTTTTACGGCTCAAAAAAATTGAACAATATCTATGAAACATGCCAAGGTTTTACAAAAAGGAGACATACAAGCGCTGCAGATAGTTTTTTTTTCAGTAAAGGAATTCAAGTTTTCTGCAGATAGTTTTTTAGTAACGAAATTCAATTTTTTTTTCAGTTAAGAAATTCAGGGTTAAAAATTCATTACAAAAAAAGCACATAAAATTAGCGGAGGTATTGAAGTATAAGGTTCAAAAAAATTCTTTATCCTTCGTTGAATGGACATTGTGGATGTTTGCGCTCGCTTTCGCTGAGTTTAACAACTCTATATCCACATTCAAGGCCATCCAGTTCCTTCATCTCATCGTCCGTCAACGTGAAGTCAAATAGGTCAGCGTTTTGTGAGATTCTTTCTGCAATAGGGTTACCTTGCTGCCACTGTAAAGTGGTGCTTTGTAGCTGTCTAAGCTGTACCTTCTGAAACCGATTTTGGTATAATGAGTATTCCTTGCTGTGTCGCCCATCGTAGTACCACTTGTGCTGGGGTCTGAAGTTATTGATAACTTTAATTCCAATGAGAAATGACAGTGGGCTTATTTTCAGTTTGATTAGAACTCACTTTACCATGCGCTTTAGCTATATTGTTGACCACGGGATCTTTGAGAACATTTGGGTCTCCCTCTTCTCGGAATTCATTTGAACCAGGATTGGCGAGAGAACTGAAACACTATCAAATCATAGCTCACTATTCTAAGCTGCAGAAATTGCCTAAAAAGTGTGAGCAATCCAGATGCAGTAAACAAACTATTTACCTATACGCAATTAAAGTTATTCCTTTCTCCTTGCAATAAGCTCGCAATTCTTTCTGTGGAAGGAAGGGATGAAGTTCTACCTAAAAATAATGTCAGTATTTATTTCCTCTCAAAAATATAAATTTCCTACTTGTAATGCTGCTGGTTTGATTCTGCAGTTGGCCAGTAATCGCTCTAATTGTTGGACATTGAAATTGGAAATTCCGATGGACCGAATCTACAACACACTCAAATTATTATTTACAGTACTTGAATGTCAGATCTCACCTTTCCTTCTTTCACATAATCTTCTAAAACTTTATAAGTGGTCAGGTAGTCTTCCTCGGAGAATTTGACTTTATCGGATCCCTCATCCTGAATTTTTGAATTGTGATATTGGAAGGACCTGGGTTAGTCCTACCTTCGGTATTGGTTCTTCTCCTTCTGCGTATCCCATTGGCCAATGGATCAGCATCAAATCGACGTAGTCCAGTTGTAATTGGTCCAGGATTTCGAGAACATGTTTCTGGAATTTTCGCTTCGTACTCAGTTTCGGTTTTTTTTACAGAAAGTAATTACCTTGCAAGCCTCGGCCGAATGGAATGAATTCCATACTTTGGAGGTAATAAATAGGTCTCTCTAGAAAAAAGCTACATTTCTAAGCGGAATTTATTCTGGAGCACATCGCTTTTACCTTGAGCCGAAGAGAATAATTTTTTCAATGTTTTTCCGATCGCGTCCTGATTTTTATACATCCATGCACAGTCGATGTGCTTATAGCCGTCTTTGATCGCTGATTCGACTGCTTTTCCAACCTAAACTCATGCTTTTTCGAAAAATCACAATTGATCGAAAACGAAAAATTACAGGGTGGGGCAAAAGTCTGGGAGCCTACTTTGCAGTGCTGTAAATCAAGAAACTACTGATGATTTTGACTCCAAATCTGTGCCACATATTGCTGCGATCATCCTCTACAAAACACACTTTGGTTGGCTGAAAATGCTTGCTATATGTTCTTGTAGGAGTTGGATTTATCAAACAAGTGCTCTGCAAAACGAGAAAATCGAAATTCTTGGTCTTCACAACTTATTTCGTAACTAACGATGCAGGGATATTCTGAAGCATTTCGATGCGTATAATGTAGAGGAGACTTCGCGCTATCAATTCTTAGCCGTTGCATTTGTCAGATACTATTCTTTTAGAAATGCAAAATAAAAATTTGCGAATACCAGCTGCGTGCCAGCGTGCCATTTTTCTTTAGAATAAATTTTAAAGCTATAGGGGCACAGCAGGCACTGAATTCTAGACTATATTCTTTCCATGAGTCTTCTATGCAAGCGTGTACTGGTGTTCGATCGATCAAGCAATTTCAATACCTTTCAGACTACGATTCTTCGCTCTCGTTCGCGCAATCGCATCCAGATTTCCAGTATACGAGTACAACTGCCTGCAATTAAAATTCTGGAAATTTTTTCCTAAACACTGCGAAAAAAATTTTTTCGCAGTGCGTTGTAGCCAAAAGCTTGCTCTATCACACCGCATATTTGCCTGGTGAAATAAACAGTTATCTTGAAGGCGTGGGACGAATTACATCACCACTGTCTGCGTGCCACGACAGTCGGATTCGCCATGATTTCAAAGGGCTGCTTTGAAGCCAGAAGAGGCAATCTCGAAATTTGAAAGCAGCGCTGTATTAGTAAAGGTTCGATTTATGTGTGCATCAAATTTTTTGTTCCTAGGCACTTTCCTTCTGATTTTATCTGAAAAGGTACTAGGCTCCCAGACTTTTGCCCCACCCTGTATACATCTTGCGGTTCGATCTGCCATGTTCCTAAACCCACCATGGGCATATCATAACCCGAATTTAATTCAATCATTGGTACTGCCATCTCTGAAAAAGATTTAACTTGGTTTAGATATAAAACATTCGAGCAACGAGTATGAAATTCTGTACGGAAAATGGGCGCGATTTCAAACAAAAATTCACAAATTTCCGACTGCCCTAGTGAAGTTCACAGATTCTAAGTTTATGAAATTTGCTTATGGTGCTTATGGTGCTCCTAGGTGCTGAAGACATTGCAAATTAAAAAGAGAGAAATTACTCAGATAACCATTTATAGGGATACGTCGGTCAGCTCTGTACCGGTGGTTCCTAGGCCTTTCAGTGGCCTTAGGCGAAATAGCGCCTGTTGGAGTGTTATACAGAACACATTAGCTATAGTAGATTTATTGAGTCAGACGACGAGCACGTGTAGTGCAGTGGTAGAATGCTCACAATTTAAGGCGTGGCAAAGTAACATAACAAACATCTGGGCAATAATACCGTCATATCACAGCAGGTCATGCTTATGGCATGACCTTTATGGTGCTAGGAGAAGTATCATATAAGTTGCAAGGAAGGTGCCGACAAAGGTCGGCACACTCCGGCCAGCGAGGGGAAATGGAGAGAGCGAAAATGTGCATTTCATAAACATACATAACACTGTGGATATAAGAAATGCTCATATTTGTCGGGATATCGCAGTGGTCGTTGGAGCGGCGCGTATCACTTTGACTGTATCGACATCCGCGAAGTATGAGCAGACGTGGCGACGACAGGAGACAGATGGTTGGAATAAGCAGGCGATGAAATTGTTGTGATTAGTACATTCAATATGGCGGCGTGGTAAAAACTTGAGTTCAGAAAAATCTCCGTTTTCCTTGTTTGGAAACGGAGTTAGAAGATGTTCGTCATTGGAGACAGCTGTCTCACCTTCACTGATTGCCGGAAGCGTCGTAACCTGCAAAGATCTGACCGCCTCCTCATGAGCAGAGAAGGTCTTGTCGTTACATTGATCATCAGTACCACTCGACGTTTTGCTTCCTTTGATCATTCCCTCTGACTCTATCTGCAATAAATTTTTCCTTCCACTTTTGCCGTGTGGTCGAGGCTGTCTTCATTGAAGTTTGAAATGGCTGGCTCGGACATCTTCTGTGGTCTCTCTTGAGCATATGGTATGCTGCTTAAAGCGCTGAACTTACTCCTGGACTCAATGTTAGTCTCTCCTTTACTTTCTTCTTCGTTTTCAAGCGTTTCTTCGTTCATGGTTGGCGTATCGCTTGAGATAGGATCGCCTGGTTTTGGTGAATCGTTCGACTGATTTCCGACCAGTTGTTGCTCACTGTTATTTTTGCATGTTACGGCAAAATTCTTCTTGCTTTCTATACTTTTCAATTCTGCCTCAAATTCTGTCATGCGGAGCTGCACATAGTAGACAAGCATGTGAGTATCATCAATGGCTTTATAAAATCTTATCTCTTTATCGAGCTCCTCCATTTCCATCACCATCACTTCTTATGGCGGTAAATTCTTCGTTTTGGCAAAGTTTTTCTAGCACATCGGTCCTCATTTGTAATGACTGTGCGGCGGTCTCCACTTCTCTGATTATTCGCGCATATTGGCGCAGATTGTAGACGCATATACTCCGGCGCAGTTCGTCGTATCTGGAAGTATGGTCTTCTCACCGCTGTATGCGTACTCTTGCAGTACGTCCGTGAGGTTCTTGGTGAGCCGTCTAACTTGTGCGTAGAGGCTGGGAAACAACTTCATTGCGAAATGTTCCCTTTGTGCTCCTGTTTGCGAAGCACTGTGTCGGCCTTCGTATTTGGCCGATGCACCAAATGTATCGGTGGTTCCTAGGCCTTTCAGTGGCCTTAGGCGAAATAGCGCCTGTTGGAGTGTTATACAGAACACATTAGCTATAGTAGATTTATTGAGTCAGACGACGAGCACGTGTTAGTGCAGTGGTAGAATGCTCACAATTAAAGGCGTGGCAAAGTAACATAACAAACATCTGGGCAATAATACCCTCATATCACAGCAGGTCATGCTTATGGCATGACCTTTATGGTGCTAGGAGAAGTATGATATAAGTTGCAAGGAAGGTGCCGACAAAGGTCGGCACAAGCTCCATGAATCTTATTTTAAACTTTATCTGAGATGCAGTATATGTTAAGATCAATGAAAATACTTGGGGCATTACCAATTACAAAGAGAACGAAAAAAACATTCTTTAAGTCAGCTCAAACCCTGCTCCCGAGTATGTAGTTTTTGAGCAAGAGAAAGGAATCAAGCTTTTTAGACCAAGTATGAAAACATGTTGGTGAAAAGGCCCAATCGAGCCTTTTCACTGCACCACTTACTTGCAGCAAAAGTGCTCTTTGATTATTCATCAAGCAACCGTAAATGGGGATAGCGAAGTATTGGCAAAAACCCGCATAATTTGGGCGAGGGGGGAAGCAGAACTGCAGTGGTGGAGAAGCTTGCATAATGCACAAAGCTGATCAAGCCTAAGAAGCTATTCCCGTGTAACAACGTAGGGGGTGATTCGGACCCAAATCAACGTATGGACGAAGTATAAGTATGTCGGACACCAACAACCAAACGCTGAAGCTGAACACAAGTTTGGTTCTCCTAAATTCAGTGCAGCCATGAATAATAAAAACAAACATGTCATGATGGAGAGAACTTGATAGTATCGGAAACAATGTGTAACGAAGTAAAAAAAAGATATAGAAATAAATGATTGATGATTGTTTGGTAGGAATAACCCTACATGCAGGCTGCTAAGAAATGTTTCAACAATAAGAAGGTTGTTAGAGAAAACGGCAAAAAGAGAGAGACTATTTGTTTTTCTGTACTTCAAGCCTTGAAAAAAATATTGAAAATTTATAAGAGGGTTTCGCAGAAGACTCCAACTAAGTATAGTTTTTGACCGCAAGGACTGGAGAACACTGCGGAGCACGCGCCGCCAGGTTAAATACTTGCCCCAATCCAACTTCGCCGTTGCACAAGTCGTGCTCTCGCGACAATTCAGCCGCGCCGCAGGTGGTCTGCAGCGTTTAGGCAGTCCGTACGGTCAACGAATCGACGATATGCTTGCGTGTAGACGCTCATTTTTTTAGAGCAGTTGAAATTTTACAGCTGAAATGATTGTACATTCTCGTATAATCATGAGGTCTGAATGAGTACCATGGATCTGAGACCTGAAGCTGTCTCTATAAAGCAATTGTGGGCTGAAAAATGTATAAATTAAAGGCGCCTATAGAAAACATCGTCGGTGTGGGCGCGTAAATCAATTGTTTAAAGAGCGCCTCTTATTTAGCAAGCTAATATCTGCTGAGCTGCCAGAGGGAAATGGGGTAATATGGACAGGGGAAAAACGAAATTTTATATCTCCAGATATACTATTCAATACCACATGCACAGCGGGAGGAGAAGAGATTAAAAGCTACAGAAACTGTCAGAAAACAGCAAAATGAATGTGCTAGAGCTGTTTTGACGAAAGAGTGATCTTATAATGGGCTGGTATGATCAGTGGCAGTCGACCACCTTCGCTGCAAATGTCGACAACATAAACAAGCCGTCTTGTTTACAGCTGCGGTGCAGCGGCACCAACCCCACGTTCACAGATCACTGACAGATTTCATCATTGCAAATGCCTTGTTGTGCTGGAGTCGAGCATTAAAATGATAACAAGATATGTGAAGAAAGTAGGTGGATCCGGAAGTAACCACCGAGAACCAGATTTTTGAATGATAGTTGCTAAAAATCAGGTGAAATTGCAACTGATATATCTGGTGTATGGAAAGGTCAGCAGTTGCGACTTCATATTTTTGGGTAAGTGTTTTACCAGATTAGATAGTGAGAAAGTTGGTCTGAGAGTTCTTTGCCGAGAACCAGAATTTCAAAAAAAAAGGCGCCATCTTAGTGTTGCTTAGTGACAGCAAACATAACTCCTAAATCTTGAGAGTGAATCTGATGCAGCGACTTCGTAGGTTTTGTGGAGTGGGGTTTGCATTACCAAGCTATCAGGTTAGCACTATCACTATCTACTTTGAGCATTGAACCCCCGAATACAATATATCATCTAAAAGCCCTTGAGGAAATTCTAATCTACGAAGTCGCCATCGAGTTCTGACGTTTTGAAGAGGTTGTGACCTGTTTGACTTGGAAACCGATTTTTCACCTGCTTTTTCAAGGACCCTGGCTGTCGGCGATATTCTAATAGATCGGCACGACTAAGGCATAGTCTGATAGGGCAAGCTAGCTCTACAACTATAAAGTCGCAACATCAAACTTCTTCACAATCAAGATTTAGAAGAAAGCAAGGTTGTGCTGTTTAGTCGTCTTTGATGAGTATTCCATATCTCCGACCATTTGGCTGATTTTGCGGGACTTACAAGGGAAGTACCCCGAGTGGCCGTGGCCTTTTAATATGAGATGCATATCGTCTGAAGCAGCTTCGAACGCTGATTTCAAATCTGCTTTCCGTTTCTGCGGAACGTTCTTTTAAAGAGAGTTATGGAAGCTTGAAAATCCTACTTTGGAGGCGCTCATTGAGTTTGAGAGCGCTGCTATGTGCGTTGGTGGTGCACTGGTGTAATGGGTAGTTGTTGGCATTGAAGGCGAAAGGCCACTGGTTCGAATCCGGTGCAGAGCGAACCGTTTTGCATTATGAATGTGAGTTTAACACTCTAATTCGTCTACAGACACTTACTGTAATGCCTTTGGCATAAGTGACCTAGAAAAAGAATTTTCTAGCAAGACTGCTTGTAATGAGAGCCTGAAATTTTATTTGACTTCCTTACTAGTAAAACAGGACCAAACATGGCCTAGCACGTTTGTCACCATATAAAGCTAAAAAAATGCACACTGTCATTGGTCGAAAAGATATTCTTTCCTGTTTGTGCTAAGGGTATTAACAGTAATTGACTGCAGACGAACTAGAGTGCTTTTTAAACTCACATTCATAATGCAAAACGGTTCGCTCTGCACCGGATTCGAACCAGTGACCTTTCGCCTTCAATGCCAATAACTAACCATTACACCAGTGCACCACCAACGCACATAGCAGCGCTCTCAAACTCAAGGAGCGCCTCCAAAATAGGATTTTCAGGCTTCCATAACTCTCTTCAGAAGAACGTTCCGCAGAAACGGAAAGCAGATTTGCAATCAGCGTTCGAAGCTGCTTCAGACGATATGAATCTCATATTAAAAGGCCATGGTCACTCGGGGTACTTCCCTTGTTAGTCTTCTAGTTCATTCCTACGTGCGCGTTTATCTTCCGTTGGTATAAAGCTGAATGTCTGTTTGTCTATCTGTCTGTATGTCAGTCTGTATGTACGTATGTTCCAAACAGAAAATTTCATTTCTGAACCGGTCCGGACCAAACTTTGCACACATACACATTGGGGCCGGACGGTGTCATAGACTACTTTCTTCATCGATCGATATCGATTTTATCGACTTATGACGATTTTTTGTAAGGTCTGAGCTGCGGGGCTGGGAGTTGGACAGGGGGCTAACCGAGCATGCTGATTACTAATTTATTTTTGCAAAGTTTGAGCTACGCGGCTGGGAGTTGGCGCAGGGGGTAATCGAGCATGCTGATTACAAATTTATTTTTGCAAAGTTTGAGCTACCCGGCTGGGAGTTGGCACAGGGGGTGATCGAGCATGCTGATTACAAATTTATTTTTGCAAAGTTTGAGCTACGCGGCTGGGAGTTGGCATAGGGGGTAATCGAGCATGCTGATTACTACCATAGCGGGAATAGAGATGGCATGTAGAAGTGGGCACAGGGAAAGGTTGTACAGGATAAGGATTGGATCTTTATCATAGTTTGATAGGGACGGGCTTAGCCAGGTAAGCCAGCCAGTCATTTTTAAAACGCGATTTTCCCAGTTTGAAAACGAACTACGCGAAGGTCCCGTTACACGCAACGTTCGCAACGTCTCACTGACTTGCAAAAATTTGCTGTTTGCCACTGCTTCACCCGAATAAGCCAAGCGGCGCATGACCACAAATCTATGTTGAACATTGGACTGTGCCTTTGACCTGGGATTCTTGTATTGGAAGGACAGATTTTAGAAAGCAGGAGACAACTGCAAACTCGGTGATGCACAATGCGCAGCACGGAAGCGAACGTGTTCAAAAGTGCGGTTATCGGCGTCGTAGAAATGCTTCATTTATGCCAAGGGGCTTAGTCATTCGCTGCTACCAATGTAATGTAAGTAGTAATCGGAGCATTCAGATAATTTGATGAACTGCAGCTGTTTCTCTATTTCGGCATTTTGGCGGACTTTATCTCAAGAATCATGAAATCAAATTTATCCTGCTTTTGGTCACATAATCTCTTCCAGTGCCGAGGTGGGCTTAGCAACGAAGAAGTTGACACGCCTATAAGCTCGAAAACATCGGTCGCTGATCTGCTTTTCTGCAAACGCACAACAGCGCTACTTACTAATAGCTGGTAATGATTTATGAAAACGTCACCTTTAATGGTTTCACACTCCATGAATTTCGAAGAAATTTTGGCGAATATGTTTCGAAAGCTTCAACCTCGTAGTCTTTACATGAGGGATTCTGTTTCTTTCACTCATCTGAACAATAGCTCATGGAATCGTATTGGACGCAACTCAGGAGAGGGCATTGTCGCGGCTCACGCGTTGCAAGCCTCTCAGATTCAGGTCGGCCGGGAGCACTGCATACCATTGTATCGGGCGGTACTGTATATGCGCCCTGACCTTTCCCCGCTGAAAATGTTGGCAACCCGAGGATTTTATTTAGCCGCACGACGGCGTATGCCTCTTTGTTTTTCCTGACCTCACCATAATTTTCCTCTTATCTCCCACGCATCTTATGATCGTGCTTGGCGGCTGCCCCAGTAAGCTTTTCTCGGATAAAGTTTTATTTTAAAGTGGCTGAGCAAAGTGATTGTTAGAAATTCCGGATCATGCCACGCTAAAGGCGAGGGAAATTTGGAGCTGATTTGTCCGAGGGTTGCAGGAGCTGGAATGGCCTTTTCTTTGCAGAGACGACTAAGCTGTCGAATCTCGTGGATTTTTCTGGTGTCGCGATTAGAAATGAGTTGGCGGTTAACGGCGGCTGAGGATGAGGGGGACTCATTCTGATGTACTTCTTATAGCCCAGGTTCTAGTAATTTAGCTCTTTTGTGTATTTTGTAATTAGGATGAAAGTGTGTAATCACTTGTGCGTCTTATTATCAGGTAGTGGGGCAGTTCTGATGGTCGCGCCGGAGTACCAGTCAGCGCTAGCGTATGGAGGCAGAAGGTGCAGAGTTGTGCAGGCAACCGAGCGAGGCAAGGGGTGATGAGCCGTACGACTCATAGGGTCGTACTTGGCGGTTGTGTACCACACCTCCTGCTCAACCCTGTACGTTAACTACAGAGTGCTTTGGCTTGCAATAAATTTGCGAAAATGAAATTGCGGACATCATAGTCATAAAGCGATTTTTCACTTTTCATTCAGAAACAACAATGTTTGCGAATTTCATTAAAAAACAAATAATACTGAAAGACTAATTATTCCCGATACAGCAAGTGAGAAAACTTTATTATCCTTGTGGGAACGGGCAGTGAGGATGTTTGCGCGTAGTCTCGTCGAATCTAACAACTCGGTATCCAGATTCAAGGCCGTCCAGTTCCTTCATCTCATCGTCAGTCAACTCGAAGACGAATATGTTAGCGTTTTGTAAGATTCTTTCTACAACAATTTTTTTGCGCTGTCACCGATGCTAAGCTATAAATTATCACCTTCCGAAACTGATTTCGGTATGATGAGCATTCCTAGCTGTGTTGTCCACCGAAGCGCCACTTGTGCTGGGGTCTGAAATTATTAGATTTTTGAATGCTTTGCGAGATGGCAAGTGGAGCATTGCAATATTCTTCAAGATGACTAGGTCTTACTTTATTGTGTGCTTTAGCTATTTTGTTCACCACGGGCTCCTTGAGTATATTTGGGTCTCCCTCTTCCCGAAATTCATTCGAACCAGGAATGATATCCACGAAAGTCCATAATGGAGGAAAATGGGCTTTCAAGCCCCATTTTATTCGTTCGCGGTAGAGAGTGGTCGGAAGCCTAAGCCTAAGCCCATTTCGCGGGGACTTTCGTGGATATCATTCCAGGATTGACGAGAGAAGTGAAGTACAATTATCAACACCTCGCTCACTCGAAAGATATAGAAGTGTTTGTAGGCATCTCCTCCCAAATTGCATTATGTGAAATTTTGATGTTGTATGCGAGCACTCTAACCAAGTGATCGGCCAAGTCTCGCTGTAGAAGATATATTTGGAAGAGAAAATGCTCCTGTCGGGACGCAGCTAGCTACAACAGCTGCTCGAGAAGGAGGTTGGCCTAAGACAGCCAACCTCTGGCAGTGACCTCCGGCCGCCAGCACTAGCCGGTGGCCTTCCCCTTCCCCTTCCCCCCCCTTTTGTACATAACTATTTATAATCAATATTATAGTAAGACTTATGTAAACCCGCTACACATCAGGTAAGGGCGTCATGAACCCTTATACCTGACATGGAAGTCCCGGGAAGATTTTTTTTCTTTTTTGAGCTATAGTCAAAATTTTTGTTTCTAAAAAAAAACAAAAAGAATTTTTCACCCCTCGACATCCATATCGACAACAACTTCCACCCAAGTCAAGCGAACGAATGTGTGAGTGTTTTTTTATTTATCTAATTATAATGACGACTAGTAGTGTGCTGTGATTATAAAAATTTCCCTTCCTTTTTCTTGAAGGAAGCTAATATTTCAGAAAAAAAGGTACCGAAAGAAAAACTGCATTCACAAATGTGGTGATGGTCTTTGATCGAGTCAATCTCAAAGTTACCATCACCGAATATACTAATGATCTTTGATTGAATTATTTCGGACACATCCTACCGTAGTCCAGCGAGCAGTCCCATTTGTCCCCAATTTTTTTTTTAGATAATGATGCATCATTTAGTTATATATATATTACCATGAAGCACAAAATCAACATTTAGCAATTATATGTAAGTGACTGAAAAAAAATGTAAATTTTTTTTATAAACAGTTCCGCATAGTCATAACTGAGCCAAATCTGTGCATCTTCAGAATCCCTTTGCAAAACTGAATTTTACAAGTAAAATTCATTCTTCTGCGGTCTCGTGTATTTGAACTTTTGCTCTAATTCACGTTTTTCTTTCGATGTTTTCACATATTTCCGTAATTTTTAGAGTATTGCGAATTTATTGCATCGGCTTTTTAGATCACAAACGCATTTTCTCTTTAATTTTAGACATGGACTTGCTCGTTCGTAACTACAGTACAAAATCTGCAGTATTCATCAGGAAAGATAGTATCTGCCGACATATCGCATACCCGGCTATTACAAATGGCCTAGAGCTCCAAATTTTATGCTAATCCGTTCCAGCAACTGTTTGCGCGCGTTCAAAATAGCAGTAAATCTGGTGACAATTGTAGAAGCTAGCAGCTGCTGACCTTAGGGCCTGACAAATATCCCTATGCGCCTGTTGAATATTTGGATGAACTTTACACACAATTGATTTACGGCTCATCTGTCTTCCGATGCCGAGAAGTCGTGCATCAACAGCGACAGCCGTGATCAGCATCTTATTCATCGGCAAGCTCAATCAGATTGATATCCTACGTCGCGATAAGGTGTAGTCAGCAAATTCAAGGTTTTGGCTGAAAAAAATTTTTTTTAGAAACAGACAAAACATTTTTCTCATTGTAATGCAAGACATCTTTTTCTTTCGACAACTCGTATGCATTCTAAAAGAAATATATCCTTCTGAATCAGAACTCTAAGTTCCATTGGTGCTATTATTCTTTTCAGATTTTGGAAAAACAGTTTTCGCCTAAGCAAAGATAATCTAAAACAAACTCTCACCCATAATTTCAGAAATGAATATCATTTTTTTTCCAGCCAAAATTTTGCCAAGTTTTCCTACTTTTGTCACCGATAGGTCTAATACAGATCTGTAGTGATTTGCAAATAATCACTAAAAAGAACTTTCATCTGTTGTGACAGAACATGATTCAAGTAAATGAGATTGAAAAAACCTGAATGCTGCTTAAATTCGTTGAGAGCACGAACATTTTCGATCCGAAAGGAAGCCGCTTATTTTCTCAAAAAGCGCTTTTGCGGACAAGAATTTTGCTGTGGTAGCGTTGAATCAACCTTCAACAAAAGATACAAAGATACGATTGCAATGTAAAAAGGATATTGAGATGCTCATACTTCTGAAACACATGGATATTTTAAATTGAGCTTTTTCCACAAGCCAGTCTGAACGTTTGTTGAAAAAAAAAATCAATTCTTTTCGCCCATTAAAGAAGGTAGATTATTTATTTCGATTGATTTTCTTCAGTGAAAACCAGTTTTCGTAAACTGCACTGCTAATCATGATTATCAGAAAGAATAACTACATGCTTTTTCCTGGTGCATCACTGTCTAAATGCTGTCTACCTCAATCATAAGGGACAGTCAGTCACTGCAACCAGAAGGAGCGCCGCAACTATACATTGTGTAAAAAAAAAAGCTAAGCAATTACTCGTCTTTTGAACCTTAGGTCCGTGCGCTTACACAAAACCAACCATGCGCTAAGGTGCCCCATAAGTCAGAATATCGCTCAGATTAAGGCAGCGGTAGAGGAAACTATGACTGAGAGAACGGCTATAGTAGAATATTTCAACGCGATTACTCCTTAATAAATCATCTAGTTGCTCCGTGGTGAACAGTAAACATTAATTTTTATGATGAAGGCCAAAAGTGCTTATTTCTAGTTTCTTGACAACTTTGAGAAAATTTTCAAAAGGTTCTTAATATGTTTTTTTCCTTGAGTTTTTTTATGTGATGCCACTCATCTTACCCAAACACTGATCAAAGTGAAAAGTAATTGGAGATTGTCTGCTGAGCGAATCTGACAGAGAAAAACTACTGAAAAATTCCATCTGGAGAACCAGTTGAAATCCATTCCCACTCACTCGAAACTTAGTCTCTCACTTTCCGTATCAAGATTCTGAATTTGCTTCACTCATATCACTTGGTTATCTATGGATTGTCCAAAGCAGATCAGCCTATTGAAAAAAAATGTAGGTAATCTACGATTTTTTCATATTTTTCACCAAAATCAAATTGTCCACTTTCCCGTCTATGTCAGATAAATTTCTAAAGATATAATAATCAAACTCTTAGTGTAAAATCAGAAACTATATTTTGCAAGCCCAATAAAATAAAGTTGAAATCATCAAATGTTTTGGTATTCAAAAAAATTTTTTTTGCGGGTCATTTAGCTCTGATTTGTTGACATTCCACGGCATAGAACTGAAAAAGTGTCGCTTTTGAGCACGATAGTGATGAGTGAAGTTGTTTGGTAGCATATTTCGCTTTTTGATTAAAAGAACAACATGAAACGTAATTTAAAGATGTCGCTTTACGGCCATTTTTATTCATGGAAAAATTTATGGATTGTTCATGGCATCACGAGTTGCATTGAAAGGAGTTTCCATACATAAAAAGGTTTATTTTGATTCTGTTGATATGCATACAACTAAGTCGGAAACCCTGATCAAGAAGTACGTATAGCTTATGCTTTAGCATGTGATGGTCAGGACTTTGTTAGAGAAACATAAGGAAAACTGAACACAAAACCTGAAAAGATTTTTGTCCTATTCAAAGGTTATTTATTTGAATTTGCACTGAAACTTTTTAGCCACACCAAAGGTGCGTTTTCTTTTGTCAAAATTTCTCTCAGATTTCCTTGACCCTGACAGAAAGAAAGTAACACCCCGATTTTCTATGTTAGTTTGAAATAATAGTCATGGAGAATAAAGTCCCTACTAAACCGCGCGCCTGCTGGGAAACTGGCAATATTTAGCAACTTGCTTGCAAAACGAAAGTTAAAAAGTTTGCAAGAAATATGCGCTACGCTACCTAAGGTGTTATTAGACAGTACACTTCCTTGAACTAAATTTTTTTGTGCACATCGCAATTGTTTTATTGAAATAATGTCTAACCTTAGAAAAATATATGCAAATAATAATATAATTCTAAAAATTATATCCATTTAAAAAAAGTCCTGCGAACAGTCCCAAAGGTCAAAATGAGTTCTCCCAAATCTAAATTCAATTATAATTCCAAGATAAACTATTCCGATAACCGAGAATCCGAGAACCGAGAACCGAGACCCGAGAACCGAGAACCGTGATTTCTAGATAGTATTAATTTTATCCCCATCATTTTTTTTCACTTTTATATCGTAAAATCTTTTTTTTAACCGTAAACTTTTTTTTCTCCCACATTCATTTTCGTAAATAGCATTTATTCCGATAACCGAGACCCGAGATCCGAGAACCGAGACCCGAGATCCGAGAACCGAGACCCGAGATCCGAGAACCGAGATTTTCGAAAAGTTTTCTTTTTTTTATAAATCTTCATCAGCCTATGGACTTGTTCGCATTAGCTAGCTTAAAATAAAAATCTGCAGTAAAATAAGGCCCTACACAAATATTTTTATTTTTGTTAGGCGCTCTCATAAACCAAGTCGCTGTTACATCTAGCGCAGAATGCTGACCTCCAAACCTCACTCATTTAAGAGTCGCATCCTGTTTTCGAAGATTCATTCCCCGTTTTGCCATTACAGCGAACCTCTTGAATAGTCTTCTTATAAAAGATGCAGGGTTTACTGGAAAGAGGATCATTAAAAAGCATTCTTCCCATTGTCGGCGCATGGCCCCTACAAGTCAATCCGGAGACTGGTAGTGAACATCTAATAGCATGCAGCCGTCCACTAACAAAACACGAGAAGGACTATGCGATTACAGAGCTAGAAGCCCTGGCTATACTTTTCGCTTTGGAGCATTTCTATCCCTATGTCACCCATAGTTCAGATCTCGTGGGTCGTCTCGCCAAATATCGAATCACCTTACAGGCGCACGACTTCAAGCTTGAGTATCATGCTGGAAAGCACAATACTCTATGCGATTTCCTAGTCGCTATCCTATTGCGGAAATAGCGCACAGGTGCATACAGTACCATCTTTGGTCATATCCAGCAATCTCAGAAGGATTCCATTCATGGAGACCTCATCAAGTTCTACAACGCAGAGCTGGATTTCCACCATTAGGATTTTCCGACAATTTGGGCAGGTATTCTCTCTGTTACATTTTTCACAATACATCTCTATAGATTATTCTTGATAAGGCCTGTCAAGATAAAATCATTGAGATCTTCGCCAAACCCAATCTTGGGATCGCCTTTAGGAGTGCGAAAAAACCAAAAAAAAAGCATATCTGCTAAATACTTTTAGAAATTTACAAACTCTTGTCAGAAAGTTTATTTGAAACTGCCCAACTTGCCAGAAAATCAAATACCTTCTGTAAACATCATTTGGAGTGAATTGGGTTTATTTCCAATTTCCCAACGACCTTTAGAACGTTTGCATACGGATATTGTTGGTCCTTTACCATCGTGTATCAACGGCAGTCGATTTATTTCTATTACCGTCTGTGCGTTTAGCAAACTCGCTACCTGCATCGCAATTCCTAAACAGACAGCAGATCCTGTTGTCAAAGCTATGGTAAACGGTGTCATAGCTAAACACGGCTTTCCTTATGAACTAGTGCTCGACCGTGGTTCTAATTACACTAGTGAAATGTTTGCGAAAATGAACCGAGCAGTTGGCATTTCCAACATGTTCACCACAAAGTTACAACCACAAAGCAAACGGGCAAGTCGAAAGGATGGTTAAAGTGATTACAGACTCTCTAACGGCTTACTGTCCAAAAGCCAAAGAGCTATGGTCTGATTTTCTGCAGCCGATCTTCTTCGCCCACAACACTAGTATCTAACCGATATCACAGGAAATAGCCCGTACTTCGTTGTGTATGGTCTTCACCCGATCACCTGGTGCGACATAGTCCATCAGTTACCATCGAGGATCTCCTACGCAACCGATAGTTTCACGGACTAGCTGACCACTGCACTGCAAACCACAATCATGGAAGTTGGCAACCAGATCGCCAGCAAAAAGCGACGTATAAGTCAGGTTATGATTTCCATAATAAAGTTTTTTCCAAGGAAATTTCCACTGGAGATTTAGTATTACTAAGAGACGACACTATTCGTCCAAAATTCACATACCGGGGGAAGGCCCTTTTATGGTTGTGCAAGTCGATCGTCCGAATGTCACTATATCTAACCTGATTGGACCTACTAAAACTCAATGTGTCCATATGAATAGACTCAAAATCTATTCTCATAGTTCAACATTGGCTAGAGTTTCCACCCAAAAACTCACTATATCACATACGCCAACGGAAACTCCAGAAAATGCTGAACAAACTCAGTTTGCCAGACGAACTCCTCGTTTGCAACTGAATGAATCATTTACAGCGGATCCAAACATCGATTCCGAAGGAGAGGATGAATAATTGCTCGCTAAATTTTTATATACATTCGATATTTTGCAATGAGTAGTTATTTATTCTCTAAAGTTAGTTTGTTTCCCTATTTTTGCTGCACCGTCGCGTATTTACGTACCTTAAATTTTCTTTGAACAGGCAATTCAAAGAAATCTTTCGCATTAGGCAGCTCAACATCAAAAAACTTTTATGTAACAAACAAATTTTGCCCTTATGTTGAATGGAAAAAAAGTGTGCAGTGCCCAATTCAACATATGAACTCGCTACGCCTCTGTTTTTACATGCAATTATTCACAGAAAATGTTACTGTGAACAAAATTTTGTAATTTTGTAAAATTACTATTGAATTATGTTTTATAATTGCCTAGAGATTACTGTTAAAATTTTTCTGCGTATATGTATCATGAATTTATCACTAACTTACCATTATTATCACCGTAAAACTATTTTGTGTTAACCAGTTTTTTTTCCATACCATCTACTTCGTATGTTCAGTAATTTCATACTACAATTTTTCTACATGCTGTTAATTCCACCCCAAATGTTAAATCATTTGCCCTTCGATCAACTCCATTTTTACCATGCCCTAAAAGCAATCGGTCCATCTCCATTTCCTACAATTCCACTCCAACTCCTTCCCAGCATCATGTCGGGAACCCCATTCACACAACTGCATCTCTCCGCAGTTCCTCCCCCTCTCCTCAGCTACCTTCAAGCTCGAGGACGATCTTACTCAACGCCATAGGATATTCTAGGTGAAGGTCGTGTCTGCTCGCAGTCCACCGGATCCATATCCTCACATCTGTATGTATTTTAACATATCATTACGCCAACTGTACGTTCTCGCCGTAAATCACGTGTAAATTCCAACACACGTTACTCGGAAGAACTTTTGCCATATCTCGATATATCACCACTTCATTTTTATGTTCTCGCCGTAAATTACGTGCAAACTTCAACGCACGTCACTCGGAAGAACATCCACCACATCAACGCCAACCACTACAACGTCTCGAAACCTCAGCCATGCCACAAGCTCGAGGACGAGCTTCTCGAAGGAATGGAGATGTCGGGACGCAGCTAGCTACAACAGCTGCTCGAGAAGGAGGTTGGCCTAAGACAGCCAACCTCTGGCAGTGACCTCCGGCCGCCAGCACTAGCCGGTGGCCTTCCCCTTCCCCTTCCCCCCCCTTTTGTACATAACTATTTATAATCAATATTATAGTAAGACTTATGTAAACCCGCTACACATCAGGTAAGGGCGTCATGAACCCTTATACCTGACACTCCAAAAGGTAGAAGTGGCGCAGGTGTGCGCAGGCGCACATCGACGTGTGTGGTCTAAAGTAAGTGCAAAATCGGGCTTTATGCATCTAGAGTGTCATAAATCCCCCCTCTACCCTTCGCAACACATTTACGACACTTCTATTTACTCTGAAGCCCCTTTCGAGCTCATTATCGTTAGACCACCCACGTTGATGGGCGGAGCCACCTGGGCTGCTTCAATTTTCTAGAGCGACTTTTTTCACTTATTCATCTTCCGTAGCGGAATAAGGGCGATTACCTAGTTGAGAGCCCGTTACATATAGCACCAAAATCTCTCAATCTGGGTAGGCAATGCCTTCAAGGCATTAGAAATTGCCCAAAACTGGCATCTCATAGCCCGAATTTAGCTTTACCATTGGTACTGTCATTTCTAAAAAACATAATTTGATCTCGGTATGAGAATTGTAGAATTTGAATCATTGAATTTGAACAATTTCATATGAATAATGGGCGATAAGCGGGAAGAAAATAAGTAGAGAATTGAAAAAGAGTTTCCAATGAATAAGTGCTAGGAAACATAGAAATATTGCATTTTCAAGAACGCTTCAGAAGTCCAGAAATTTTTTTCAACTAGAGGGGTAGCTTATTCTCAGACATACGATAACTAAAAACCTCTAAGCACCAGTGACAGACCGAGGAAAGGGCGGAGGGGGGGGGGCTTTGGAAGTTATTTACATGGGTTGTAAAGATTTACAAGTGACTTATTCATACTTCATGATCGGATTTGTAGATTTTTTTTCAAAATTCAAGTAGTTTTGTAATAATTTTTTCTTGGAGTTTTGAGGTTGTGAACCCTGAAGAATTCTGAGAAACATCCTAATAAATTTTTTGGAGTGTGTGGCTAATGCCGCACCTTCATTCGCAAAAGTTTTTGTCGCCCCCCCCCTACAAATTCTCGAACCGCACCTGCTATGCACTTGTACCTCTATAAAGCGTGGGTTGGCCTAAGAAGGTTGGAAATTGAAGACACCTATGGTGAATTTTCCGTTCAACTTTGCAAAAGAGCCTCTTGCTAATCCGGAGTTATGATGGCACCGTCTCTCTGGTTTGATGAAGAGATTTGAAAATGGAAGTAAAAAACTTGATTTAATTTTGAGAATGATTGGGACCAATATCCGGAACATGCTATGGAGATCATTAGAAGCCAGAAAAATGATTGAACAAAGTCATTTTGATGGAAGGGTAAATGTGTGCGATTTCTGGTCAGTAAGTACATAACGCACTTCGCTGCAGTTCTGATGTTCTGATGGGAAAGCCTCGATTACGATGGCTTATAAGCGCCAGACGGCCCCTCTTCGTCGCAAAGTGATCTTTGAGACGATAGTCTAGCGCTACAGCGCAGACATTACGTTCGAGAGTGCCAGACTAATGTGGGGTTCAATGATCGCTTGTAAACAGCTTCGTGCAACACTGCTATTTGAATAATTAGAGATAGAATCATAGAACTATCAGCGTTCTTATGGAAATTAACTTATGGAGCAGAAAATTTAGGCAAGTCCCTGCCAAATATTTGGCAGAAACAGCCAACGAGTGATCTTTCACTGTGACTTAGAAGGATAATATTGGACTCAAACTATTTTCTGTGCACATTTTTGAAAACTTCGACTGTTGATCAGTGATCAGGGATCACTTACCTAGATCAACCATATCCCGCAAGAATTTTTCTCATGTAGATTTAATCCTCTTTAGGGTGCCTTCATACCGCGCCGGCAGCCGCCGCTAGCAGTCCGTAGCAGCCCATAGCAGCCGCCAGAAGCCCGTAGCCGCCGTTGGCCGCTTTTGTTCATGGAAGCGTTAAATCATGAGGTTCTTACTACTTTGGCGCAAACGCCTACGCTTTCCATCTTCCATGCTTTTCCCCCTATTGCTGCTAATGTGCAGTTCGATCCTACACATTACAGAGATATTCAAGATAAACTGATAGCCAAGGAAAAGATTGAAGCAGAAACTACTCAAAGGATAAACAAATAGCACACCTACATCAACTGGACGCATCCAAAGTCAGAGAAATCACACCACGAAAACTTCGGCGAATTATGATTCAACTGCAAGAAGGAAATTGAGCAGCAATAGGATTAGTCTAGTCAACAAGATAACAACAATGGACACAGGTACGATGTATGAAATGGAACGCATACTGGCGCAACAGGAAGGAGAAAGCGTGGGAGATGAGAAGCTTAGGCGGATGTACTCAAAGTAATAAGATGATTTTTTGCTTTTACGAACAGAAGCGGCCAGCGGTGACTACGAGTTGTTTGCCGCGCGCGGGCGATACGGGCTGCTACGGGCTGCTACGGGCTGCTGCGGGCCGCCGGCTGCCGGCGCTGCATGAAGGCACCTTTACTAGCAATCTCATCAGATAAGTACGAAGACTGTCAGATAAGTCAGGATTTAACTGTAGGCGGACTTATCTGATGGGAGGATTTATCTGCAAGAGTCTTGGCGATGCGAGGGTGCATTTTCATCGATTTTTCTTGTCAAAAAAGCGGACTTATCTGGATTTTAGGGTAGTGGAAGAGGCAGTCAAATGCGCGCAGGCTTACAGGTACTTGCGGGGTCAGACGGCGACCAATAGAAATAGAAATAGAGATAGTTATATAAAAAAGGTGATACCACGACCTGTTTACAGTGCTTTCATTCTCCCATATAACTCTACCATTTTACACTGAATTTCAAGCCAGTTTAGGCGGAAATTGGATTTGCGGGACTCCGCCTCGCCAATGGTTCGCACCGCTTCGCAGCTACAGTTCATATCGTGTTTAGAACCTATATCTGCATTTTCACTCTCCTTGGTCTTTGCTTGGCAAAATGCCAGCGCTATGCGCTCGCAAAGCTTTCTGCGATGCGCGAGCACTGCTCCACCTCAAATGCTTCTCCTCGTACAGTCCCCGGAAAGTAGAGGGCTTGGGGCGAAATCGAACTTCGGCCCACTTTGTCATGGCGGCGCTTCCACTACGCCACTTGCCCTGCGAGAGCATGTATATTTACCAATTTTTCAGGGTCGTCACAAAGCAGCCAAGCTTACCGCAACTTGTGTCTTGTGATGGGTCAGGGCACCTCCGGTGTGAAAACCCTATCCATGTTTTCCAAAGGTCTTTCACGATCTTAGAAACAAGCTCAATTCGAAAGACGTCCAGGTTTTGGCAAAAGGTAACGATAGAGAACATGTTTTCTAACGAGATTTGTAGGCCAACATTTATGAATGAAATTGTTGTAGACATCTTGTAATATATTCTTTAGTGTTTTTGCGCCGAAAAGGTTTGTTATATTTTATCCAGAGCCTGACTTTCGACAATAATGTCTTCCTTAGAGGCCTGAAAGAAAGTCGCATTCATATTTTGAATCATAGATACGCTACCGAACCTCTCCCCTCACTAGCTTCGTTGATTCCTTCAAAGTGGACGACTAGACGCCACTACGTAACTCACCAATCTCACCGTCGCAAAATAGTATAAGGACATTTATTGTTGACAGATGACATATAGATGAGCTGTCTCATTGCAAAGCAGCTTAAATAATCTCACTAGGGGATAAACTGCATCCACTAATTATTGAGTTGCGTTTTTGCCATTCATCTTAGGCTCGCGCAATAGGATGAACAATGCTTCCAAGGCTTTGCGTGCAGCGATTTTTTTGTTTGCATGGGCTAGAATAGTGCACCCAATATCAAAACCGCTACCATTGTGGTCTGCTGCTTTTTGCTTCCCAAATGGGCTCGTCATGTTCCTCGCTTTTTACTCCAAATGTCCATTCACATGAATTGAAAGCTGCTGACCAGTTTCTCCAGTATACGTTGCATGGCATGCTAGGCATTATACCTTGTAACACAATTTGCCGAGGTTTCCGCTGGGACTATAACGCAGTTCTGCGTCATTGAAGCTGTGTTGTGAAATCTGCTACTTACCAGTTGTCGATTGATGTTGTTGGGTGGTATCTACTATATCGAAGAGTACGACAGCTCAATCTAGTTGGGTTTAGATCAGGCACTGCTCGAACGCGTTCGTCACCTAACGGAAATAAAAGGCAGGCATAAGGAGATTATGTCTTTTGCTCAGTCATGATTCTTGATTGCCTTCTTACTAGAATGATCGGATCTTGCTGAGTAGATATTTGGGACGACTCCTATCTCGCGTGCCGTTTTGAGAGGTTCTTTTCGTTTTCTTTCGCCAGTGCATACATCCATAGCTGTCTTGAACATGTTTGCTCAGGATCGCACGTTTTATGGCGACCGAATGAGCAGGCTTATCTTGCAAAATGGTATTTTTGGGATTTTCCTTGCAATACCATTTGGCGCGCACGGCGTCATTCCACGCATCAAATGTGTGTATAGGAACATTACCAACGATCTTTAGGCTTTTCTCTTGTAATGTTGCAACATTTACTTACTTATTTACCAAAGCAGTCGATAAGCATAAATTACAATGATAATAAGGAGCATTATAACCGTAGACGTTTTGCGTCCATTCATACAGATGCAGCAAAGTTTGCAGATTTCATCATAAAAAAAGAAATGACAACAGCGGATGTTACGAAAGACCAATTATTCCTGACAAGCAAGTGAGAAAAATTCTTCACCCTCACTAAAACGGGCAATGTGGATGTTTACGCTCGCCCTCCCCCATCCTAACGACTCGGTATCCAGATTCAAGGCCATCTATTTGCTTCATCTCATCGTCGGTCAACTTGAAGTCGAATATGTCAGAGTTTTGTGAGATTCTGTCTATAACAGTGTTGCTTTACTGCGTTGTTGTCGGTGCTGAGCGGTTCGTATATCACCTTCTGAGATTGATTTCGGTATAATAAGCATTCCATGTTGTATCGCCCATCGTAGCACCACTTGCGCTGGAGTCTGAATTATTATTTTTTTGGATTGCTCTGATCAATTTTGCGTGCCAAATAAGAACTGCGGTTATTTTATTCAAAATGATCAAGACTTACTTTTTTGTGCGCTTCAGCTATTTTGTTAACCTTTGGGTCCTCGAGGATATTTGGGTCATCTTTTTCTCGAAATTCATTTGAGCCAGGATTGGCGAGAGAACTAAAACACTGCTTCAGTACATAGGCTCACCCGAAAAAATGTAACATTGATCAAGCCAACAGAAATTGTCGATAGAATTCCGACGAAATTGGTTTGCGCGCTGATTATGAGCAATGGACCACATATTACCTTCGCATTACCGAACTCTAGCTTCACAGCATTCCATATTAATTCACTTCAAAAGGGCATCAAGATCATTTGTTGAGCCTAGCACTTCAGTCACATCTTGCTTTCTTACTATTTCTTCGGGGCCACGTCCGCTAGCCTCCGCCCGTAGGCTCGCTGACACCCAATCATCAGGGCTTTTTTAGATAGCAAGGTTTAGGGCTAGTTGACTGATTAATTGCCTTCTTCTATTGGTTATTACTAATATTGAAATACACTAGTGTATATTTCAGTAATCGATTGTATTGCAGTCCTTGTGTCTCGAACAAAATGGCTTGTTAACGCACGCCCCACCCCAGGCATTATGTATGCCAAATTTGGTTCATCCATTACTCCTTCTGTTCTTTTTGGGCGAACATAGAATTTTTTATAGCAAAAACAGCAAAAAATCAATAAATCGATAGAAGCAATTGTTGGGTGCCGAACGAGGCTTACTGACACACGCCCAGCCCCGTGCATTGTGTATGCCAAGTTTGGCTCAGATTCTATTACCCTAATTTCCGGGGTATAAGGCGCAGTAGCTTTCACCTCGCGCGGACTTATGTGCGATGACGTTCGCGATGGGCGGCGCCGCATACCTTTTCTTTTATCAAGAATGACAAGAATAAAACAAAAACAGCACCCTCAAAATATCAGTAGTATCATTGTAAAGAAAGGACCGTTTCCCTACCAAAAGCCTTGTTGGAAACGAAGGAAAGCACAAAATGCAGCACAGGCAACATCATTGAAAACAAAAGAAAGAATTATCTAAACGTCATAAACACCACTGAGAACATCTCCCTCCCACCTGTAGAAACGATTTCAAGGTATACGTCCTAAAAAGAGTGAAAAAAGTACTTGAAGGCATGATTTATAAGAAAAAGTACCTGAAGGCATGATTTATAAGAAGTGAAGAATAATTACAGCGCACTGAGTCTTCAGCTTTCTAGATTCAGACAGCAATCATTTAGAAAGCGTTTTCGCGCCATTGTTCGCTGCGGTGGGTGCGCCTTATACAAGGTGCGCCTTATACCCCGGAAATTAGGGTACTTCTTCTATCCTTTTTGGGCGAACATAGAAAATTCTTCAAACAAAACTGCAAAAAATCAATAAATCAATAGGGGCAGTCCTTGTGCCTCGAACAAAATCGCTTGTTAACACACGCCCCACCCCATGCATTATGTATGCCAAATTTGGTTCATCCATTACTGCTTCTATTCTTTTTCGGCGAACATAAAAAATTTTCCAAGTAAAAAAGCAAAAAAATCAATAGATTGATAGAAGCAATTGGATGGGTCCCGAACGAAATGGCTTACAACACACGCCTCGCCCCATGCATTATGTACCCGAATTTGGTTCAAATTCTATTATTCTTTCTATCCTATTTAGAGCGAAGATACAAAGTGGCTAAGCCAAATATTATATAAGTATAGATATCATTCATTCTCTCACTAGGAGATGTGAGCACGCTTTGCGTACATTTCATAAACAGGTTCATGAATGAGTTTTGACATGTTTTGGTTGGTTTACTATTAAAATTCGTGGAAAAACATGTTTGAGCTCGTTAAACCACGCTGGCTTGAACATGTGGTTTACGAATTTGTGATACTAATCAACCAAAACGCGTTGAAACTCATTCATAAACTTGTTGATCAAACGTACGCAAAGCGTGCTCACGTCTCCTAGTCAGAGAATGAATGATATCTCAAATCAGCTTTTCAAAGCAAGAGAAGATATATCTACAGCTTGTTTGGAATGGCTCAGCTCAGTTCTGATCATTTTCTGCTTAGCGGGTACCTATGCGTGGTAAGCTTTGCTCTCAATTTGTGTGCTTGCGGTGGCGAGATTCAGCAATGATACTTGCGCGTGAACAAACAGCTACTCTCTAATGCCGGCCACCTGCGCGCAAAATGCCGGCATCAGTGGCACGGTTATTCTTCATGAGCAATTATTAGGTTGGAAACTAAGTTTTGCAACTGCTTTCATAACTTGACCTTCTTTCAACATGTTGCACTCAAACTTTGGCTATATGTAGATCTCAATGTGTGCTACAAGCATGCACAAACTGTTCAATTTTTTAGAACGAAATAAAACAAATACAAGCATTTTTCCGAAAATATTAAATTTCGAGGATTTATGAGTTTTTGAGCAAAAATGAAGCCATTCGCGACCCACATCATGCATAGTGATCCGAAATTACAGTGGATTATTGCTTGAGGTTGACTCATTCGGCTCAGTAGGAAAGGAATAGATTTGAAAGACAAGTCGAAATCTGGCGCTCTCACAAAGTTGAAGTACCCAAGGCTAGTGGGGACAACCATCAATGGCTAAGAAGTGGGAATGTCATAATCCGCGGAGACTTCACAAAGTGAGGTTATTCGACCTGTTAAACACAAATATCACTTTCGTTTGTTAAATTAAAGTCTTTTTTATTGATTAAGGTGAGACCCCACACCGTCGAAGTACACTAAATTTACAAGAAGGCCCTCACCATGCAAATTCTGAATGTTATTCGTGATCAGCATGTCGGAAAACCCCCCTACGCCAAGTTTCAGCCAAATCCGTAATGATTTGCAATTTTCCCCTTCATACCGTATACCTACCGCAATCCTCGCTGCGACGTCAGAATTTGGCGGAACAGCAGCTATGTTTGTAGCTTACGTTATAAACAACATACTGGCAAAATTTGAGTGCCTCAAATCAAATGAGAGCAAGATTATCTAGTGAGTTGCAAAATTAGTTTCCAACCTAATATATCGCACAATCTTGGCGCTGGAAGCACACCATAGCCGAAAATCGGGGGGCACGCGGAAGGCGACAGTGCGCGCAAAATGCAATCAGTGTAAAATCGCTTTTGCTGATTTTTACAAAGTTTTACTTATGGCATCGAGTTATGTATCCTACCCCTTGGTGCCGTGTCATTTAGCACCTGAAGAATTTTTAAAGGCACAAAATTTGGTTTCGCCTTCTGCACCATACCACGGAATTTCTACTAGACTGTAGTGACCCTTGCTCCAGCAGAACCTGGTGGACGATTTTGAATTTGAACTTTAGCAGATCGGTTGCGACAAAGTAGGGCAATCTAAAGGAAGAACTGAGGGCTGAGTGTGATGCTCTACCGCAAGCGGTCTGGTCCAGTTCAAAGTCGAAATCGATCATACAGTCTGTCCAAATCAGGATCAGGCCGAAACGCTGGCGTAACTTTGCACACGCAGCGCTACGCGCTGCATAGCTCGCTGTATGAGAGAGCGAAGAGATTGTAGAGAGAGCAGACAAGCAAACCGTAAACGCGACGCAAAACTGTGGGACCTAACGAATTGGGACAGACTGTACCTGTATGCAACCAAAGCTATTCCTTTCTCCTTGCAGAAATCTCTCAATTCTTTTTGTGGAAGATAGGGATGAGCTTCTACCTGAAGATAGTGTTACTATTTTCTCAGGAATTCAAATGACTTTTGGCTAGCTACCTGTAGCACTGCTGGTTTGATTTGGCAGTTGGCGAGTAACCGCTTCAATTGTTGAAGATTGAAATTGGAAACTCCGATGGATCGAATCTTCTAAAAAGTGGCCGAGTAATCGGAAGAATCAAAATATTCAGATTGTACCTTTCCTTCTTTCACAAAATCTTCCAGAACTTTGTAAGTGGTCAGGTAGTCTTCCTCGGAGAATTGGAGCTCACCCGAATCATTCTTAATTTTTCTTAATGCGATTATGGGTACCCATAGCTCAAATCCTACCCTTGGTATCGGTTCTCCACCTTCAGCGTACCCCATTGGGAAATGTATCAGCATCAAATCGACGTAGTCCAGTTGAAGTTGGTTCAGTATTTCGAGAACGTGCTTCTGGAAAGTTTATTCTGCGCTTTTTTCAGATCCTGTTATTCGCGAAAGTGCAGTTACCTTGCAAGCCTCGGGCGAATGAAGTGAATTCCATACTTTGGAGGTAATAAATATGTCTTCTCTCTAAAAAGAAAAACTGCATTTATGAGCTCTTTCACCTGGAGCACACCGCTCATACCTTGAGCCCTGAAGCAAATAGCTTTTTCAATGTTTTTCCTATCTCTTCCTGGTTATGGTACATCCATGCACAATCCAGGTGTTTGTAGCCGTTTTTGATCGCGGACTCTACTGCATTTCCAACCTGAAAATGCTGTTTGTTATGAAAAAAACGTCACAAATAGTCGAATAGGGGATCATACATTGTGCTTTTCCATCTGCCACGTTCCCAAACCCACCACGGGCATTTCATGGCCCGAATTCAGCATTACCGTTGGTGCTGCCATTTCTGAAAAAAAAATACAAAAAAATGTTCTAGATTTGATTAGAATTATCTAAAAAATTTTGGACAATTCTGGTCGAAAATTTTGCGATAAATTTAGGAATAGAAAAGGGGCGAATCAGCGTAGTGAAAAAGATGAATTTTCAATGCTTGCAAAATTTTAAAATTGGAAAGTGGGGAAATTATGTGGAAGCTTTTAGAAGCTGAAGACACTGAGTTCCAGAAATGGATGGAAGAAAAATAAGTGTTGTGCACGGATATAGATTCTTTTAGAGGGCTATGAAAATCTTCTTTGTGTGGACACTAAAGTTGTGGGGCTTAAATCTACGCACGCCGGTTAAAAAAAACCTAGCATAATTCGGAGAAAGTGCCAGGTAATAGATAATTTATTTGGAAGCAAACACGACCACACATCATAAGAGCGAACGACACAGGGGAAGGTGATTTGGAGTTGCCCTAGGGTAGAAAATGGAGATCAGAGTCAGTGAATGAGTGTCATGAAATGTGAAAATGTCGCTTTTCCAGGAATTCTTCAAAATTTTCCTAGCTGGAGAGATAGGACTTTCTGTTACCATGAGATACTTTTAGCAGGTACCTCATGGCTGTAGCTTTATACATGGGTTGAAGAGGGTGTAAAGTAATGACGCCCATGGTAAACAATTACCCAAAATTCCGGTGCTTCTGGTAAACATCCTCTTAATTATGAAGAAAACCTTACTCAACCAGAGTTAAGGCGTTATTGTCTTTATCGTTTGATGAATAGGATGGAGGAAAAAGTAAAGTAAATTGATCTCATTCTGATGTCAGATGGAACGATAGAACTGAAGCATTTCCGGGATTTGCTATAGAGACAATCAATGAATACAAAAACACATTCCGCTGGTGTTTTGATACTAGTATTCTACGATGGCTTATAAATGGCAGACAACTGCACCTCCCAAAAAATGCCGTAAACACTATCAAGCGACGTGTTTACGTTTGTTGTTCGCAGCGACATGGCTAGTGTGGGGCACAATGATCTCTGGCAGACAGTTTCGTTACTAGTAATTTACAGCACGGCAAGTCAAAAGAATAAATAAGATTCACAGAACTGCTCAGCTTCTGTAACTGACTTGTGGTACAGAAAATTGCAACACATTCAAAACAATACGAGCCACCGGTGGGTCGTACGTGTCCCGCCATTTCCGACAATACGACCCACCGGTGGATCATAGGATTTATAAAACTCTAACTTTGCCAGTTTGTGGTGGAAATTATGAACTTCTGCTAAATGACTGGAGAAATCCAGACGATGCTGCAACCGGCGTAGTCCAGTTTCAGTACTGTACGTAGGATTAGGTAATATACCGAAGGCAACGCAGGATGGCCCCACTTGGTGGTGTATAAATTGATGGACTTTTATTTTAATTTCGCTTGTACATATTTGTAAAACAAACAACGTTTTTGTAATAGCTTATTCTGCATTTGAATTCATTGGATTCGTCGCTTTTGCTGCACAGCGGATAATTGAACTTAGCACTTTTAGCAAGATAATCACGACTAACATAGACTTGCAACAGCCTATACTTTGTTGAGATTGGACTGGCTGTGTAGCGCTGCCTTGATATGTGTGCGTTTGTTTTGCATGCTTGTCGACTGCAAATAATACTTGCTGAAGATGACTTTTAGTATGCTTTTTGAAGTGCCTCAGAGCAATACAAACATAGTCTGTCTAGTGAAAGCATCATTACTATAGCAAGTAATTCTTGCAAAAATCTTGAGTTTCCGTTGTATTGACTGAATGAGGGACCAAATGCACATACAGTGACCGCCAAAAAGTTGCGGACAAGCCGCCTTCCTTTTTTCATCGCTCATTTTCGAATGGAAAACAAAGATGAAAAAATGACTGAATTGCATGATGTGATAGAGCTCTTCAAGAGCTACAATCTACACATTGCGCTTTCTTGAAAATGCTTATTATGAAAATTTTAAAAATCTTTTCCTAAAAAAAATCCGAAAATAGCCGCGTCACAATGTTGCGGACATTAATTCTTCGAACGCGAAAAATTTTTTAGGTCTTTTCTTGGAGCAAAAACAGAAGTTTTCCCGACAGATAAGCATACTATGTTGCAAAGGTCATCAAGGACAACAATTGGGTAGTGGGTCACTTCCAAAAAAAACCCAAGCTTGTATTTTATTTTGCTTTTTTTTTTCAAAAATAACTTGTAATTCCCCTTTTTAAGCCAAATTTCTTCACATGGGATCCTATTCAAGATATCCCAACAGAGCTAATTGGATGAAATGGATGCCTTTTGACATATTCTATGCATCCGACGTGTGCCGTTGAGTTTCTTTGCTGAAAATGGCTCTTGACAGTGAGTGCACATGACCCCACCTGCACCTCACCACTGACTTGCACCGCTTTGCAGGCTTGTAGGTCGGCCGGCAGTCAATGAGCCTGCGCATAGGCTCATTCGAAAGAGCGTGAGTTCCTCGACACGATGGTATGCAAATGAGGTGGGTTTGAGAAATCCCGAAGATTTGACGGATGGGGTGCTAAAGCGCAGCCTTAGAGGTGATTGAAGTGAACGCTCTTATCAACACCAGAACAGTCTTAGAGCTCCGAAATGGGTCTATTACAAGAAAGTTAACAGTTTTCAACTTCCATAGAACTGGTGGCGAAAGGAGCTTTGCTCAACTTCAACTGAAAAATCCTCAGCCTACAACTGAAGCTGCGTTTTATCACCCCATCCGTCAAATCTTCGGGATTTCTCAAACCCACCTCATTTGCATACCATCGTGTCGAGGAACTCACGCTCTTTCGAATGAGCCTATGCGCAGGCTCATTGACTGCCGGCCGACCTACAAGCCTGCAAAGCGGTGCAAGTCAGTGGTGAGGTGCAGGTGGGGTCATGTGTACTCACTGTCAAGAGCCATTTTCAGCAAAGAAACTCAACGGCACACGTCGGATGCATAGAATATGTCAAAAGGCATCCATTTCATCCAATTAGCTCTGTTGGGATATCTTGAATAGGATCCCATGTGAAGAAATTTGGCTTAAAAAGGGGAATACAAGTTATTTTTGAAAAAAAAAATAAAATACAAGCTTGGGTTTTTTTGGAAGTGACCCACTACCCAATTATTGTCCTTGATGACCTTTGCAACATAGTATGCTTATCTGTCCGGAAAACTTCTGTTTTTGCTCCAAGAAAAGACCTAAAAAATTTTTCGCGTTCGAAGAATTAATGTCCGCAACATTGTGACGCGGCCATTTTCGGATTTTTTTTAGGAAAAGATTTTTAAAATTTTTATAATAAACATTTTCCAGAAGGCGCAATGTGTAGGTTGTAGCTCTCGAAGAGCTCTATCACCTCATGCAATTCACTCATTTTTTCATCTTTGTTTTCCATCCGAAAATGAGCGATGAAAAAAGGAAGGCGGCTTGTCCGCAACTTTTTGGCGGTCACTGTATAAGCACAAAAACATGACGTGAGCAATGATGAAATTTCAACTCGGAGAGAAGCACTTACGGGTGCTTATGCTGAAAAAAGTGCTGAAACAAGCACTTATGCCGAAATAGTCTATGCAGGAATTCTTCGGACAGCGACTGCTCGTCGTATTGACTTTCTGAGCATTTCTGTCAGCAATACGTGATCCTTCCTTTTTCCTAAGCTCTTCGTAGCAATTAGTGCATCTTCTCCTTGTAACAGATTTAGGAGTAGGCATCTTTTCTAAGCCGTATCTAGGAGCGGAAACTGTTTTCTTGGGATCTCGTAGCGTCGCACTGAATCTTTTTTTTTTCAAAAAGACAGCTAGGCTGCAATGAAGCCGTATGCTAAATACTGAATAAAGTTCAGTAATTGGTTCATAATACATCTTATCGAGAGCCAGCTCTACAGAAGGTTCAGAAAACAGGAGATTTTCATAATAGTAGTGAACTAGTAATCAAAGGTGCCAGATTGCATCTGCGCGCTGACCGCCACACAGTTCTCCGCTATTTGCAATTTTTGAATTGCGCTTACGTTTCTTTATATATTAGATAGACAAAAGATTACTGAAGATCAAACTTTATTTTTTGAACACCCTGTACATACACCAGTGAAAGCTCAAATTCACATATTTTTTCATATCGCTACATGGAGATTTTTCGATAGTCTACAATAACGAAGAAAGGCAGCCTATTGGTACTTAATCTTACATATATAAATTATTTTGAAATGAAAACTCACTCAAGTGTCGGAATAAATGACAATTGCGTGATACATATTTCTACCGTAACTTATAATAACGGGCTAAGGGTGTTTACTTTTTTGTGCGTGTGTCTGTCTGAAACGAAATTCATTGAATGAGATGCAGACAAGGTTTCAAGCCATAATTTTTTGCCCAACACACTATGCCAACATCTGGATTCACCGTGCAAAAGCGGGAGCGAATTCGATGCGTGGATCCCACGAAAATTGCACAACGAATGGGTCCACTTGGCGTCTGGCTCGGAAATGGATCCGAAATCAGGGTCGGTAGTAATCTGGTCGAAACTCCGAGTTTGAAGCTCCGCGTTAACTCAGAGATAACTCTGAGTTCCGTTTCTGAAACTCTGAGTTACGCTTATTGAAACTCTGAGTTCCGCTTTCGTGATTCCGAATTCCAACTCTCAAGCTCGGACTTTTGCTTTGAAGAGCTGTTAAGCACTTTGCTGCAAAAGCGACGTTAAAGTAGGGACTCGAACCTGTATGGTCTGGCGTAAAGATCCTATCGCTAAACCGCTAGACCATGACACACCCACGAACCCTAAAATTGCTTTGCCATAATGTACTCACTCATTCCATTAACACTTAGCAGGTCAAAACAAGTTATACCAAAGCCTCACTCATTTCCATTTCTATCGGGCAGTGATGGTTCATCACGAGGATTGGTCTTTTGCGCAGCTGAAAGCTTCAAACAATAGAGAAAGCTGATGGCATTTGCAAGGATAAGAATTGACTATTAGGATTTGCGCACAGAATAAATCCTCCGGGCAAAGTTTGC